CATCATCCAAAATCAAAGCAGATAAAATTAAACCACTTGCAACACCAAAACCTCCAACGACAGTACCGCCTCCTCCTTCAGTTAATCCTTCATCATTCACTTTATTATATCCATTTCAAACATTAAAGAAGCAAAAAGATTTTAAAAAGGATTTCAAGATATTAAATAAACCAACTGACCCGAAAATTCAACCGTTAAAGGAAAAATTTAGTCGCCCTTCATTTGCTCCATATCCATATTCATACGAAATAGATCATTTAGAATATTCAAAAGGAAACGTTACTTATTTATTTGCCATTAACATTAACACTAGATATTTATATTGCATTCCGGTGAAAGGGAAAACAGAACAGGAAACAAGAAGAGCTATTCAATACTTACTAGATCATGAAAGAGTAGATAATATAAGGGGTGATGGTGATAAAGGATTTCAGGCAGCTATGGCTCATTATTTCCCACAAATTAATTTTTACTTCTCATCTTCTCCATATACGTTTCATAATAAAATAGTTGATGCGGTAATGAGAACTCTTAGAGATGCGTTAGGGGTTAACGGTCAGATATACTGGGATGGAAATCATGACTCCATCATACAACAGTTAGTATATTATTACAATAATACATGGCATAGAACAATAAACATGAAACCAGTGGAAATGAAAAATGATATTTCAAAAGAATGGGAATATATTAGAAAGCAAATGGAAAGGTTAAATGATGTTAAACGTGAACAAATTAATTCGGGGCTCATGAATTTTAAACAAGGGGATAAAGTTTTGATTCATCTCGATTATGGAAAAACTGATAAATCAATGACAAAAAGAAGACGAAGATTTGACACAATAGCTGAATTTGTTAGATATATTAACGGCAATGCATTAGTTGAAGTTGACAATAAATTAATAGAAATTCCGATTTATTTTATTACTCCATTATATTTAAATAATATTTAATTTTTTTATTTCGTAAGAAATGAGTGACAACAAAGCAGCCAAGAGTCCTGATTCAATTAAGATTCAGAGTCCAGACAATGAATATAAAAAGAAACTAAACAGAATTAAATCAAAAATATGCTATTACAAAAAGAAGCCGCAATGTGGTGGGGCTGATGCCCATAAAACTAAAGGAACAGAGAATGATAAAGAGAGGAAAGAAATAATCGAAAAATTAGAAACTTACCGTTCAATCCTTAAACTGAGTGAAGCAAAAATAAAAGAATTTAATAGAATAAATAAATTGATTGGAAGAGATGAATTTAATAAAGATGAATTTTTAAACTCAATCCAAATTTAATTTTTATTCCTCTTCGACAACGTCTCTTCGAGACGCCGAACCCTTCTGGGTTCTTCTTTCCATCATTACTGCATAACCGCATCTTCTCGGTTTTCGTGGTTTGTTGTTTTTAATTCGTTCTTGCATCATTTTTATCATTTCCTCTCTTGTTATGATTCGTGGTAAATTTTGAGCTTGTGGGGTATTCATTTATATAAAAATAAAATTTTGTTATCAGTTATTTTATCGTAAATGGTTTTTAGGTTATTCAATAATTAATTATTTTTGAAGAACTGAACGTGTCACTACGTCACCATGTGTCACCTGGTTAATTAACTTCTCTTAAAAATGATGACAACATGACATTTTGACAACAGCATGGGTTGAATGCAAAAATAAATTCAAATCATACTTTATAAAGCTTCATTTACAGGTATTTCATCGTCAGTAAATGAATCGTCATTTTCGTTTGGTTCAACCTGTTTATATAATCCTTTCATTTCTTCTTTCAAAACATAACACCATGTTTGTTTACCGTCTATTCTTCTCTGTTTCCTATCACATTTATCCTTAATGCTCATTTGAAAGTTTTTGTCTTTCATGTCTGATGGTTTGCAGAATAGAGCATTTTTACACGTCATACCTGCACACAATTCATCATAATGTGTATTTATCCATACATCTAAAGGATTTGTTGATAATTCAATTAAATCTTGTTTGGCTTCAGTCATCGGTATGATTCGTACGTTAAATGATGAAAGGTCATATTGCATAAAATACGTCAGTAAATTATCATAAAATTCCTTTGTGCATGAATCCATTAAATTCTTGAAATAATCAAATTGACCCTTGAATTTACCATTAACCCTTAAAACTACGTATCTTCTGTCTCCAACTTCAATTTTGACAGGGTAGATGTTGTTAGTTACGAAAATGAAGTTTGCAACGTTCTGAGCAGTTCTTCTGGGTTGATTCTTTTCATTAATTCTTATTTGATTATCCGTAATAATTGATTTCAAAGCGTTGAAGTTTGCGAGTCTATCTTCACCTACATTCTTGAGTTCATTAAGTACAAGAAACATTTTATTCTCAACTACTAAATTGAAATTACCCGTTAGCTCACTTATTTCAGTAATGTTTTTGATTGAATAACCGGCGAGAAGTTCAGAAATAATGTCTGTAAATCTGTTTTTACCTGTTCCCTGAAGTCCTTTCAAAATAATTGCTGTTTCATTCTTGATTCCAGGATGTTGAATCATTGATGCAATCCAGCCGAGAAGGTATTTATACACTTCATCGTTATTATCACAAATGGCTTCTTTAATGAAATTCATAAACATCTCAATTTTTGAGTAATCTGGTTTTTCGAGAACGTTGTATTTATAACCCTGAAACGTTGAGAAAACATCTGGAGAATCAGATTTAAAGCAAACACCCTTAACGGTTAATGAGGATAATTGATTTAGTAGTACATCCCATGCTGTTATGGTTTTACCTTCTTCTTTAAATAATTTAATCATTTTAAGTGACTCTTTCATGTTTGATTGAAGAACGAATGATATTTGATTCATTTTGTCGTGGATGTTGTAATCTTTCTGAATGAAGTATTTGTTTCCACAATCTACAAAACGGATTACACGTGATAAATCCTCAATTACTTCAGAACTGTTTTTATACTGATGATTTTCAGCCTTGCGTCTAATATCTGTTATCAAAAGAGTCATCAAGTTTTATATCAAATGTTATTTTTGGCTTACGTAATAAAGGTAAAACATATTCATCATAATATTCCTTTTGATAAAGTTTTAGAATCTTCACCAAAACAAATGGAGAAGTCATTAAATGTGCATATCTACTACGTGCTTTTTCAAAATTACTTTTTGCATTTTCTGTTAAACTGCAGAAGTTATAAACGTTATCGTAGGCTTCATTAATTAAATGATTAGGTAACGAATTAATTGCTTGAAACAGTGTGAATAATGTAACTTCTTTTTCTAAATTCATGTTTCCACCGTCATTATGTACTTCAAAATCACTGATGCCATCAACTATGCTCTGGGCAAGTTTATCGTCAATGTTTACATCTTTGTTTTCATTCATGATAGTCTTTATTTCTTCGTTCTTTTGTTCAACTCTTACCTTAATATTCAAATCAGTTAATATATCGTTTACTGTTCTAGTTAATGTTGAGTCATAACTTCCACGAATGAATGAGTATGTATTGATTGGTTCTGTTGCATTCTTGCGAACTCTTGAATCAGCCATAACTACTAAAGAACGCTTTGAATCATCCATAGAAGTCATTATATCAATATCGTAATCATTGCAAGAATAGCATTTAATCATTCTGTTCGAAACTGCATAGAAGAAATTAGTGTTGCAATAAATGTGAAGACCTCCTGAAGCGGTTTTAACGATAACATCTTTATCCGAAAGTTTTGATAAAATATCTTTTCTAACTGTTTCTTTAAGTTCATCATTGTATGATTTATTGATATCAACATCTATAATCGTTAAATTCGAAATTTTATTTACTAATAAAGCCATACCAGTTTTCCTTCCTCTTCCTCCATCGTGTTTGAGGTAGTTATGTAAATCAATCTTGTTTTCACCAATTCTTTCGTTGAGGGTTTTAGTTTCTGCCACAACTAATTCCTCAGCTAATGAATCAATAACTTTTTCATCAGAAACGATATAGTTGCTGTTGTTGTTTGTTGCTGTCATTTATATAGGAATAAAAAAATAAAATAATTTTAAAACTAACTTTATTTTTGGACTGCATCGAATTTCCGGGCTAGTTGTCAAAATGTCATGTTGTCATCATTTTTAAAAGAAGTTAAATAACCCGGTGACATGGTGACGTAGTGACACGTTCAGTTCTTCAAAAATAATTAATTATTGAATAACCTAAAAACCATTAACGAAAACATTTATTTCCGGGCTAGTTGTCAAAATGTCATGTTGTCAGTAATTTTAAGAGAAGTTAATTAACCAGGTGACACATGGTGACGTAGTGACACCATCAGTTATTCAAAAATAATTAATTATTGAAGAACCTAAAAACCATTAACGATTAAATATATTTTTGGTGTAAATTTTATTAAGTTCATCTTTAGTTAATTTGAATGGATTCGCTAATGTTCCACCTTGAGCCACAACACTTGCCCCGGCTAATTGTGAAGAACCTGGGATAAGTACTCCATGAAATGATTTCATTGGTATCATTAATTTAGAAATAGTTGGCTTAATTAATTTTGTCATTTATGATAAAAATAAAATTGCATAATTTAAATTTTTTTCTTTCTCATTTTCTCATTTTCCCATTTTCTCATTTTCTCATTTTTTCTCTTTTTCATCCTGTTTTGGTTTCAGCAACTTTTCAAGTTGTTGTCTTGTCAGTAACTTTAATTTTAACTTTGGATCAAATATTGGGTTTCCATCTTTATCTCTTCCAATAACACCATATGGTAAAATCTTCATTTATACTAAAATAAAAATTTAAATTATGCCGTTCTAAAGTTTGTGAAACAAACATTGAGCGTTCATTGAACGCGAAACCATGCATAAACTGTCATATAAGGTGGCATGTAATCTTCACCCGAACCTGTTGGATTTGTTGTGAAAGTATGGACATGATTTCCTCCTGGTTCAGTTGGTCGAAAAGTCTTTTTTATTGAATCGTTATAAGCTGGAGATAAAACATCATGGCCAGTTTCATAGTCTGAGTTTTATAATGGGTGGTCTCTTAATGAGTGTATATGGTCGCCAGAAAAGTTTGTAGTTCCTGTATGCTTATGCGGCGGAAGGTTTGCTTCTTTAATTTTCTTTGAACCACCGGTTTGTTTTGAACTATTAGCACAGTAGAGGAAACGATCGGTTATTTGTTGCCATGTACCGAAACCGAATACATCAGCTGGATTTGTTGAATTCATTGATGTATATATTGAACCAATGGGGTAAATCATCTCAAGAATTGTATTTAATCCATTATGAATATTGTATTATATAATATTGAATTTGGGTGAGTATTTAAAACTGGTCTTGTTATCAATATTAACGTATTATTTTTGAAAATTGCTTTTCTAACATCTTGAAATTTTGTGATTTCAGACCAGTTTCTTCCATCATTACTGATATTTACTAAATCACCACATCCAAAAGCAATGAAATACCCATCAATATAAAATAAATTAGTAAATCTATAATTTCGAGTAAATTTTGGAGTGAATGAATAAACCAATTCCCAATTTGATAAATCCTGTGATAAATAAATATGTCTGTTATAACTTACAGGATATGAATAGACCATTCCACCTGAAACGAGTACATAAACATTTGATCCATAACATAAAGCTTCAATGTCTCCATCAGCTTGAAAAATTTGTTCAAATTGACCTTGTGTTATTGAAGATGATCTATAAATTTTATCATTTTGTAGGATAAAATACATGTTGTTAATGTAATACCACTTACTTGTATAATCAATTTTCAATCTGATGACATCATACTAAACATATAATAATTTATCCCATCCTCACTAATGAAAATTTGATTGACTTCATAAATTAGTACCCATTTATTATTAACGCATCTAATAGGATTATTTGGATATTTAAATTTAGCATCTTGATTTAAATTACATTTGAACCATTGGATACAATCGAATGAATAACAAGGGCAAAAATCATCTCCAACCGTTATCATTCCCATAAATTTACCGTTATTATATTCAACATATAAAATTCTTGGATTAATGATTGGCTTTCGTGTATCGGGATTCCAAACAGATGGAGTAAATGATTCATAGTTTTTAAAATCATTTGTTTTTAAATAATAAAGTACTCCTGCTGTATAAAATAAATACGTGGTCACTCCATCGAAACATATCCATTCAAAAGAATCTATATCAAAGGTTTTATCTGATGATTTCATAAAATTTAAAAATGGTGGAGTAAAATAGACCTCTGATTGCTTTATTTCTTCATTAACAAATGATATATCAGCTTTCTTTGCTAACTCAGTATTAATGAATGAAATAACTTTTTCCTTATCTGCTTTCTTCATTAACTCATTGTTAACATATGTTTTATCGCTTTAAGGTCTAAACATCCTGAAACCCATTCTGTATCAGCTTTAACTTTAAAAGTCTCCAATGTCCATTCATGATACCATTCAACCTTTTCTTTAATTTCATTATCTTTATCATCAACATAAACCAAAATTGCCTTCTTATTTAATTCAGTATTAACGTATTCCTTATCCACCTTCTTCATTAACTCACTATCCACATATTCCTTATCCACCTTCTTCATTATGTCATTTAGGAAACCTTCTATGAATTCCTCATTTAAATTAAATCTTCCAATCTTCAAAACTTTAGGAAATGCATTTAATGCGTAATATCTCTGTTCTTCTGGTGGAATTGATGTTATATCATCCGTTATTCCTTTAATTTTTGAATTCATAAATAAAATTTCTTTTATATTTGATATCACTGCACCACCTTTGCAAACGAATTCGAAATGGTCATTTTTCAATACTATCTCCAAATCTCCATATTTCAACCTTTGCGTTTGTTCTGCCGTCTTTGAATTATATGCATATGTGGCGTATGTAATGGTCTGAAGGACCTGGGCGCTTTGCGCCTTAAGTTGCTGTTGTTTAATCATTTATTACGATTTAAAAATAAATATTTAATCCGTTATCTCATCAGCTATTTTCTCTATTTGAAATTGCCATAATATTTCATTCATAAATTCTAAATCACAATCAAATAGGTCAGTTATTCTAAATTTAATATTTGATAAATCTTTTGAATGAAGAATAAATGAATTCCCGGATAATTGAAACGGATATGATAAAGAAAATGTGTTTAAGTTGATGGATAAAATGTTTTGTATTGATGGGTAAGAGTTAGGGTCTAATGTTTGATGTGAAAATCTCATTGGGGTATTAACTTTATCACATTTGATTAAAATGAAATTGGAACCAGTGTCAGAATACAAAACATCCCCAACATCTTTTTCAAAATTTAATATCCCCAACAATGAACGAAGATGAGGAGTACAAAATTTAATTTTCAGCGGAAATTTAATAAGGTTATTTATTTCATCAAGTTCAAAAAGTTTATCAGGTTTTGATTTAAAATTTTCTTCATACCATACGATAAATGATTCATTTAAATAACTTAAAATCATGTTAATATCCCATTTCGCTATCACATTATTTATATACATATCATACGTTTTTTCAAGGTCATCTTTAATAAATGATATATAATCTGAAGGGTCTAAAAGAATGGGATTAAATTTACCACTCACAGAAACGAGAGTAACATTATAAATTCCGCTAACTGTTAAATTTAATTCACAGTTATTATTCGAAATAATATTGATAATTGACATTTTTTATTACGATTAAAAATATGGTAAAGCGTTATTTTCCAGTGATAAATAAAACTAGAATAAGATTACCTCAAGAATTCATAAATTCAACGAATAAGAAATTCATTCATGTTATAAATTTTAGTGTTTTCAGAAAATATGAGTCAGTGTCATATTCATCAACAGGTTATATTTCACTTCATTCAAATTTAGTTCAATCAAACCCATATAATGACCATTTCATAAGATTTTCAGATGGTATTAAAAATGTAATTGATAGATTAAAATATGAACAGATTGACAATATCGAATTTTTGGAATTTTGGTTTAAATATCCCGATGGAAAAAAGATTGAAGTTAAAGATAAAGCTGATACTATAACAAAAACAATTACAATGACCGATCCGGATAGTGGGGAACAAAAAGAAATAAAACAAACGATAGAAACTGGTGAAAGGTCAATTATTATTGATTATGATTCAAAGGATTATTATTCGATAATGTTAATGCTTGAATATTAAATAGCCTTAACAAAGAATTTTTCAAGTGATATTTTATATTCATCAACTATTTTATTATAAATATCATTATATGTTAAATGAAGTTCAGTTGTTGTTCCGTTCTTTGATATCTTAATTGTGCTAATATCCTTTATAGGATTTATTTTTGCAACTGTTCCGCAGCATGAAACCTCATCATCTATGAAAAATTGAATCTTAACGTCTGAATCTTGAACATCACAAAGAATGGCGATAATGTGAATTAATGATTCATAAGGTAAAATAATTAAACCGGATTGATCAATTAAATTTATTATTGAATCATAATTATTAATTATTATATCACGGTAAATTTTCATTAATTCAGAATTAATGTCTATTTTATATGGGTTCTCGATGTTTGATGAAAGAGGGGGGTATGTTGGATAAGTGGGAATTTCAACAGGTTCTTTACCGGGTTCAGATAAAATGATTGGGTCTCCATCTTCTTTATTTTGCTCCTCCTCCTTTTTCGGTAAGTCACGAGTTAATAAATTTGGTTGAGTTGCTGACCTTGTTAATTCAGGGCTAACATTAACTTTAACATTTTGAATAATTCGTGATTTATCATCATTTACGTTATAACCAACCGTAATCTCTGCTTTTGCGTTAGTGTTCTTTTGACTAGTGAAACGTCTTCTCATTTATAATCGAATAAAAAAATATATTTAAACTTTTATTTTGCTGGAAGTTTTGAATCTATTATTCCCTGTATTTGTTCTTGAAGTTGATTTTTAGCTGTTTCATTGTAATTAATAGACCTAATATATTCATTAATTGCATTCTTATAATCATCTGATTTCTCAAATTTTCTTTTATCTGATTCCTTAACTAAATCATAAGTTAAACCTCGTTGCTGATATAATGGTTTCTTAATTAAATCTTTGAATGCTTGAGATAAAGCACCTGATGCAATTCTTGCTACTATAATTGGTTGGAATTGATGTTTAAGTTCATCTTTAACATTTGCGAAAACTGGATCGAATAAAGCAACTTTAAAGAATTTCTTAGCTGAAATTTCAGGTCTAATATTTGCATATTGACCATCAAACTGGTTAGAATATCGTGGTAATCCATCCGGTCCCTCTTCAATAGCATTTAATTCTTCATTGAAATAAGAATATGGATTATAACGGTATGAATTAATTGGACCATTTTCACCTTCTCCAATGTATTGTTTAACAGCTTTTCCATTTTCATCAAATTGCATAGGATAACGTTCATTATATGCTTTACGTTTAGGATAATCAGTTATAGTTAATTTATAACCATTTATGACTTTAATATTACCTTGACCATCAGTAACGAAAACTTCATTTATACCATCAGGTTTTCCATTTGGACCCGTAATGTCTGCTTCGTGTGCTTCCCAATTTGGACCTTGACGTTTGGCATATGCTTGAGCTTCTGGTAATGTTAAAACGTTTCTCATTTGTTTAACATCTTTTTGAAGACCAGCAACAATATGAACTAATTCTTTCATTCCATCAGGAACTTTCATAGTTCTATTATATGCACCCTTTTTGTTTGTTCCTTGTTTTAATGGAACCTGTAGAAGATTTGCTATTTCTGTCATGTTTAATTATAAATAAAAAATAAAAATTAATTATAAAAAGTTAATCAAATTTAACACTCCTTTATTTAAATCAACTATTATTTTTCCATGTTCACCTAATTGCTGATATTGTGTGTAAAGTTCATTAATGCTCATTGGTAAATTCACTTGATAAAGCATAACGTTCAACTGTTGACGACTAAACCCACTGAAAATGAAAAGGGTTGATAGATTTGATTTAATGTTTGTGCTTAATGCTTTGAAGTATTGAACAGCCATAAAGAATGAACACTGAATGTGTCGACATTGAGTTAATAACTGATTAAAATATGATTTCTCATTTGTTATTAGTTTTGATTTCACTGCATCATCTAGAAAAATGAGTGAATGCAAAAATTCTCTATCAAAATTTGAAATAGAAAGTGTTTCAAATAATTCATCCCGTTGTTTATCAATAATTTTATCCTCTAATCCTTGCTTCTTGATTGTATTATATAATTCTTTATACATTAAAAAGTTTTTTAAATAATCTTCTGCTTCTTCTTGTGATAAATAAATAATTGGAATTTTGATTAAATGCTTTAAAGATTCAAATGTATCATCTGAAGGTGAACCTGAACGGTTGATATAAATTAACACATGTGAATAGGGGGAAGTGTTAGCAATAATGATAATTTGTTTTAATATCGTTAATGTTTTACCTTTATTTTGTTTACCAATTGCTGCAGTGATTGAATTTAAGTAACATTCAGAATATGGAATTTTCATTAATTTTTCCTTAGATAGAGCATTTCTATTATCACTCAATGCTTCATTAATCATATCATCTAGTATGTATTATATACTCCTGCTAATTCTTCATAAGGAGTGATGAATTTAAATCCATTTAATCAAAAATAAATTTATAATTTTAAACATTTCTATTCATCAATATTTCATCATATGAACTTCTATACTGTGGTGGTGTACCTGTTGGATGATATTTCAAACCTTCATCCGGTGTCCATGTCCAATATGTAGTCCTAGTAAACCAAACCTGAGGAGGATTTGTCACCTTTGAACAGTAAGTGTCATTTTCACCCTGAATGATTGGATAAGCTTTCACTTGTACTGTAACTTGTGAGTTGAAAGTTTCTAATCCATCAAAGAATATACCCGCTCCATCACGTTGAACTGGAATAGTGCATAAGAATGAAGTTGGTCTTTCCATGTTCTAGCTAATGGCGTGCCATCATCTGCATTCAGTGGTCTAGTTAATGAGTCCTCGTATTCTTCTGTGCATTCATTCACTCCATCTAAATCAGAAGCTTGAAGCATACGTGTAAAGAATATGTCGCCCACTGTGGTCATCGCTTGATCGGGGAAGTTTCTGGAATCTATAGTGACCTGAAGACCTCCAAGCATTGGATTTTCTAAAACTGTTCTTTGCATTGCATTCTTCGGAAATGCTAACACAACATCTGTAACATTATGAAGAGCGTATGAGAAATCTGAGCTAATACCTTCAGGAGTGATGCAACCTCCATTAGTGAACGAACGTCAATATGTTGAGCTGGAATCATGAATGGATCTTCCTTACTGAATAAACGTGGTAATTGCTTTAACTGATTCTTCAATTAAACCGTATCCTGGTGTAATGCATTTATCCTCTAAAACTTCCATCTTTGTGCATGAAATATATAACGTCATCAACTGTTGCGTCAGCAGATGTAGCGGCTAAGCTTGTAATTAATTTGGCAGGAAGTCCGATTTGTTGGAATTTGCGATCATATTTATAAACATGATTCATAATCTTTTCATAATTTTCATCAGTTATCTTTTCATAAACGTAATTTTGTAAATCAGCAACTCTTAACGGGTCAACCTGACAAAATACTAAAGTATCCCTGAAAACATAATATTTAAGAATGATATCACCAAATGATTTAGGATAATCATCGAACGCCTGAAATGCTAACAAATCATTTACCGGAATAATCATATCAAAAGTGACATCAACTTCTTCATTTGCTTTCTTGAAAACTTCTGAAGGGTCAATATATTTACCACATACTGAGTTATCATATTTTTGAACATTATTATATAACGAATGAACAAACTTTTTAACTTTCCTTTCTGATTTTGGTTTATATGTTGCAAATGCGAAAGATTCACGGGCGCAATCCATCTGAAGATAACCGGCATCACCTCTTTCGGTTTCCACTTCTAATTGTTTAAAGCTTTGATTTGATGATTTGTAACCAACGAATAAACACATGCATTTAAAAGCGGCATCACATGTGAAAGCTTTATTTGAAACTAACGTAGCTTTAACTTTGCGTTTAATATATGTGTCACCTAATTGGTTCACATCATGAGCCGGATTTGTAATTCTTAAATGAGTTTGTTTATCATCAAAATATGGAGCATCAGAGTCATAGCATGAACTTTCAAGTTCTCTATAATATCTTCTACCGTCATTCTTTGCGAATATTTCATTTATCTTTTCGAATGAATGAAACACATTTCCATTAATCGGTTTAGTGTTTGGCACCAAATAGTTAGTCGTCATTTATTAATAAATAAAAAATCAAAATTAAAAGATGAAAATGAATTTTTAATTTTAATGAAATAATCAACTATGGATGCAGGTATATTTAAGAAACTGTGGAATAGAGTAAAAAGAGGAGCGAGTAAAGTTTGGGAAACATTGAAGAAGGGGGCAAATTGGATATTTAAGAATAAAGAAGCAATTAGTGACGTTGCTGAATCAATAACACCAAAAGCTGCCCCAATAAGAGAAGTTTTAAATAAAGGAGAAAAAGTTTATCAAAGACTACAACCAATACTAAGATAAAAATAATATTTATTTATTTTTCCACTATCTACCTCCTATTTTATTAAGTATTCCTTCAGCTATTCCACCAACTGCGTTACCTGCTTGTGCTCCCATCGCCGGATTACCTGCTTTAGTACCTAATACTCCACCTATGATAGTTCTTGCCGTTTTCGCTACTGGTGCCAAAAAGTTTGCAATGGGTTTAATAATCTTTTTATAAACCCAACCCACAGCTTTCTTAATTCCATCCCATAATTTTTTAAAGAATCCTACCGCCATTTCTGATTTAATATTAATTAAAAAATATATTTCATCACTTATATTCTAATTTTTATTTAATGATAAATGAAACCGATTTTAAAAATAAATGAAACAGAGGAGGAAGAAATAAATGAAAGTGAAAATGTTCAACAAAAAATAAACGTTGTTAAACCCATCACTGAAACAAAAATTTTTTCATCTGTTGAAGAATTTAATGACTATTATGCTAATAATAAAAAATTATTTGAAGAATTGACAACATGTAAATTGAATAAAATGTTTAAAGTTGATGGATTCAAAATTTCAAAAATAAAAGGAGTAGTTAGTTTGAAATCTATTCCTCAATCAAGAATCACCTCATTAATGAAAATAGATGATTTAACAAAAAGAATAGAAGAGATTGAAGAAAGAATAAATCAGATAATTGATTTCATAAATTCAAATAATCATTAGTTTCTTAAAGTTCAATGTTGAACTCATCAAATTCATCTTCATCATTACCATTACCTTTAGCGAGTTTATTTACTCTTTCAACTTTATCTTTTGATAGTCTATCGTTTAATTTTTTCTGAAGTTTTTCGTTACCAAGTTCTAAAATTTTACACGGATGATATTTAAACCCGTTAAATTCTTTTTCCTTAGTTTTAATCATTAATCTACAAAGAACTTTAGTGAGGTGGTTTTGTTGTTTAAACCATTTATCCTTAATATTTGTTATAAATTCAATATCCGGAATTAATTCCCAAATTTTTGAATTTTCGATTAATTTACCATCAAATGCAAAAGCAATAGGTTTAATATTAAACTTACCTTTATAAAATAAACTTTGTATGTAATCATCAAAATAAACGTCTACTTGTTTAACCTGGGTGAGAATTGGTGAAAGTTTATCCATTAATTGATTCACAGTCACGAATTTAGAGCTGTTCATTTCTTACGAATTAAAAAAATAAATTATTCAAAAATGTAAGACATGAATTTTTAAAGTTTATTTTTTAAAAATTTTTTTATTTTTTATTTCATTATGGTAGTGAATCTTTCATTCATGAAAATAATTATTTCTAATTTCTTTTATTCTCTCGTACATACTAGATTTGAAGAATTCAGAACATTTCCCATAATCTCCTAAATGTTTTCTTATCCCTAACGTGTGCCAGTTATTATATGAAACTGAATAAACTTTATCTTTATCTTTACACCTTAGTAGTAGGATATGATGGGTTTTGTGACTTTTTTTGTAAACGTAAGAATTCATACAATATCGAGCGATTTTGTATCATTTTTTTAACATATGAAGTAAAAAGTGTATGATTCTTACGGTTTTTATTCTTACGTTTTTGAATAAATCAAGATTTAAAAAATTTTCAAAATTGTAAGACATTTACACTCAGCCCATACATAATGAAATAAAAAATAAAATTTTTTTTTAAAAATAAACCATTAAAAAATTAAAGTTATTTTTAAAATAATTTATTTTTTTATTCTTACATAAATGACCCAACAAGTAAAACCAGATAAAATAGATTATCGAATTTTAGAGGATGGTGTTCCTGTTTATATTCAAAGATTTAAAGGGAAGCAATATTATAGAATTGTTAATCCTGAATACATAAAACATTTATTTAAAAAGGAAGACTGTGAATTATTAAACGTTAATGAATATGAAACCAATAAATCAAAATTGAAATATAAATATATTGGAAGTGATGAAAGATGCAAAGATAAAGATAAAGTTTATTCAGTTTCATATAATAACTGGCACACGTTAGGGATAAGAAAACATTTAGGAGATTATGGGAAATGTTCTGAATTCTTCAAATCTAGTATGTACGAGAGAATAAAAGAAATTAGAAATAATTATTTTCATGAATGAAAGATTCACTACCATAATGAAATAAAAAATAAAAAAATTTTTAAAAAATAAACTTTAAAAATTCATGTCTTACATTTTTGAATAATTTATTTTTTTAATTCGTAAGAAATGAACAGCAAATTCGTGACTGTGAATCAATTAATGGATAAACTTTCACCAATTCTCACCCAGGTTAAACAAGTAGACGTTTATTTTGATGATTACATACAAAGTTTATTTTATAAAGGTAAGTTTAATATTAAACCTATTGCTTTTGCATTTGATGGTAAATTAATCGAAAATTCAAAAATTTGGGAATTAATTCCGGATATTGAATTTATAACAAATATTAAGGATAAATGGTTTAAACAACAAAACCACCTCACTAAAGTTCTTTGTAGATTAATGATTAAAACTAAGGAAAAAGAATTTAACGGGTTTAAATATCATCCGTGTAAAATTTTAGAACTTGGTAACGAAAAACTTCAGAAAAAATTAAACGATAGACTATCAAAAGATAAAGTTGAAAGAGTAAATAAACTCGCTAAAGGTAATGGTAATGATGAAGATGAATTTGATGAGTTCAACATTGAACTTTAAGATATTATTTGAATTATTTGAATTTATGAAATCAATTATCTGATTTATTCTTTCTTCAATCTCTTCTATTCTTTTTGTTAAATCATCTATTTTCATTAATGAGGTGATTCTTGATTGAGGAATAGATTTCAAACTAACCACTCCTTTTATTTTTGAAATTTTGAATCCATCAACTTTAAACATTTTATTCAATTTACATGTTGTCAATTCTTCAAATAATTTTTTATTATTAGCATAATAGTCATTAAATTCTTCAACAGATGAAAAAATTTTTATTTTCAGTAATTGGTTTAACAACGTTTATTTTTTGTTGAACATTTTCACTTTCATTTATTTCTTCCTCCTCTGTTTCATTTATTTTTAAAATCGGTTTCATTTATCATTAAATAAAAATTAGAATATAAGTGATGAAATATATTTTTTAATTAATATTAAATCAGAAATGGCGGCAGGATTCTTTAAAAAATTATGGGATGGAATTAAGAAAGCTGCGGGTTGGGTTTATAAAAAGATTATTAAACCCATTGCAAACTTTTTGGCACCAGTAGCGAAAACGGCAGAACTATCATAGGTGGAGTATTAGGTACTAAAGCAGGTAATCCGGCGATGGGAGCACAAGCAGGTAACGCAGTTGGTGGAATAGCTGAAGGAATACTTAATAAAATAGGAGGTAGATAGTGGAAAAATAAATAAATATTATTTTTATCTTAGTATCGGTTGTAGTCTTTGATAAACTTTTTCTCCTTTATTTAAAACTTCTCTTATTGGGGCAGCTTTTGGTGTTATTGATTCAGCAACGTCACTAATTGCTTCTTTATTCTTAAATATCCAATTTGCCCCCTTCTTCAATGTTTCCCAAACTTTACTCGCTCCTCTTTTTACTCTATCCACAGTTTCTTAAATATACCTGCAGCCATAGTTGATTATTTCATTAAAATTAAAAATTCATTTTCATCTTTTAATTTTGATTTTTTATTTATTAATAAATGACGACTAACTATTTGGTGCCAAACACTAAACCGATTAATGGAAATGTGTTTCATTCATTCGAAAAGATAAATGAAATATTCGCAAAGAATGACGGTAGAAGATATTATAGAGAACTTGAAAGTTCATGCTATGACTCTGATGCTCCATATTTTGATGATAAACAAACTCATTTAAGAATTACAAATCCGGCTCATGATGTGAACCAATTAGGTGACACATATATTAAACGCAAAGTTAAAGCAACTCTAGTTTCAAATAAAGCTTTCACATGTGATGCCGCTTTTAAATGCATGCGTTTATTCGTTGGTTACAAATCATCAAATCAAAGCTTTAAACAATTAGAAGTAGAAACCGAAAGAGGTGATGCCGGTTATCTTCAGATGGATTGCGCCCGTGAATCTTTCGCATTTGCAACATATAAACCAAAATCAGAAAGGAAAGTTAAAAAGTTTGTTCATTCGTTATATAATAATGTTCAAAAATATGATAACTCAGTATGTGGTAAATATATTGACCCTTCAGAAGTTTTCAAGAAAGCAAATGAAGAAGTTGATGTCACTTTTGATATGATTATTCCGGTAAATGATTTGTTAGCATTTCAGGCGTTCGATGATTATCCTAAATCATTTGGTGATATCATTCTTAAATATTATGTTTTCAGGGATACTTTAGTATTTTGTCAGGTTGACCCGTTAAGAGTTGCTGATTTACAAAATTACGTTTATGAAAAGATAACTGATGAAAATTATGAAAAGATTATGAATCATGTTTATAAATATGATCGCAAATTCCAACAAATCGGACTTCCTGCCAAATTAATTACAAGCTTAGCCGCTACATCTGCTGACGCAACAGTTGATGACGTTATTATTTCATGCACAAAGATGGAAGTTTTAGAGGATAAATGCATTACACCAGGATACGGTTTAATTGAAGAATCAGTTAAAGCAATACCACGTTTATTCAGTAAGGAAGATCCATTCATGATTCCAGCTCAACATATTGACGTTCGTTCACTAAATGGAGGTTGCATCACTCCTGAAGGTATTAGCTCAGATTTCTCATACGCTCTTCATAATGTTACAGATGTTGTGTTAGCATTTCCGAAGAAAATGCAAAGAACAGTTTTAGAAAATCCAATGCTTCGAGGTCTTCAGGTCACTATAGATTCCAGAAACTTCCCCGATCAAGCGATGACCACAGTGGGACATATTCTTTACACGTATGCTTCAAGCTTCTGATTTAGATGGAGTGAATGAATGCACAGAAGAATACGAGGACTCATTAACTAGACCACTGAATGCAGATGATGGCACGCCATTAGCTAGAACATGGAAAGACCAAACTTCATTCTTATGCACTATTCCAGTTCAACGTGATGGAGCGGGTATATTCTTTGATGGATTAGAAACTTTCAACTCACAAGTTACAGTACAAGTGAAAGCTTATCCAATCATTCAGGGTGAAAATGACACTTACTGTTCAAAGGTGACAAATCCTCCTCAGGTTTGGTTTACTAGGACTACATATTGGACATGGACACCGGATGAAGGTTTGAAATATCATCCAACAGGTACACCACCACAGTATAGAAGTTCATATGATGAAATATTGATGAATAGAAATGTTTAAAATTATAAATTTATTTTTGATTAAATGGATTTAAATTCATACACTCCTTATGAAGAATTAGCAGGAGTATATAATACATACATAGATGATATGATTAATGAAGCATTGAGTGATAATAGAAATGCTCTATCTAAGGAAAAATTAATGAAAATTCCATATTCTGAATGTTACTTAAATTCAATCACTGCAGCAATTGGTAAACAAAATAAAGGTAAAACATTAACGATATTAAAACAAATTATCATTATTGCTAACACTTCCCCCTATTCACATGTGTTAATTTATATCAACCGTTCAGGTTCACCTTCAGATGATACATTTGAATCTTTAAAGCATTTAATCAAAATTCCAATTATTTATTTATCACAAGAAGAAGCAGAAGATTATTTAAAAAACTTTTTAATGTATAAAGAATTATATAATACAATCAAGAAGCAAGGATTAGAGGATAAAATTATTGATAAACAACGGGATGAATTATTTGAAACACTTTCTATTTCAAATTTTGATAGAGAATTTTTGCATTCACTCATTTTTCTAGATGATGCAGTGAAATCAAAACTAATAACAAATGAGAAATCATATTTTAATCAGTTATTAACTCAATGTCGACACATTCAGTGTTCATTCTTCATGGCTGTTCAATACTTCAAAGCATTAAGCACAAACATTAAATCAAATCTATTAACCCTTTTCATTTTCAGTGGGTTTAGTCGTCAACAGTTGAACGTTATGCTTTATCAAGTGAATTTACCAATGAGCATTAATGAACTTTACACACAATATCAGCAATTAGGTGAACATGGAAAAATAATAGTTGATTTAAATAAAGGAGGTGTTAAATTTGATTAACTTTTTATAATTAATTTTTATTTTTTATTTATAATTAAACATGACAGAAATAGCAAATCTTCTACAGGTTCCATTAAAACAAGGAACAAACAAAAAGGGTGCATATAATAGAACTATGAAAGTTCCTGATGGAATGAAAGAATTAGTTCATATTGTTGCTGGTCTTCAAAAAGATGTTAAACAAATGAGAAACGTTTTAACATTACCAGAAGCTCAAGCATATGCCAAACGTCAAGGTCCAAATTGGGAAGCACACGAAGCAGACATTACGGGTCCAAATGGAAAACCTGATGGTATAAATGAAGTTTTCATTACTGATGGTCAAGGTAATATTAAAGTCATAAATGGTTATAAATTAACTATAACTGATTATCCTAAACGTAAAGCATATAATGAACGTTATCCTATGCAATTTGATGAAAATGGAAAAGCTGTTAAACAATACATTGGAGAAGGTGAAAATGGGCCAATTAATTCATACCGTTATAATCCATATTCTTATTTCAATGAAGAATTAAATGCTATTGAAGAGGGACCGGATGGATTACCACGATATTCTAACCAGTTTGATGGTCAATATGCAAATATTAGACCTGAAATTTCAGCTAAGAAATTCTTTAAAGTTGCTTTATTCGATCCAGTTTTCGCAAATGTTAAAGATGAACTTAAACATCAATTCCAACCAATTATAGTAGCAAGAATTGCATCAGGTGCTTTATCTCAAGCATTCAAAGATTTAATTAAGAAACCATTATATCAGCAACGAGGTTTAACTTATGATTTAGTTAAGGAATCAGATAAAAGAAAATTTGAGAAATCAGATGATTATAAGAATGCAATTAATGAATATATTAGGTCTATTAATTACAATGAAACAGCTAAAAATCAACTTCAAGAACAAATACAGGGAATAATAGATTCAAAACTTCCAGCAAAATAAAAGTTTAAATATATTTTTTTATTCGATTATAAATGAGAAGACGTTTCACTAGTCAAAAGAACACTAACGCAAAAGCAGAGATTACGGTTGCTTATAACGTAAACGATGATAAATCACGAATTATTCAAAATGTTAAAGTTAATGTTAGCCCTGAATTAACAAGGTCAGCAACTCAACCAAATTTATTAACTCGTGACTTACCGAAAAAGGAGGAGGAGCAAAATAAAGAAGATGGAGACCCAATCATTTTATCTGAACCCGGTAAAGAACCTGTTGAAATTCCCACTTATCCAACATACCCCCGCCTCTTTCATCAAACATCGAGAACCCATATAAAATAGACATTAATTCTGAATTAATGAAAATTTACCGTGATATAATAATTAATAATTATGATTCAATAATAAATTTAATTGATCAATCCGGTTTAATTATTTTACCTTATGAATCATTAATTCACATTATCGCCATTCTTTGTGATGTTCAAGATTCAGACGTTAAGATTCAATTTTTCATAGATGATGAGGTTTCATGCTGCGGAACAGTTGCAAAAATAAATCCTATAAAGGATATTAGCACAATTAAGATATCAAAGAACGGAACAACAACTGAACTTCATTTAACATATAATGATATTTATAATAAAATAGTTGATGAATATAAAATATCACTTGAAAAATTCTTTGTTAAGGCTATTTAATATTCAAGCATTAACATTATCGAATAATAATCCTTTGAATCATAATCAATAATAATTGACCTTTCACCAGTTTCTATCGTTTGTTTTATTTCTTTTTGTTCCCCACTATCCGGATCGGTCATTGTAATTGTTTTTGTTATAGTATCAGCTTTATCTTTAACTTCAATCTTTTTTCCATCGGGATATTTAAACCAAAATTCCAAAAATTCGATATTGTCAATCTGTTCATATTTTAATCTATCAATTACATTTTTAATACCATCTGAAAATCTTATGAAATGGTCATTATATGGGTTTGATTGAACTAAATTTGAATGAAGTGAAATATAACATGTTGATGAATATGACACTGACTCATATTTTCTGAAAACACTAAAATTTATAACATGAATGAATTTCTTATTCGTTGAATTTATGAATTCTTGAGGTAATCTTATTCTAGTTTTATTTATCACTGGAAAATAACGCTTTACCATATTTTTAATCGTAATAAAAAATGTCAATTATCAATATTATTTCGAATAATAACTGTGAATTAAATTTAACAGTTAGCGGAATTTATAATGTTACTCTCGTTTCTGTGAGTGGTAAATTTAATCCCATTCTTTTAGACCCTTCAGATTATATATCATTTATTAAAGATGACCTTGAAAAAACGTATGATATGTATATAAATAATGTGATAGCGAAATGGGATATTAACATGATTTTAAGTTATTTAAATGAATCATTTATCGTATGGTATAAAGAAAATTTTAAATCAAAACCTGATAAACTTTTTGAACTTGATGAAATAAATAACCTTATTAAATTTCCGCTGAAAATTAAATTTTGTACTCCTCATCTTCGTTCATTGTTGGGGATATTAAATTTTGAAAAAGATGTTGGGGATGTTTTGTATTCTGACACTGGTTCCAATTTCATTTTAATCAAATGTGATAAAGTTAATACCCCAATGAGATTTTCACATCAAACATTAGACCCTAACTCTTACCCATCAATACAAAACATTTTATCCATCAACTTAAACACATTTTCTTTATCATATCCGTTTCAATTATCCGGGAATTCATTTATTCTTCATTCAAAAGATTTATCAAATATTAAATTTAGAATAACTGACCTATTTGATTGTGATTTAGAATTTATGAATGAAATATTATGGCAATTTCAAATAGAGAAAATAGCTGATGAGATAACGGATTAAATATTTATTTTTAAATCGTAATAAATGATTAAACAACAGCAACTTAAGGCGCAAAGCGCCCAGGTCCTTCAGACCATTACATACGCCACATATGCATATAATTCAAAGACGGCAGAACAAACGCAAAGGTTGAAATATGGAGATTTGGAGATAGTATTGAAAAATGAACATTTCGAATTCGTTTGCAAGGGTGGTGCAGTGATATCAAATATAAAAGAAATTTTATTTATGAATTCAAAAATTAAAGGTATAACGGATGATATAACATCAATTCCACCAGAAGAACAGAGATATTACGCATTAAATGCATTTCCTAAAGTTTTGAAGATTGGAAGATTTAATTTAAATGAGGAATTCATAGAAGGTTTCCTAAATGACATAATGAAGAAGGTGGATAAGGAATATGTTAACAATGAGTTAATGAAGAAGGTGGATAAGGAATACGTTAATACTGAATTAAATAAGAAAGCAAATTTGGTTTATGTTGATGAAAAAGATAATGAAATTAAAGAAAAGGTTGAATGGTATCATGAATGGACATTGGAGACTTTTAAAGTTAAAGCTGATACAGAATGGGTTTCAGGATGTTTAGACCTTAAAGCGGATAAAACATATGTTAACAATGAGTTAATGAAGAAAGCAGATAAGGAAAAAGTTATTTCATTCATTAATACTGAGTTAGCAAAGAAAGCTGATATATCATTTGTTAATGAAGAAATAAAGCAATCAGAGGTCTATTTTACTCCACCATTTTTAAATTTTATGAAATCATCAGATAAAACCTTTGATATAGATTCTTTTGAATGGATATGTTTCGATGGAGTGACCACGTATTTATTTTATACAGCAGGAGTACTTTATTATTTAAAAACAAATGATTTTAAAAACTATGAATCATTTACTCCATCTGTTTGGAATCCCGATACACGAAAGCCAATCATTAATCCAAGAATTTTATATGTTGAATATAATAACGGTAAATTTATGGGAATGATAACGGTTGGAGATGATTTTTGCCCTTGTTATTCATTCGATTGTATCCAATGGTTCAAATGTAATTTAAATCAAGATGCTAAATTTAAATATCCAAATAATCCTATTAGATGCGTTAATAATAAATGGGTACTAATTTATGAAGTCAATCAAATTTTCATTAGTGAGGATGGGATAAATTATTATATGTTTAGTATGATGTCATCAGATTTGAAAATTGATTATACAAGTAAGTGGTATTACATTAACAACATGTATTTTATCCTACAAAATGATAAAATTTATAGATCATCTTCAATAACACAAGGTCAATTTGAACAAATTTTTCAAGCTGATGGAGACATTGAAGCTTTATGTTATGGATCAAATGTTTATGTACTCGTTTCAGGTGGAATGGTCTATTCATATCCTGTAAGTTATAACAGACATATTTATTTATCACAGGATTTATCAAATTGGGAATTGGTTTATTCATTCACTCCAAAATTTACTCGAAATTATAGATTTACTAATTTATTTTATATTGATGGGTATTTCATTGCTTTTGGATGTGGTGATTTAGTAAATATCAGTAATGATGGAAGAAACTGGTCTGAAATCACAAAATTTCAAGATGTTAGAAAAGCAATTTTCAAAAATAATACGTTAATATTGATAACAAGACCAGTTTTAAATACTCACCCAAATTCAATATTATATAATACAATATTCATAATGGATTAAATACAATTCTTGAGATGATTTACCCCATTGGTTCAATATATACATCAATGAATTCAACAAATCCAGCTGATGTATTCGGTTTCGGTACATGGCAACAAATAACCGATCGTTTCCTCTACTGTGCTAATAGTTCAAAACAAACCGGTGGTTCAAAGAAAATTAAAGAAGCAAACCTTCCGCCGCATAAGCATACAGGAACTACAAACTTTTCTGGCGACCATATACACTCATTAAGAGACCACCCATTATAAAACTCAGACTATGAAGCCGGTCATGATGTTTTATCTCCAGCTTATAACGATTCAACAAAAAAGACTTTTCGACCAACTGAACCAGGAGGAAATCATTCACACACTTTCACAACAAATCCAACAGGCTCGGGTGAAGATTACATGCCACCTTATATGACAGTTTATGCATGGTTTCGCGTTCAATGAACGCTCAATGTTTGTTTCACAAACTTTAGAACGGCATAATTTAAATTTTTATTTTAGTATAAATGAAGATTTTACCATATGGTGTTATTGGAAGAGATAAAGATGGAAACCCAATATTTGATCCAAAGTTAAAATTAAAGTTATTGAAACCAAAACAGAACGAAAAAGAGAAAAAATGAGAAAATGAGAAAATGGAAAAATGGGAAAATGAGAAAATGAGAAAGAAAAAAATTTAAATTATGCAATTTTATTTTTATCATAAATGACAAAATTAATTAAGCCAACTATTTCTAAATTAATGATACCAATGAAATCATTTCATGGAGTACTTATCCCAGGTTCTTCACAATTAGCCGGGGCAAGTGTTGTGGCTCAAGGTGGAACATTAGCGAATCCATTCAAATTAACTAAAGATGAACTTAATAAAATTTACACCAAAAATATATTTTATCGTTAATGGTTTTTAGGTTATTCAATAATTAATTATTTTTGAATAACTGATGGTGTCACTACGTCACCATGTATCACCTGGTTAATTAACTTCTTTTAAAAATGATGACAGCATGACATTTAGACAACAGTTCAGGAAATAAATTTTATCGTTTATGTTTACGTAAATGTTTTCATTAATGTTTTCATTAATTATGAACGTGTCACCACGTCACCATGTCACCGGGTTATTTAACTTCTTTTAAAAATGATGACAACATGACATTTTGACAACTAGCCCGGAAATTCGATGCAGACCAAAAATAAAGTTAGTTTTAAAATTATTTTATTTTTTTATTCCTATATAAATGACAGCAACAAACAACAACAGCAACTATATCGTTTCTGATGAAAAAGTTATTGATTCATTAGCTGAGGAATTAGTTGTGGCAGAAACTAAAACCCTCAACGAAAGAATTGGTGAAAACAAGATTGATTTACATAACTACCTCAAACACGATGGAGGAAGAGGAAGGAAAACTGGTGTGGCTTTATTAGTAAATAAAATATCAAATTTAACGATTATAGATGTTGATATCAATAAATCGTACAATGATGAACTTAAAGAAACAGTTAGAAAAGACATTCTATCAAAACTTTCGGATAAAGATGTTATCGTTAAAACCGCTTCAGGAGGTCTTCACATTTATTGCAACACTAATTTCTTCTATTCAGTTTCGAACAGAATGATTAAATGCTATTCCTGCAATGATTATGATATCGATATAATGACTTCTATGGATTATTCAAAGCGTTCTTTAGTAGTTATGGCTGATTCAAGAGTTCGCAAGAATGCAACAGAACCAATCAATACATACTCATTCATTCGTGGAAGTTATGATTCAACATTAACTAGAACAGTGAATGATATATTAAATGATTTGAATATTAAGGTAAGAGTTGAACAGAAGAACGAAGAAATAAAGACTATCATGAATGAAAACAAAGATGTAAACATTGACGATAAACTTGCCCAGAGCATAGTTGATGGCATCAGTGATTTTGAAGTACATAATGACGGTGGAAACATGAATTTAAAAAAAGAAGTTACATTATTCACACTGTTTCAAGCTATTAATTCGTTACCTAATCATTTAATTAATGAAGCATACGATAACGTTTATAACTTCTGCAATTTAACTGAAAATGCAAAAAGTAATTTTGAAAAAGCACGAAGTAGATATGCACATTTAATGACTTCTCCATTTGTTTTGGTGAAGATTCTAAAACTATACCAAAAGGAATATTATGATGAATACGTTTTGCCTTTATTACGTAAGCCAAAAATAACATTTGATATAAAACTTGATGACTCGTTTTTGATAACAGATATTAGACGCAAGGCTGAAAATCATCAGTATAAAAACAGTTCTGAAGTAATTGAGGATTTATCACGTGTAATCCGTTTTGTAGATTGTGGAAATAAATACTTCATTCAAAAGGACTATAATATCCACGACAAAATGAATCAAATATCATTCGTTCTTCAATCAAACATGAAAGAGTCACTTAAAATGATTAAATTATTTAAAGAAGAAGGTAAAACAATAACAGCATGGGACGTACTACTAAATCAATTATCCTCATTAACCGTTAAGGGTGTTTGCTTTAAATCTGATTCTCCAGATGTTTTCTCAACGTTTCAGGGTTATAAATACAACGTTCTCGAAAAACTAGATTACTCAAAAATTGAGATGTTTATGAATTTCATTAAAGAAGCCATTTGTGATAATAACGATGAAGTGTATAAATACCTTCTCGGCTGGATTGCATCAATGATTCAACATCCTGGAATCAAGAATGAAACAGCAATTATTTTGAAAGGACTTCAGGGAACAGGTAAAAACAGATTTACAGACATTATTTCTGAACTTCTCGCAGGTTATTCATGTAAAAACATTACTGAAATAAGTGAGCTAACGGGTAATTTCAACTCAGTAGTTGAAAATAAAATGTTTCTTGTACTTAATGAACTCAAGAATGTAGGTGAAGACAGACTCGCAAACTTCAACGCTTTGAAATCAATTATTACGGATAATCAAATAAGAATTAATGAAAAGAATCAACCCAGAAGAACTGCTCAGAACGTTGCAAACTTCATTTTCGTAACTAATAACGTTTACCCTGTCAAAATTGAAGTTGGAGACAGAAGATACGTAGTTTTAAGGGTTAATGGTAAATTCAAGGGTCAATTTGATTATTTCAAGAATTTGATGAATTCATGCACAAAGGAATTTTATGATAATTTACTGACGTATTTTATGCAATATGACCTTTCATCATTTAACGTACGAATCATACCGATGACTGAAGCCAAACAAGATTTAATAGAATTATCAACAAATCCTTTAGATGAATGGATAAATACACATTATGATGAATTGTGTGCAGGTATGACGTGTAAAAATGCTCTATTCTGCAAACCATCAGGCATGAAAGACAAAAACTTTCAAATGAGCATTAAGGATAAATGTGAAAGGAAACAGAGAAGAATAGATGGTAAACAAACATGGTGTTATGTTTTGAAAGAAGAAATGAAAGGATTATATAAACAGGTTGAACCAAACGATAATGACGATTCATTTACTGACGATGAAATACCTGTAAATGAAGCTTTATAAAGAATGATTGGAATTTATTTTTGCCTTCCATCTTTGCTGTTGTCAAAATGTCATGTTGTCAGTAATTTTAAGAGAAGTTAAATAACCTGGTGACATGGTGACGTGGTGACACCATCAGTTCTTCAAAAATAATTCATAAATGCCTTCCTCCTTTCGTACCTGTTGTCAAAATGTCATGTTGTCAGTAATTTTAAGAGAAGTTAATTAACCAGGTGACACATGGTGACGTGGTGACACCTTTGTCTCGAAGAGACGTTGTCGAAGAGGAATAAAAATTAAATTTGGATAGAGTTTAAAAATTCATCTTTATTAAATTCATCTCTTCCAATCAATTTATTTATTCTATTAAATTCTTTTATTTTTGCTTCACTCAGTTTAAGGATTGAACGGTAAGTTTCTAATTTTTCGATTATTTCTTTCCTCTCTTTATCGTTTTCAATTACTTTAGTTTTATGGGCATCAGCCCCGCCGCATTGCGGCTTCTTTTGTAATAGCATATTTTTGATTTAATTCTGTTTAGTTTCTTTTTATATTCATTGTCTGGACTCTGAATCTTAATTGAATCAGGACTCTTGGCTGCTTTGTTGTCACTCATTTCTTACGAAATAAAAAAATTAAATATTATTTAAATATAATGGAGTAATAAAATAAATCGGAATTTCTATTAATTTATTGTCAACTTCAACTAATGCATTGCCGTTAATATATCTAACAAATTCAGCTATTGTGTCAAATCTTCGTCTTCTTTTTGTCATTGATTTATCAGTTTTTCCATAATCGAGATGAATCAAAACTTTATCCCCTTGTTTAAAATTCATGAGCCCCGAATTAATTTGTTCACGTTTAACATCATTTAACCTTTCCATTTGCTTTCTAATATATTCCCATTCTTTTGAAATATCATTTTTCATTTCCACTGGTTTCATGTTTATAGTTCTATGCCATGTATTATTGTAATAATATACTAACTGCTGTATGATGGAGTCATGATTTCCATCCCAGTATATCTGACCGTTAACCCCTAACGCATCTCTAAGAGTTCTCATTACCGCATCAACTATTTTATTATGAAACGTATATGGAGAAGATGAGAAGTAAAAATTAATTTGTGGGAAATAATGAATCATAGCTGCCTGAAATCCTTTATCACCATCACCCCTTATATTATCTACTCTTTCATGATCTAGTAAGTATTGAATAGCTCTTCTTGTTTCCTGTTCTGTTTTCCCTTTCACCGGAATGCAATATAAATATCTAGTGTTAATGTTAATGGCAAATAAATAAGTAACGTTTCCTTTTGAATATTCTAAATGATCTATTTCGTATGAATATGGATATGGAGCAAATGAAGGGCGACTAAATTTTTCCTTGAACGGTTGAATTTTCGGGTCAGTTGGTTTATTTAATATCTTGAAATCCTTTTTAAAATCTTTTTGCTTCTTTAATGTTTGAAATGGATATAATAAAGTGAATGATGAAGGATTAACTGAAGGAGGAGGCGGTACTGTCGTTGGAGGTTTTGGTGTTGCAAGTGGTTTAATTTTATCTGCTTTGATTTTGGATGATGAAGTTTTAGTTGTTGATTTTCCTTTCATTAATTCTGGATGTATTCTATTCATTTGTTTTAAATATGCTGTATATAAAGGTTTGATATACTTTCCCGCTTCGAGTTTATGTTGAAGGATGAATTCCAAAAGTTGATCTTCATTTAAAAGTCGGGCTGAATATGGTTTAACTAATGAATCATAAATTAAAGCCTGTGCTTCATTTATGGTCTGAAGGACTTGGGCGTTTTGCACCTTTAGCTGTTGAACATTTGCTACTTTCTCTTTTGGTGTTGTTTTCGGCTTTTTCTTCTTTTGTTTTTGTTCCTTTGGTTTTTGCGGCTCAGGATTATATAATTTATATAATTCATCAATATCTTCTTCTGTTAATACTTTATTTTTGAAATCTTTCAACTGTTTAAGTTGTGATTTAGTTTTTCCCTTTGTATATTCATTATTTTTAATTTTGTCTTTAATTTCAGAAATTATTTTATCATGATATTTCAAAATTTCATTTTTATAATACGGATAATAATAATCCATATCATCACCCGTTATATTTTTATTATGTTTTTGGAGATATGATTTTAATTCATAATAATTAAGAAAATTTTGATTAAGTACTAAATCATCAATTAAATTTTCTAAATCTGCGTTATCCATTTATATAAAAATAAAATAAATGTTTTAAGGGTGCCCACTTCTTTGAATCATAGTATCAAAACCATTATTTACATATTGAATCGCATCATTAACGGTTCCTCCTTCTAAAACGGTATCAAATGGTGGAGTCCAGATTTCCTGATGATGATCATAAAATCCAGCAAAATTAATCGTATTATTAGGTAAAATATGAATCTCAGCGGTATATCTTCTATCTAAATTTGGATGCCTTATATGTATACCATTACTACCCGGATAAAATCTCAAACCTTGATTTTGTTGACGCATCAAATTATTGAAATTTCTTTCTTCAGGGGTGAATGTTCTTCTCCGTTGACGTTGTGGTGGTGGTGGTGGTTGTTGCTGCTGTTGATGCTGTGGTGGGATTTGAAAAATTCGTTGCTGTTGATTATTTGGAATCTGAAAGTTAAAACCATTTGGTATAAATCTATTCGGTTCCTTTTGTCTCTTCTGTGGCATTTTATTAAAAATAAAATTTTAAATTCATGACTCAACCCCTACGTTTTTAAATTGTATTAAATAAATGGCATACAACATCCATTTTCACAACATACAGCCTTAGTGTGTGCTCCTGTTAATGCAGTCTTACCGATTGTTAAGCGAGTCATTGACCCGTTTTTAAGTTGTAAATTAATATTCTGACCATCAAATATCACTTTATCATTTATTATATCCAAATAATTTTTAGGTGTTAATTGTTTATTTTGTCGTAAACTAACACCTTTCATTTTTTGTGCAATCTTTTTAAAATCACTTCCATCAATTGAACCGTTGAATGATGTATAACACTTAGGGCATAAAGCAACCATGTTATCACCTTGTTTCTCAATTGCTAAACCCAATAACTTCTTCTCATGTGCTTTTTCTTCAGCTTTATTCTTTAATTTAGGTTTAAATTTCTCATCAAAACAGAAGAAATCAAATGGTGCGAATTTGAAAATGTTTTTATCATAAAATTGTTTATCGGTAACAATTGCTTGAAATGCTTGAGTGTTAGGAAGATTTGGGTCGCCAGCGATTGCCCAATAAGATGAATCAGTATCACCTTCAATGAAATGAAAACGATTAACATTCATGCATTTATACATAAAATCATAAATGAAAACCAAATACCAGTATTTAGCATTATCTAAAGTGAAGAATGCCTCTTGTAAACATGTATCACATCTATAAAATCTATCTTTAAGCATCACTTGATATGTATCTTCACCTATTTCTCTTATGTTTTTAAACTTATTTGACATACATGCAACGCGTGCCTTCTGTGCATTCATTATTTTAGTCTTTGCGTAATTTTGCGTATTCATTGCATCGTAACCATATGATCCATTAAGCGAAATCTTGCAAAATAAATTTTTTCCTTTATTTCCTTCTAATTCAGCCTTTTGTCTTTCGTTCATAAATTCGTTCGCAAATTCATTAAAACAAGTGTTTTTCGTAAATGTTAAAATTGATTGAATATCATCGATGATAAAATTAAACCTGTCGATTAGATACCATAGATAATAAGAAGAAAATGGTTGATATTGGTTGTGTGTTGATGCTAACTGAGTTAATTTCCTCTGTTTCTGGTCAACTGGTAGATTGTTTGATTTCATGTAATTATACATAAAACTGCCAATTGTTTTTTCATCTGTGATAATATCTAAGTTTCTTATTATCGGTAAAAAGTTTATGTAATCATTAATGTATTTTTTATCAATGTGACCCTTTACTTCAGCCATGAATAAAGTATTTTTCTTCTTAATTATTCCCAGTGCTTTTGCTTTCTTTGTTGCTGTATCACAAATGATAACACCATTCAATCTTCCCGGCATATACATTTTATGGTCAGTATATTGAATGAAATCATGAGGATTAGATGAAAATGATGAAGGATATAATGAATTAAAATCAACACCAACGAAATGAGTCATGATGTTGGAAGTGTCCTCATTTGATACAGTTTTAGTTTCTGGACTATATGAAAGTTTATTAATGTGCGTGATTCCTTTAAGATTAACACGATGTTGAACATTTGATAGACCACCAGTAATTCCATTACGGAGAATGTGATAAGCTTCAACTGAATCTAAAGTCATTGGTAAATTATTTTTTAATGCGTGATTTCTTAAATTGATTCTTAAACGTTGAATGTCTTCATTAGTCATGTGATTTTATCCCAAGCATATGGGGATTCTAAATTTTTGTCCCTATCGTTATCCCAATTGAATTTTTTTTTGGAATTTAAAAATTTTTTTCTCCATGTAAACTTAAATTTTAATTTTTACCACTAAAATGCAATATTTCAACAAATTAATGAGTAATAATATTTTAATTTATAATAAATATTATAAATCTCCTCAATTTAATGTAATTATTGTATTAATTTTTGTTGAAAATATAAAATCTTCAAGTAAATGATGTGAATTTAATATTTTTAGAATGTTGTTTAATTGTACTATATTATGCATGTAAAATTTTGTTACAATACATTTTATATGGGATCCCCATTGCCCAATTGAGAGAAAATTGAGAGGTGGGATTGGGCTAGCCCAATTCAAAATATCCCAGGTGGAAATAAAAAAATTAACAATTCAACATAAAAAAGCATCTTAAATAATAATGATAAAAAGAAATTTTGTATGAATTTCAATCAAATTTGTTTTTATTCAACATAAGAAATCACTTCATTAATGAAAGAAGTCGGGTTCACAACATATCCCGATCTTGAAACGAAACAACATGTTTTTTTGATGCCCTAAACGGGGGGGTCGCCAGCAAAAAAAAAAGATGTCAAAATTTATCCCAAAAATTTAAAAAAATCGAAGAAAGTGCATCCCAGGGATTATAAAATTTAAGTTTTCACATCTCTATCTTCATCTTTATTTGATTTCACGACATTGCAATAACAACACATTAACTGACAATTTTCTTTGGTATGTGGTTTTTCATTATCGATTCTATCCAATGTTGGTTTATTTGCATATGTAAACGCTTTACCACACATTTTGCATTTAGATGAAAGGATTAAATCGTGATAGTATTGAAAATCATCCATTGAAACATTATTTTTAGTATCTCTTTCTGCTTTTTCATCTTGTTTCTTATATGATTCAATTTTATATTTCCAATACTTTTTCGTTAATTCAAAACTTGATTCTATCTCTTCCTCAGGATATTTTTCATTAGGATTAAAGTCTTTATATGCTAAAGCGTAACGAATCATTGAAGCATTCGATGATAAAGAAAGATTATGAAGCATATCAATTTTATAAACAAATGTTTCTTCAATAATTTTATCAAGTGGGTCAATCATAATTTCAACATCTTTATTGCAATAATGAATAAAATATTCTAATCTATTCTTAAAGTTTTTAGCATCATTGAGATATATTTGATAATCACTATCTGATATAGTTTCTTGAGTTAATGCTGAATAAAATGAATCTTTCGTGAATGGTTCCACTTTATATAATTCTTCTTCGTAATTCTCCCACGTGATGAATTGATAAGGGAAAAAGGATTTAACACGTGTTTTATTATTTCCGAAATCTTGAGTGAATTGATCTAATGTTCCACCCGCTATATAATTTCTGATGTCAATAAATCTCAATTCATATGGAGCGTTTGTTTTCTTTACAATGACTTGCGTAAATTGTGAAGATGAACCCAGTATTGATTTTATTTTCCATTTTGCAGTGTTTAAATCACGAAGAATTAAATTTAAATCAAACTTTCCCGAATTAAAACCTATGATATTCACTTTATTGAATTCCTCATCTAGAAGTTCTTTAAATGCTTCCTTCTGTTTTTCATTTAATGTATGGGACAAAGTCCCCGCCGTTTGCGGCTTCATTAATTCATCGTATTGACTCATATTTGATTTAGCAACTAATGAACAGGTTGAAAATAAAAACTCAATCCAGTCAGAAATAAAAGAATCACTCGAAGTTAAGCAAAAATTCCTCGTATATGTTTTATCATTTAATTTAACCGTTGATGATACCATGAATGGTTTTAAGTAAGCGTTCAAAGTTGCACACTCAGAAAGTTGTAATTCTTCTTTAGTCTCTAATGTTTCAAAGTCAAAAGTAATATAATATCTTGTCGGTTGATAATATTCCTGCAAATTATGAGCTAATAACCACTGATATATCTTCTGTTTCGTAATATGTGGTGCATATGGTTGCTGGGTCTTTTGCAATTGAACGTCTTGAATTAATCTTCCATTATTTTCTTTACATTTCTCACAATGCTTTAAAAATCTTCTTTGGTTTTTCCTTTCTGGATCATCACGGATAGAATAAACTTCTTCTTTACAATATGGACAAACTTTATAGCCGGTGAGTGCTTCAACGTCTGTTATTCTGTTAGCGTGAAGTTTTCCACATGGACTCTGTGTTAATAAAATATTTACTGTTTCAAATTCTGGATCTATCATTATTGATTCCACTAATGGAAAGTCTACCTTATTTATGTCCACGTCTTCTGGTTGAGGATCACAATAATAGAAATCAATATTAACGTTTAACATTCTCGCTAATCTCTCACTTTCTGATGAAATGTCAAACCCTTCATATGCATCTATTGCTTCATTTAAATAGCTTCTACGAGTTTTAGGATTAACACCATCAGGAATGTTATAGAAGCGTTTAAATAACCTTTTACCTTCTGCTCTAATTTGATTATCATTCATTTTAGCTGTTCCGTTTTTGTTCATTTATGTAAGAATAAAAAATTAAAAAATAAATAAAAATAAAGTTTATTTTTTAAAGCCCATAAAATGAATTAAGAACACATAAATTTTTATCATCTGCGACGTGACGAATACATTTTAATTTACTCAAGAATGCGTACCCTGATACATTAAATCTAATTCCTGTCTTATTTAATTTCACAACTTTGAAAAGGAATGTATGAATAGCTATAAAATGATGAGAAGATGTTTTATGGGTTGCTTCCATTTTTTCTGAAATAAATGAATAAATATAATGCTTATACGTTTTCATATCTTTTATATTCTTAATAACGAATGGTATAGACCTTTCCACTTCGTCTTCCTTCGGTGCTGTTCTTTCATATGAAACATTATTGGTATCTTCAATAATGAAACCGCAATCACACAAAATTTTATATGTTCCAATGGTTTCTTTTGATATTTTATCTAATAAATCAAAAACTTTATCAACACCTGTGCATTTATTTAAATAATAATTTGTGTAAATATCATGATCTTCTTTCTTAATCGTATTAGTTGCATATGTCACGTTTTTAAGAGCTTTTTTGAATTTCTCAGAATCGAGAGGGGGTGAAAGTAAGATACAAGGGTATTCTTCATTATCAATAAATTGTAACTTATGTTTACGAATAAATTTAGTACCTTCTTCTGAAAGTGTTTCGTCTATTTCACCATCTAATAAATTTTGTGTTGATTCTGAGACATAATTTTTATATCTTTCTTCATGAGATTTCTGTACTTCTGATTCTGAAGCTGGGATATTCATTCAACCCTCTACTTCATTTTCATTATATTTTTCAACTTCTCTTAATTCCTTAATTTTTTCATCTATTTCATCTCTTATTTTTTCCAGTTTTTCAATTTCATTGTATTCATCATCATCTTTAATCCGTTCTTCATAATATTCAGGGAAAACATCAGGTTCTTTAGGTTTTTCTTCTTCAGATGTGGGATATAAGAAATTTATAACATCATCTTTATTCATTTTTCCATCATAATCTAAATCATTTAATAACTCGGCAAATTTTTGACAATTTCTTAAATAATATTTATTAACTTCATAACCTACCTCCTCTAATATATCCTTTATTTCCTCGTTTGTGAATCCTAATTTTTTAACGTTGTTAGTTTTGACGCTCATTTCATACAAAATAAAAAAATAAAATAATAAACATAACTAAGTTTTAATTTTTCGTAAGAAGTTTATTTTATTTTTATATATAAATCATTCTTAAGGTCAAACATACTTCTTATTTTTATATGAATCCCATCCTCTTTAATGTCATCAATGATTTCCATTTCATTATTTTCAATTTCTTCTTCTCGTTTATGAGGTCTTTGATTATGACTCCATTGATTCCATGAAATTAAATATTCTTTATCATTATATTTATACCTCATTAGCTTATTTTGGCTTTCATATTCATTTAATAATTCACAATCTTCATTTTTAAATTGAAGTTTAACCCATTCAGGATTTAAACAATGTTTAATTAATCGCGGAATATCTGACATCATCTATATATAGCTTCTTTTATAAAAGATAAAAAAATAAATTATTTTAAAATTAATGTTAATTTTTTTAATGATTTATAAATAAATATATTTTAATGCATCGTCTATATATAGATGTAACAAAAAAAGTCACTAAACCCGTCATATCCTACTACTGTTGGTATTGCAATTCCGACCGAGAAATGTCAAAATCATGAGATGGGAATATAGCACTTGTAGAGCCTATCGACCGTTGAATTAAAATATCGAAAGTTGCTAAAAATCGATTTTTCCGGAAAATGCAAGATAATTTCAACTTCCCTAAAAAAGACTTTGATTCAAAACAAAACAGATATATAATAAATGTATGTATCATATATGATGTTTATTACATTTTCAAGTGTAAAAACCAGCTTTTTAGGTACCTCAGAGTTCACGAACATGCCAAAAATTGAGAGGATCACTTCACTTGGAGAGAAGCCTTAAAATGATTCCAATTATTGAGATGAAGCAAAGTATCTTTGCGATGATGACATCCTTCTCAATCAAAACAAAGGTACATTCACTATTTTTGACAAAATTTTAAATTTTCATGGGGTTGTAAATCTTATAATAACTAGATGAATAAGGAATAAATCCCAGTATGATGTGCATCATTATATTAAACACTATATGTAAGGCTGGTGATTCTATTAACACTTATGAAGATCTATAGTATTTGAGCAGATAAATTTGATAATTTCCAAAACTCTTATATTTCAAAATTAAAGTGTGCGAATGCATTTAAATGAGAGCAAAAAGAGATTGATGCTGCTAAAACTAGGTGTTAAATTCCAATTATTTCGCATCACAAGAACTACCCAGTAAATTCGGCCATCTTTTTTTGCAATTATTCTCTATTACACATATAAGATAATGGTTAGGGTTTGGGGAAAAGTTACTAGAGAATTATTGACTTTTGAAATAATGCAGAATTTTACTTGAAGAAATCATTAATTTATGAGTTCCAAATTGCTAACCATGACGAAAGATCATTAAATTTGCTGCAATTAAATACACTTATTGCAGAATTAAGATTTTTGAAATTAAAAATTTGAAATATTGCCTTTTTGAATAAAAATTTAAATTTGATTATATAATCATGATAATATATTAGAGAAATTAAAAGAAAATATTTTAAACCATTCAAATATTTTGAATGTCTTATCAATTTAAAATATTAAAAGATTGCTTGATTTTATCATCATTAGTTGTTATCAAAGTTTTCTTCTTTTGATGAACAACAGTAAATGATTTGTTAATACCTTGTCTTCCTTTTACGCAGCAAAATCAAAAGTTATGATGATAATCTTGTACTCAATTTTGAAACTCTCTGATTTACAAGTAAGCATTCCTTTGGAAAAGCAGTCCTATTCTGTTTTCAAGATATTTTAAAGCCCCCATTTCATATAATGCGCAGATCTATTCGAAATTGCAAGAACTCTCAAGAAAAATGCAGCAGCAAAGAAGATTCCAAAGTTCCTAGCATCAAAAATTTACAACCTTAATACAACAATTCAAGAGAAGCTCGATAAGAAAATATTTAACCATAAAGCTGGATACCATTCGATATTTACTATTGGATATAATAAAAAGTTAATTGTAACATATTTTACATGCTATTTGCTGACTCTGTTCCATTAGATTACCATATATCTGTTTGAAATCTAAAAAATTTTTACGATTTTAATCATGTGTTGTTGAAATCATATACCATTCTAGGCTAAAGTATAGTTTATGGGTCTGTCACCATCTAGCTATATGATTTTTCAAAAATGTCAAATATGTTCATTTTTTCTGTATATTCAGCCACAATTTCATGTAGTTGTACTATTCAACTATTATTTAATAATTTTATCCATTTAAATATATGATGAGATGCTTAGTTCTCCCGGAAATCGATTTTTAATCACAATTTTAACTTTCCAAAAAAAATTCGAAAATAAAAATCCCTCTCAATTTTCTAAGTTTTATAACTCGCCAAATCTCTAGCCAAATTTTTTTTGGCCCGTATAAATATTGTTAGGCACTATATAGGGATGCTATTTATCCTATTTTCATCCCATTTTACTGTTATCGCCTAGTGAATGTACCTTTATCAAAACAATCAAAGATTCAATTTGAATACAAATTGAATATTTGAAAAGAATTTGTTTTTATTGACTTCATTTTTCTTATGAGCGGAAGCTTATTATTCAAGCCCATTAAGATCGGACCTCTTTCTCTCAAGAACAGAATCATGAGATCCCCATGTGTTATGAATGATAGTGATCCAAACGGATTTCCATCAAATAAATTACTTTCTTACTACAAAGAACTGGCTATTGGTGAAACGGGATTGATTACTCCTGGTGCTGTTTACTTAAAAAAGCCTGGAAAGAACTGTTCTCAGCAAGCTGGTTTAGAAACTGATTAACACGCCGAAGCATGGAGATCAACAATAGATTTCATACACAAGAAAGGTTCAAAGATTATCTTCCAACTCGCTGATGGCGGTGAAGTTGTTGATCCGGCTATTTCTGGTTCACAAGCAAGAGGACCTTCCGGAATCATTCCAAATTCAAAGATGATGACAACAGCCGAAGTCGAAGAACTTGTTGAAGACTTTATTAGAGTAGCAAAACGTGTACAAAACGTCGGAGCTGATGGAGTTTGTGTTCATGCAGCTCACGGCTTCATGTTATCCGAATTCCTTTCACCACATTACAATAAGAGAACAGACAAATACGGTGGAAGTCCAGAAAACAGAAGAAGAATTTTCAAAGAAATTGTTGAAGGAATTCGTTCAACTTGTGGAAAAGATTTCTTTATCTCTACAAAGATCAATGGTGCTGATCATTGTGAAAACGGTCTCACTGCCAAAGATTTCGTTCAAAATGTCATTAATACACCTGGATTAGACATGGTTGAAGTATCTTGTGGCTTCCAAAATGCTGCTGGATGCAGAACACCATCATTCAAGGGAATTAATGGTATTAGATTCAAACCAGCCTACAATCTTGGTGAAGCTCTTGAATTAAGAAAAGTTTCTGACATTCCTATCGCTGTTGTTGGTGGATTCAGAAAACTAAAGGATATGGAAGATGCTCTTAAGCAAGGAATCCAACTTATTTCTGTTGGAAGACCAAGTATTTGCGATCCACACGTTGCCAAACACTTGATGTAAGGAAAAGCAAGCAAATGCGTATTTTGCAACCAATGCTTGAATGTTCTCTCAACAAGAGATGTCAAGTGTTTCGTATTCTAAAAAAAATATTTTATGAATTATTTTCAATAAAATTATTGAGTCAAATGGATTCATAAAACATAATATTAGGCTTTGTAATTAAACTTGTAATGATGAAATATGAAAAAAAAAATTCAATTAAAAATTCATATGAAGAATATTATTCAAAGTTTAGCTTCTTAATATATGATTACTTATAGAACTAGTACTATATTTCAATTACACATGATATGAACTTATAAAGCAAATATTTCTTCGAAAATTATCTGTTTATGTCTTTTATTCAATCGTTTTTGTGTTATGAATATAGTCCATCGTTTATAAGCATATTATATTACTTATTAAAGTGTTATTGCAAAATAAATGGAGTGATATATCCAATAAAGAAATTGCAAAGTGTTCTACTATTAACAACGCTACAAATATACTCTTTGGTTACATATCCAAACAATTCAATACGATAAAGATCAAAAGCTATATTATTTCCGCCCTCAAATCTCACACCAACATTCATTACTCTAAATGTGCTATACCAGTTGGAATTAGAAATATTAACGTAAGTAAGATTGTTCTCGGGAATTGTATTTACTGTTGTGTTTTCAATAAGATCAAAGTTTATTCCATCATTTGATCCCATGATCTGGAAATATTTTTGATGTCCTCGATAAGTAACTAGATAATATCCTGTGAGAGCTATTTTAAATTTTTTAAAATCAAGTTGGTACCATTGGTAGTTAGTTCCGTTTGAAACCCATCTATGTGAATCATTTACGTATTGAAAAGTTTCTGAGATTCCATTAATGACTTTGTAATGTTGATCATCACCTAGATATCTGTAAACTGGATGAATTGAACTAACTGTTGGAGTTACTGAATTTGCATGATTTGTTGTGTTTCTGATGTAGTATATGAGGCCAAGATATGAGGAAGAGTTGTAGTCAAGTTTATATGGAAACATTTTGGTTTAGATCAAGCTCATCATATAAAATGAATTACAAAGGTCTTCAAAATTGAAGTTTCCCTAGTTCGTCAATCTGTGTCATACGCTAGGGAAAATGGTTGAAGAACTCTTAAAAAGGGTAAGATGATTGAAAATAAATCTGATTTTTGTAAAATCAAAAATAGCTCGTTGTTAATAGAAGTATCAGAATAATGCAAGATTTGATTTGCAAAAATTTGTGAGTTCTCAATTTTCTAAATGATGGAAAATTTCAGTAAATACAATACTTGTATTGGAATAAAAATGAATTTTTATTAAGATTAATGTGAAGGGACTTTAGCTCACCTGGGAGAGCGTGCGACTGAAGATCGCAAGGTACGTGGTTCAAGTCCGCGAAGTCCCATAATTTTTCTTTTTCCTATTGAATTATTATAAGAGACTTGTAAATCCGTATGTTATTTGTTCTTTCGATAGTATTAAAAGTAAATATCTTAATACTTTTGTTTAAACATTCTAAGTAAAACACATTGAAAGAATATCGAACTTATAAAAATTTCTTTTCATTTTAATGCATCAGGAATGAATGTGTTCTGTATCTGAATAGAACATATTGTAATGGTTTGCTAAAAAATTCTGACTTTTGAACATTTAATATTGCAAATTCAAAATTTGTGAAAACGTTCTGTAAGCATGTTATATCTCTGATCACTAGGCGCAATCTTGATCATTTTTATATGCATTAGTAAGCTAAGATGGAAATTTCTTAAAAAATCAAATGAAAAACTGAATCATTTTGCATGGAGTCATTTGCGAGTATAGAATAGTGGTATCATTAGTTTGTTAATGATTCTGGTTGTTCTGCGAAAAGTTGATATAAAATGGAAAAAAAATGCGCTTGAAACATGAAAGCATTCCGCAAAATTAGTGGAAGTGTTATCTGTGAGGATCAATTCGCATGCACAATGATTATCATGATAGCAAGAGAAGGAGATAAAGGAAAAACTCTTTTTTTGATTTGACAGATTCACTTCCCAAATTGTTTAAACAAGGTATTGAAATAAGATAACACTTATGATATACAAACTATGGAAAAGATTTTTTACTCATCAAAATTTGATTTTAACAATGAATTATAATTTCTACTTTTTCAAAACAGTTATTTTGAATAATTTTGGGAACAGGACAAATTTGCCACACGGCACTTTTTTTAAAAAAAATTAATGGAGCGGAGCGATACTCTGCTGCAGGAGCCCCAAGGCTCCCAATCATTACGAAAGGGAGCCTCAGGGCTCCTGAGAATCAATCAGCAGAGGCCTTTTCATTTGGCCTCTGCTGATCAAAGATTCGGCGAAGCCATTCTTCGTCTCAGGAGCCCCAAGGCTCCCAATCATTACGAAAGGGAGCCTCAGAGCTCCTGAGAAACCTCTTTGAGAAGGTTTTCTTTAAGAAAACCTTCTCAAAGATGATTGTCAGCATTCACTCAAAATCTACCAAGAGTTTCAAAGTTTCAAATATATCTGAAATGAAGCTTTGAATCTCTTGTATATCTAATTGTAGAGGTACCTTTTCAAAATGTCTTCTATTGATTAAATTTAATCAGTAAAAGTCATTTTGAAAAGGTACATCTCTATAATTGCTATTGAGCATTCACTCTTGGAACCTTGGAGCTCTTGTGTAGTGCATGAAAACTCCAAGATTCTAGCATAAAACATATATCATAGACATAATTTCTTCAAATATAATTTAAGGTTATTTTTTTAAAAAAAATTAGAAAAGCGTAATTTAAGGTTATTGAAAAGTGACACTTGGCAAATTTGTCCCGCACTCAATAATTTTTAGCATAAAAGGGAAGTAGATTTAAAATAGATTATATTGCATGATTAATTTTTTTTTTCAAAAATAAATAATACAACAAAAATTGCATTAATTATGATTTAATTTTCAAAATCATTTTCTTATTTCTAAATTTTTTTTGGATAAATAATTACTTCTCTTTTCTGGATTATTATCAAGGTTATTAGATAACTTTCAAGATTACTATAAAATCACCCGACTTTGTTGAATTATTGAATCATATCTTCAGATAAAGTTAATATTATTATAATGATTCTTCAGTTTTGATAAGACATTCGAAATTATGATCGTCTTTCTCTTAAAAAGTTTTATTTATAAATTGTGAATCAAGCCTATTCAACCACATGAATTTTTGAAAGAAAAACACTGCAATGTTAATTTAATTATACAAATTCTTTAATATCATACGAAGAAACGAGATAATTTTATGAAACAAAAAATTTTTAAATTAAAAGTCTCGATTTAAAAATACTTCATCTTCATCATTTTCATAGTTAATACATATGGGCGCTTCAGGATCTAAAACAATTGACTTACTCATTCCCATGTCAACTGTTTGGTTTACATCAGATAAATCTGTTTCTGAATCTGAATTATCATCAATGTTTTTACGAGACTTTCTCCACAAAGTTATTCCTATAATCGCCAAAGTAAATAATGAAACAATGATAATTGAAGAGATAAGAATGATTTGTGGAGGAGTTAAACGACTCTTCGATATTCCTTCTAACTCAGATATGAATATAACTGAAGTATAAAAGAATGTTTCAACAAAAGTATGAATCCATGTAACAATTTCTGTTTCAACAAATGTCGAATTTTCTTTAGTAATTGTAATTTGTGTTGTTTGAATATCAGTTTGTGTAATTGTTTGAGTAAGTGTTGATTTAATTGCATATGTTTCATTTGACTTTAATGGTTGCAATGATTGTGTTGGCTGACTAGTTGGAGGTGGAGGAGTTATTTTTGGTGTTTCTTCTGCTTTAATCCATGATTTCATTCTGAATTTAATTACAGCTGTTCTATATTGATCATATGACTTTAAATATACTGTTTGACCTTTTATTTCACATTCCAAATTGTGGCCTTTTGCAAAACATTCAGCATCTGCTACTTCATCTGTGAAATTAACAGTATATGTTTCATTTGTTTCTCTTGATTGTAATACACTTAAATAACATGATGAGTTATCATTCTTACAAAAACCTGAGTAATATTCTAAGTCTGTACTTTTAATTGCACCATTTACATTTGCCATGAATTTAGCATTCTCAAAGATTTCTTCATAAACTTCGCCAAATCTGAGATACTGACCACCTAAATATGTTTCAATACCATATTTACTATCCCAAACGTTGCCAAATTTTTTGTAGTTATATCCTGTTGGCAATGCACCAATAATCGGCGTTGTGGATGCCCAGTTTTCACGATGATCAGATCCAGTTTCATCCATTATTGAAATAACTTTCGATCCAAGCGAAAATCTTGTGTTTCAAAGTCCAATTTTGTTTTCATATGTGTATGCAGAGTATTGTTCCGTATTTTGCATTCTATACAAGACTGATCCAACATATTGAGCAAGTTGTGGATGAACATTCTTACATTCGACCAAAAAACCATCAGGGGAATATTCATGTAATTCTTCTAATAGTTTTAACAATCCCCACTGATAATTAAAAGTTTCATTATCATCACCATCTAATAAAGCATAAGGAATAATAGAATCAATATTACCCATAGGTTTATAAGACGCATAATTCTTACCATTCGTACAAATATTTCCCATTAATGTTGTATCAAAATTTCTAATCGCGATTCCAGAAAAGTTATATTTGTTATTCATTTCTTTAAATCTCTCTATATGGTATTCTCTAACAGCATCAGATAAAACTACCAAATAATCGTTATAATTTTCGCAACTTTCTAAAGCAAAATAATACCCATTATTATCATAACTTACACCATATGATTTTATTAAATCATATTCTTTTGAATTATATTTTTGGTTAGTATCATTGTATAATATTATTGCGAAAGGATTCATTTCATAAAAGTTTTTAGTTTCTTTATTGTATTTATTGTTAGAACCCCAAAGTAATTTACCGCCGTATTTTGTGACCATTTCTGAATTCCAATTAGTTGTGTTTGGAGATATTGCAATAGATGATTTACCATAAGGATTAATTCCATACAAATCAGGAAATGCTTGATGCCAAACTTCCATTGCTTCTAAAAATGAACTAGTGTTTGCTTCCATAATAATGTATGATATATTTACATCTTTGATTGGTTTGATTTTCATATTAAGAGATGATGTATTCGATCTCATAAATTCATAATGATTAAATGTCCAATCAATAAATGTTTCGCGATTGAAAACATCAATACCAAATATATGTGTTTTGTTTGCAATAATAGGAGAAACGAATTGATAACTACATTTCCCAGGAACAAAAACATGGTTATTACTTATGATTCTTGAAATTGGATACGGAAATTCCATTAACATTGTTGATAAATTAATACTTGGATTACCTTTGTATAGTTTTAATGTTGCTCTATAGGCAGGTTTGTTATTTTTCGTTTGTATTGGTGTTTTGAATGCTGTCGGAAACATTTCTTTCCGAACTTTGTCTTCTGAATAATTTGGAATTTTGTCAATTACAGGTATATAAGTAGTCGTTACGGAAATCTCATAAAATACTGTTTCTAAACTCTGTGGTAAAATATAAGCTCTTAATTTTCTAATTTTTCTGGCCTTTTCAATGAAACTGGCTGAATATCATACGTGTGGATGGTATCTAGATATTTTTTGCAGCGAGTGACGTAACCTTGATCATCATCAAAAAATACTTGAAAGTAACAACGTCCAGCATTCTTAGCATTACAAGCAAAACTTATATAATCCCAATATGTCTCCTTGAAATCCTGATCATCTGTAAGATTCTTTTCGAAATAACTAAAACAATCATCATCGTGAGGATAACTAATATTATCTGTGGTTTTACAACTATATCCTTGATCTCCATTATTTTTTCCGCATTGAATCTGAGAATTCAAAGAATTGCAATATGAATTTTGGTGGAATTCATCATCTGTAAATGTAAGAGTTCTTTCCATGCTATCTTTATATAGTTTTCCGAATAGGTTGCTATCTGCTTTTGCTGATCTAAGCAAAAACAAAATCATCAGAAATTGAAAATAGAATTTCGGTTTTTTTGAAAACGATTGAATCATTCAAGACAAAATCTCACTGTATTGGCACATATTATCACATTTTAAAAATCTGAACAAATTTGTATTGAGACCCAAATAAGTGGCCGGTAAATTCCAACAGACGATAAGAATTATCTATAATGATGAGCTATTAATATTCATGAATCTCATACATCTGAAAAACAATTCACAATTGTCTTGCTATCCATCGTTTAGAAAAATTAATATGGTTGACGAAAATTAAAATATTGGCGTGTCTGTCAGTCGTAAATAGTTTATATGAGAACTGAACACCTCAGTTTCATTGTGAAATGGACATTTCACATTTCTGATTTCCCATCTATTGACTTCACTTGAATAATTATGAAATAAAAAATGACATTTTCCAAGATTTTTTCGCATACTGAATACTTTTAATAATAAAAGCATTTTAAGCAGAAGAAGCTATTGATCAAAACGAATACGTGTTGGCCAGCAATCAATTTTTAATTGAAAATACAGAAATATTTTTCAAATTTGTATTAATTCATAGATCTAACTCATAACGAACAGTTAATTCGGATACAAAAGGCAAGACTTCATCGAATAGAATGAATTACGTTTAATTGCTGCTATTTATCAACAAATAATTTTTATTTCCATGAAATCAATCAAAATTTTTGTTGACTGAACAAAATCCCAAATCAGAAGTTTGGTTAACGCAAATTCAACCACAATTTACAATTCTAGTTAGCTCCAAAACAACAGTTTTTAGAAAAAGAAAAAAATCATCATGTGAAAAAAAGGAGCCAGTGGCGGGACTCGAACCCGCAACCCCAAGATTAAGAGTCTTATGCTCTATCCGGTTGAGCTACACAGGCTATTACATTTGCTCATCTAAAAATTTTCAATTTTATCCTCACTTTTTGAATGATTTTTTTTGTTTGAATTTGTAACCTTTTTGAATGATTCCATTGAATTTTTTTTGAAAATTTTATTTGTCACTTTTCAATGCAATTTGTTCTTCAAGAGCATAATTTTCCAGAAGATTTAAATTATTTAATTCAGACCTGTGATGATACATGGAATCTATCACAGGATAATATTGAAAATGTATATACCAAAATTGAAAATTGCATTCAAAATGAGTATTTAACTGTATCTCAAGTATTTGAAATGCTTTTTCATATGGCATATTATAGGCAACGACAAATACTTACATACGATGATCTATTTTCACGTATATTACAATCACATAATTCTTTTTCAGGAGAAAATATATTTTCATCAAGATATTCTCCAGAAATACAGATCGCTAGACATCAACATGCAGACAACAATTCAACATTGAACATAATGAAAGCAATTTTTGAAGATGATATCGATAAATTTATTGAAATTTCAAGTGTGCCAGGTTTTAATTTCAAAATGGTCATCAACAACACATTTCTTGTCGAACTCGCTGCTCAATACGGCTCATTAAAAATTTTTAAATTTTTATTAAATAATATTTCAGTCGATTATCAACGAACAATCATGGCATCCATAATAGGAGGCAGCTACGAGATCTTCCACATATGTGAAAAGAACTCAAACATCGTTCCTTTGTTAATTGAAGTTTCAATCGTTTCAAATCGCAACGATATCGCACTTTATCTCCAAGACAACCACAATTTCGAATATTCATACCCGATATGCACAAAATCATTTAATTTTGTTGCATTTTTTTACAAAATATTCAAAGATAATTCTAATATCGACAGTTTTGACAATAATGGCTATAATCCACTTATATCATCAATCAATGATAATATCTATGTCATTTTCAAGTACTTAGTTGATTCAGGGGCTGATGTAAATGCGGAAAATGTTGGATTATCAACTCCTTTGAATTTTGCAGCGAAAAATTGTTCTATAAAGTTTGTTTCGTACTTAGTAGATAAAGGAGCAGATGTTAATCATAAGAATTCTCTTGGAGATACACCTCTTATGCTTGCTTCAATGGTTGGAAATTTAGAAATTGTCACTTTTTTAGTAAATCATGGATCGAAAGTAAATGAAAGGAATCGGAATATGCAAACATGTTTAATGATGGCATGCGCGCGCAATCATCTACAAATTGTCGAATTTCTTTGTGATAATGGAGCTGATATAAATATGAGAGACGATCAAGACACAAATTGTTTTCTTTTCGCAGCAGGTAACGGATATTCTGATGTTTGCAGTTATTTAATTGAAAAAGGAGTCGATTTAGAATCAAAAGATGTAAAAAATAGGACTGCTTTGTTTTTGGCTGTAAGAAATAATTGTTTTAATACTGTAAATTTACTTTTGGAGAAAGGAGCTGATGTAAATACAAAGAATATTGATAATATTTCTCCAATTAACATGATTGTTTGCGTCAAATATCCTAATTTGCTTGAATTATTAATAAAGTATGGTGCTGATATAAATTCAAAAGATTTGGAAGGAAAAACTCCTTTGATTAACGCAATTCACTTAGATTGTCAAGAATCTGTTAAAATACTTCTAGAGCATGGATCTGATGTTAACATAGAAGATAACCATGGCTTGAATGCCATAAGTTATGCAAATTCTTTGAATGATCCAATTATTTTAGAATACATCAACCAGAAGATTACACAATAATAAACTAAAATATTACTGTTTGTTTTTCTATCAATTTACTCTTTTATTGAAAGAATTCTTTCAATAATTTTTTTATTTTTACAATGAATGAATTAAACTTAGCTCTTTTAGCTTGTGGACTGAGTATTCCAAATCTTGATTGATCTCCAACACAAACTCTAGGTTTTCTTTTGGATATTTTTGTCAAGAGCAGCTAAATTAATAAGGTAAATGGGTACATTTATTGTTACATTAACGAAAGAATTACTTATGCTATTAGAATCTGACATAAAAAAATTAATGCTTTTTGTAATTTGCGAAAGTCTTTTGACTGATTCTAATTCTATCCTTAAAAATGCTTATCACAAAGGTATGGTAGAATGCTCAGTCAGTGGATCATCTTCACAGTATATAAATGGCACAATTCAAAAAACAAAACCTGAATATGCATTCAATCAAATGTAGAAAAAGTATGACTGGTGCTCAGAATGCGGTCGTAAAAGTACAGATCACCCATGGATTACTTTAAGTATCAAAAACAGCAACATGAGATTAAATGGATATTATATCAAAGCTGGATGCTGCGGTGAATCCGGATCTGATGGTTGCTGCTGCTATGATATCGAATACTGCTGCCGCTGCTGCCTTTACTCATGGAGTTTCCAGATTTCGAATGACAATGTTACATGGAAGACAGTTCATTCAGTCGAAAAAGATATGGAAATGGTTTACTGCAAGGACAAAACATATAAATTCAGCGAATCTTATAATACAAGATATATCAGTCTTATTCAGGATGAAGCTTGCCCAGGAGATCCACCATGCATAGCTATCAATAAGATAGAGCTTATTGGAACAATTGATGGCGAAGTTTCTTACGAAGCTCATAATTTTGAGTCAGAAGACGATGATGTCAGCATCATCGGTCATATTTCTAAGAATAGGATGTAAGTTACCAAATTTTGATAACATTCCTTAAGGATGTCAATTCGGAAAATTGTTTTCATTTTAGGAGAATATAATTTTCCTTTTCGAAAATTTAAAAAGTGAGATGCGCAGGATTCGAACTTTTTTAAAAGTTGATTTAAATATATTCTAGTGTGGATTCTAAGGATAATATCATATTTAAAATAAGAATATACTAGTTTAGGTGGTATAATTTTTTTCGATAAATTTGAGAGCATGTACGTTTAGGGCATCAAAAGTGTCAATTTGCTCAGCGAAAGCTAAGCTAGCTTCGTTCTCGAAAGAATAGGGAAGGAGTGAAAGAGAGTGATACAGATGTTGACACATTCATATCATTTCAACAAATTTTGATCAAATTGAAATGCAATGAAATTCAATTCACTTCATATCCTTCAGTCAGTACATTGACATCCTTCTACATCACAATGATAACTCGTGCATCAATAGTTCTACAACTAACTCAGATAAAACAAGATTTTTCCTTCCAGCTTACAGCTTTTAAAAAGTTTCGATGATAAAAATCACTCTACTCTTGTTTATCGATATGTTGTGATAGTAGGTAAACGTATTCTTATCGATATTAATAAAAATATTTTTACGAAAATCTGAACCAATTACAGAGTTATTCATAAAGTTTATGATAACTGTAATTACTTCTTCTTTGTTTTATATTTGAATAAACAATTTAATTTAATTTGCATAATTTTTTTTAGTTGAAAGACAGGAAACTTAGTTGAGTTTGTATTATTTTTATCGTTCAATTCATTGTATATGTGAGTGATCCAGATATTTAAGATATTTAGAAAAAATTTATTAATTTGATGAACAAATTTTAATCAAAATAGCAAAAATCTATTTGATAGCTGTAAGCAAATAATAATTTCTATTTCAACCAAAATCACTTATTTTCATCTAAACGTATAAAATTGTCAATTTTATGAGAATAAATTTAAAATCTCATGAAATATAAAGGAGAGTAATATTTTTCAATTTTCTTTTTTTCTTTCTCTCAAATATTTTCTATTGGGAATTTTCTTGTTATCAAAAAATAATTTTAATATTTGTTTATTTCATTACATACAATAAAATTTTAAAAGCTCTATTTCTTCACAAGAAAATTTTTTTCCTTCATATGAAGAAACATTTTGTTCTCCATTTGATGCTGAGTCTAAATCTCGATTTTTGAATTTTCTTCTTTCCAAATTTCGTTTTTCCAAATTAGAAGTTTAATTCAAATTTTCAATAGTTTATATATTTTCTCAAACCGTCTTAGATTTTCTCACTTTTTAGGGATTTTCTCTCAAAATATACAAAAATAGTAATACCAATACATGTGTCTAATATACTTTAAAACCATCGTGATAAAATTCAAAAACGAAGAGTTCTTCTCTCCAAATTTTTTTCAAAATCAAAAAAATGAGATAAAAAAATACGTTTGGAAAATTCATTTTTAGCATTTTAGGAATTTTCTCACTTTTCTTCCAAATTGACATCCTTACATTCCTTTCTAAAAATATTCTTTTACTCTTTTATTTTTTATTTTTATTTTATTATTTAAAAAGTATCTACTCTTAACCATTGATATTACATGAAAAAATAAAGACTCTTTATTATGCTATCTTGTAATCTATTAACCACTAAAATTATTCAAAGATTTATATGATTTATTGTTGTCTTCTGAAAATATGAATTCCACACATGCAGTTAATAACATTTTATATGATTTCGGAATTTTTTTTTGATTCATAAACCATAACGATAAAAATCAATTCAAAAATAGCAAACTATAATGTTCATACCCATATTTATTTTTTCTTTAAATTTTTATGGTTACACACCCCTAACAAAGGAATTGAAAATCAGATCGTTGTAAAGGTGACAATACGACGAAAAAAGCGATAATTCAAAATAGGGATGGAATCAAAGAAAGTGACTATCGATGAGAATGAATTGGATCAATTCGTTGCTGCTATGTTGAAATCTATCGACAAATTAGAAAAGATTTCAGATGTTTACAGAAATTACGCATATAACATGAACAACTTAGTACAATTTGATGCAACAATGTATCAAACGAGTATTGACACCATTGATGAAATATACAAGAGGCTTTCAGAGTATTACAAAAACGCTGCAAAAAGTTATCGACGTTCACTTGAAGATCTTAAAGACATCAACGCAAGATTTGCCGTTTTAGTTCGAGTAAGGACAGATAGACTTAATGCATATCAAGATTTTATGCGCGATTTTCAAAATTCTCATTTTGCAAAATATAATTACAAACCAACATCAAGTTTCTATCAGAATGCTGTTAAAGCTGAACGAGATTCAGCAGAAAGACTCTACAACCTTGACAAACTTCTTCTTGAAACTCATAAGAAATATAAAAGGTTTCAATGGCGAAGAATCAAATCCGCATGGGTCAGATATAGTCATACTTTTACAGAGCTATACAAATTCGAAGCATTATGCTTTGAATACATTAACAAAATCCTTAATGCGCTCAAAAATTATCCAGAAGACCCAGAATCAATCATTGAGAAAAGTGAAATCGATTTACCCAAGCTATACACCATGTATTACGCTCAGGAACAGCTCCACGACCATCTTTCAGTCCATCATAAATCTGATAGCGGAAATTCATCTCAAACACCAATAACTGTTCAGGACATTGAAGTACAAGAAGTTTCTGATGACTATGAAGAGGAATCAGAACCAGAAGAACCAGTTGCCGATCCAAATGCAGAAATTGAAGAATTTGTTGCAGTAAAATCATCAAAAAACAAATCTTTGATTGCCATTCCAACAATTCCTGCAGAAAAGGACTTGGAAGAAGAGAATTTGGTTCAATTAAACATTCCTATGGAAATGCAACTTTAAAAACGCGATTTTTATATCAATTTCGCATCGTTTTGTATTTGTATTAATAAAATGTTATTTCAATTTCTTTAATTACAATGAATCTTCGTTATTTCATCGAAAATACACGATTTAAATGAATACATAGTTCCTCAGCTTCTTTCCTAATTGATTGATGTATGATTTCCATAATTGTCTCTCAAATAACATATAATTTCATCATAGTGCACCATCATTATCTTTACTGTCAATAAATATGTTGACATTTATTGTTCAATTATGCCATTTGAATGACAATATATCTTCATTCTCTTTACTTCGCCATATTTTTTGAATGATTTTTTTTTCAATAAGTTTTTGCTTTTTCAAAGTTTGTAAAATCATTCAATATCGTAAAAAGTTGAATATAATATCGAAAATACACATCAGGTTCATTGTTCTTCACTACTAATTTACTAATTTACATTTTAATGAATGATTCTTGACCGAAAATACGCAAGTAACAGCACATATGCTTCACTTGATTTCAAAATATACCATCTCGCTTTTGAACATAACTTTTCAATCTCCAAATGTTTCGAAACTGAAACAGAATCAAGAGCTTCTCATAATCGCTATGCAAATTCATATTTGACTCTTGCCAAACGCATATCTGATGATTACCATATCGAAGAGACCGACGAACTATATGATATTTCTAACTACCTGTTTCTTAAACATTATGGCATTCAAATAGACAAATTTCTATTGTAAAAATTATGATCTTGAAAGAGATTCAAAAAATTTCAGGGCGAAAGATAGAGTTTGTGTACTAAAAGTTAAATATAACATTTTATATATATATTGGTTACAAAGAAAGTCTATAAAGCTCGACATCGATGATTGGATCTCCACTTGGGTTCTCTGTGAGTGCAGGGCTGTGGAAAGTTTCACATTTTTCGCTGAAAATTATGTGAAAACCATCCTCGATGTGAATTGCAGGTCTAGGACCTCCAATTGTTATGGAGTGCTTGAAAGCAGCCTGGAACAAGTTGTTTGGTGGTGGATCCTGTTTGTAAATAACAAGAGGATCCAAAGTAAAGACAAAACTTCCTGGTTTTCCGTAGAATCTTCCGAATGCGCACATTTCTGGGTTAATTGGTTCACCCAAATAAGCCCCAATAACGCGGTTCTTCGCTGTCTTTACCAATATGATGTAAGGAGCCTTCTTCGATGACTTTTCGAACAAAGATAACAAAGATGTTCCGTCATTACTCATCGAAAAGACCCTACGTGCATCGTATCTCGATACCGATGCTGGTAGTTGCTCTCTGAGCATGTAAAAGTTGTCGTTCGTCAGTAGTTTTCCGTTGATTACAACTGGCATCGCTGATTCCGCGAGTTCTTTCTGTAGTTTGCGTGTGGATTCTTCAATACCTTCAGGAGAGAACTTCATCATTGTCTCCAAAGCTATCGCGCCTCTCATTGTATCGCCAATATTGATAACATCGAGGTTTTCGCAATCGTCGCTTGACATTCTTCTTCTCCTTTCTGCAAATAAGTTGGTCATACTAGGAGACATCATGCCAATGACGTTCTGTGACGTATAAAGATTCGATCCTTTATCTGTACAATCGTCCATCGCTTTTAGCTCGAACTTATCGATATGGCGTGGCCTGGAGAGGAATATTTTGAATGAGTTCTCAAGGAATTTCGTCGTTGAATGCGGGGATGAAAGCATATTCATGCCATCAACAAGTGTAGATAGGAAATCTTCGCTCGTCTTGCATTGTAGTAATTCGGTTTTCTGTATATCGAAAAGAGAAATCGCAAATCTGACTAAAATTTTTCTTCCTTCCGAAACGAAACTGTCGAAGAGAGTTAGAGCAACGTGGATAGGTGTAAATGGAAGAAAAAAGACAGGGAATAAGGCTAGACCAATCTGGGCAATATCTAGTCCAAGCTCAAATGTTTTTTTCGATATTGCTGGGATTTTTGAAGCAATTAAAGCACGAAATCCCGTAACAGATGCTATGAATGACTCTCTAGTCAATGTAAAGTACCAAGAATTTTTCGTAGATTTGTTAATCATCTGTTGAATTGAGAGATAAGCGAGAGAAGGTTCGAGATAGAGGAGTAAGAGAACAGAAACAGTAGGAATTAAAGGAGAAAATGTGATGTGTTTGTTCCGAACCCAAACAACATGGAGAAATTGCTTGACTTTTTCAGCTAATTCGGGATGAAGGAAAGGAAGCAAGTCAATTGCTCCACCGAACTGGGATGTACTAGTCATTGGTACTTTTAATGATGAACGTAAGGCATTTGGCCAAACATCACCGGCTTGAGAAAGCAATTTAAGTCCTTTACTCGCTATAAACCACCACTTTCTTCGCAAAGTGTGTGGAATGCCGTATCTAAATGTTTGCTTTAGACTTTCATTTATTTTTGGTTCAAACTGTGGTAGATTCTTGAAAGCAGATAATCTTCTGATTTCTTCACTCTCCCATTCAGGAGGATCAGTAACATTTATTTCGTTATAAAATCCGAAGTTGTCTTCTGAGGATAGTTTCCATTCCCGCATTAAGTGCTCATAAAACATTTAATTTTTGAATCAAAAACCAAAAATAAATATTAAAAAGTGACATCAATTCAAAAATGGCAATATTAGTATATAAAAAATATTTGATGAGTGTAAAAATTCTATATTAAAAATGTTTTTTAGTTTTTGAATGTCAGAAATATTTTTTAGCATAATCAGATTTAACATAAGCAAACCATGGATGATATTTATTTTCGCTACTCGCATTCAAATTTTGTGAGTAGATAGAATATTTGAGATTTTCAAAAATTTTAGCGATTTATTTTTTTTAAACAAGATTAGTATAGTAAATGATTTTGTAAAAAATGTATCCAAACTTGATCCAACATTTATTGGTTTCATTGTAAAATATTTGGATTCATCATGCATTACTCAAACAGTTATTCTGAGTTTATTCGAAATATCGGTTAAATTTCATTTGTTATCCTCAAAAATTTGATTAATGAATATCAAAACATATTTTTTGAGTTATACAGGTAGATGGGGTGCTATTATTCAAGTCTCTTTCATTGAAACAACACAGCATCATAGAAATTAACCATGAATTGCTATTAATATCAACTTCCACGAAGATTATATAAATATACTTAATGCTGATGTTATAGTTTAAATATTAGATGAAATGTATGAGGCTTTATTTTTTGACAGTTACATGAACATAAATTAAATTATTAACATATTGTTTAGAATGAAATAAGTAATATTTAAAATTTTTCCCATTTTAGAAAAAAATGCATTTTAACTAAATTGATAATTTTACGAAGTTACTATTATATATTAATTCAAAATTCAATTTTAAAATAAACCTATCGCTCTCATTATTTTCGTTTAATTAAAATTTTTCAGAAAGAAATATTCAATTATTTCAGTGGCTTCAAAAGTCATTATTTTATATTTGAGAAATACATGATTTAGCTTATTAGTCATATAATTAAAGAACGATAAGTTTTCGATAAAACAATATTTGATATTCTTCGTACAAACTATATTTTATATATAATTAATTGAATTACTGGCTTTTATTCATTCAATGTTTTCAATATTTTGATAATCCTTTCAAAAAATATAGATTCGAATTTTAATATTTACTTAAATTCTATTCCGAATTAAGTCAAAGTAAAACATTAACGATCAAGCTATTGCATTTTCAAATTTTTCAATTGAAAATTAAATTCATAAAGAACATTTATAATTTTTTTTATCTCTCCATGAACAAAATCTCATTGCAAGACTTACCACAAAATCATTTGCACCTAATAAACATTACTGAAATAATATGGTCATGTGATTTCAATCAAATCCCAAACTTAATCACAATATTAAAAGCTGAAATTCAAAACGGAGATATCACTATACCTGCAATTACAGCAATAGTTGATGTGATAAGTTCAAAACGATTGCATCAGCTTCGGTTCTTTACAGAACTTCTTCAACAAATTTATGAAGCATTTGATTTTCATTTATCGCCCACTTATTACTTTATAAACAAGTCTCTTCTGGAGGCATTAGTAACATTAAAAATCATCAAGAATTCTACTATTCAACTTAAATCATACAGAACTATTGATGACATCTATCATATCTATCCACAAAACACTGTAAATCACTGCGTTTTCTGGGACAATTCCGATATGCTATAACAGTTCGCTCAAAATGCCGGATTTAATATTAATATGAGAACTTCTGGCGGCTTATCACTAATTGATCTTTCAGCTCAATTTGGAGCAACAAAGTGTTTCAATTTCCTTGTTTTAAACAATGCAAAGATTACTGTTCGTACATTGGAAAATGCATTTTTTGGAAATTCCAAAGAGATCATACTCAAGTGTTTAGAGCAATTCGATCTTACTCAGAACTGCATTGAATATGCAGTAAGATCTCATCATAACAAAACTGTCAAAACTTTGATGACGAAATATAATTTCAAATATTCTTGGTATTCAACATTGTACTCATTCAATTTGAAAATGTTCTATCCAAAACTACATTCACTAGAGAATATTAACTCCAAAGACGAAAACGGAGAAACAGCTTTAATTGCGGCGTCAAGAGTTGGTTTAGTTCCTATTGTTAGACTCTTAATAAACAGAGGAGCCAATGTAAGTGTACCAGATTCAAAATTTAAGACCGCATTAAGTTGGGCATGCGAAGAAAACTTTATTGAAGTGGCAAAGATCTTAATTGAAGCCAAAAGTAACTTGAACTCCACAGATAAATACAATTGGACACCAGCTCATTACGCAATTATCCAAAACAGTCACAGAATTTTACAAATGTTGGTCGATAAAAACGTTGATCTTTCTATACATGACTTAAATGGGAAGACACCATTAATGGTTTCAAGTTACAACAGTGCAATCGAATGCACAAAGATTTTGTTGACAAAACAAATTAATTTGGAAGAAAACGATAGAAATAATTGGACAGCTTTGATAATAGCAAGTGCAAACAATTCAGTAAACATTGTTAGAGCATTAGTTGAGAGTGGCGCTAATATTGAACACGAAGATAAATGGGGAAATACTCCAATTATGATTGCCGCTGGAAAGAACAACACAGAAACAGTTACTTTCTTAGCAAGTATCGGTGCAAATGTCAACCACCAGAACAGAAATGGAAAGACAGCTTTAATTTTTGCTGCTGATAACAATTCAATTGAATCTGCAAAAGTTTTAGTTGATTTTAAAGCAGATGTTGAGATAGAAGATATGAACAGAGATACTGTATTATCTATTGCGAAAAGGAATGGATTTAAAGAGATCCAAGCCTTAGTTTCTGACTAATTTTATGTTATTTTATCTATGTATTTTTTTTATTATTTGTAAATCTTTTGTTTGATTATGATTACTAATGCTAGTGATGTTTTATAGATTTGGGTATAATTAATGGTATTTTGATTTTTTCCAAATTATTTATTGATTTCTTTCGTTTAATGGACTGTCAATGAGTTTATCGGCAATCAGAAATGATGTTACAGATGCTTTTGAAGAAACTTCAGCTTCAATAGTTGTTAGATCAAGATTTAAAGTCAAGTTTTGCTTTCTTAACGCTTGGGTAAATTTATTGAAAGCTTCAATATACTAAATATAAGTGTCAAAGGCGTTAACAACAATATATAGTTTTAGAACCTTTCATTTTGTTAAATCAGTAGGAATTCTGTATACCAACTATAAAATCCTATCGAATGATTTTATGGAAAGCGATACAGAAATCCAATAACATTTATTTTTATAAAAATGATTTTGGTTTCGTAACTAATGTTTCCTTATAAACTCGACTACAACAGTTCATCGTATCTTGGTCTCGTATATTACATTAGGAATACCACAAATCATTCATTTGATGTCGTTCCAACTGCTAGTTCAATTCATGCTTCATGGAACAAATCAGATCGTCCTTATTGGGTCATTAATGGTATATCAGAAACACAGCCAGATGATACAACTCGATGGGTTTCAAAAGCAACGAACTACCAGTGGTATCAGCTTGAATTCAAAAAATTTAAAATTGCACTTACTGGATATTATGTGTATACATATAGAGGACGTATAAGGTATATGGAAATGCTTGGATCCAATGATGGAACTAACTTTGATCTTATTGAAAATACCACAGTTGCTTCCCATCCAGATAATTATTTAGCTTATGTTAACATATCAAAATTGAAATGGTATCGCACATTTCGGTTGAAAAATCTTGGTCCTGGATTTGATGGCAATTATGCCTTTGATCTTTATCGTATAGAGCTATTTGGCTATGTAGATGAATTTGCTGAGTGTAGTATTTACAATTGCCGCTTACTTAGAAATCCATTTATTGGAAATATCACACCTTTTATTCTAATTTCAACCTCATAAATAAAAGATTTCTCTGTGCCCAATAGATTCTTGAATTATTTTCATTTTTTTATGTTGATGTCTTGCATATAACATTTAATGCTATCTTATAGAGTTGATTACAACAGTTCATCATATCTTGGTCTCATATGTTATATCAGAAATACCACGAATAATGCAAATGCAGTCTTTTCAACAGTCAGTTCATTTCATCCATATAGTTATGATATAGATGGACCTTATAAAATCATTGACACTATATCAGAAACAACTCCGAATGAACCTTACCGATGGATTTCAGAAGAAAAAAACTATCAATGGTACCAACTTGAATTTCAGAATATTCAAATTACACTTACAGGATATTATATAGTTTCATATAATGGATATCAAAGGCATTTTCAGATACTAGGATCAAATGATGGAATAAACTTTGACCTAATTCAAAACACATCTCTATCTTTTATTCCATCAAATAGACTAGCTTATATTAAAGTTTCAACATCAAGACGATATAGTATATTTAGGTTACAAAATTTTGGCCCCAGATTTGACCCAGAAGTTGATACTTATGCTCTTGATCTTTATCGTATTGAATTATTCGGATATGTAGGTGAATTTAATTGGTGTAACACACGGAAATGCCAAATATTCGATAGATCTTTTATTGGCTTCATTTCGTTAGAAATTTTATTTTAAATTTCATGAATAAAAAGTTATTGATTAAAAATATGCATAATATCTTCGATAGACAATAAACATTTATTATAAACAAACTATTATAATGGAGAAAATTTGACATCGCCAAGATCATCTTCTGAACCTCTGAAATTTCCTGGTGATCGTTTACTTTCATCAGAAAAGTACTGTTTGTAAATAAAGAAACTGATAACCGCTGTTGCAACAATTATTACCAAAATTAAACTGAAATTAGACGAACCTGACTTCTTAAGCTTCTTTGCATTAAGTAGTTCATCATCTTCTTCGAATCTGTCAGTATCTTTTTCAAAATTATCTTTATTATCTTTTCCAGGTTCTTGATTTCCATTATTGTTGTGTGCCTTTGCATCAGTATCATTATCTAAATCTGAATCTTGATTCCTGTTATCTTTTGTTGCTTTTTTATTAAAATTATCATCATTTTCTTCATCTTTAGAGTCTCCGTGTTGATTCTTCATTTCCATGTCATCATCGTAGTCATCATCCATCTTGTCCTTTTCATCTTTTCCGTTTCTTTTTGGAGAAGTTTGAATTTCTTCGGAATCGTCGTCATCATCATTATCTGGCCTTGCACGTAACTTTCCTTTCTTAATGTCTTGCTTTTGTACCTTTTGCGATTGGAAATCTTCTGCTTCATCTTCGATTTCCTTTTCAAGTTGACTTTTCAGGTGTATTTTCTTCTTTTCTTTTGGTTTGACGATTTCTTCCATTTCATCATCAGTTATTATCTTTATTGGCGGCATTTCGGTTGCGTTATCATCTTTTTCTGTATAAACTCCTTTTCCTGTATATTTTATGAGCGAGTTTATAATTACAAGTTTATCTTTGATCTTGTCGTATGAAATTTCTTTCGATTGTGTAATATCTGGTGGAATTATTGTCGACCTTGAATTTAATAAAAGAAAACCTTTGGCTTTCAGTTTAGAATTTTGTGGTTCCGTATCAAGAGTGTAAATATCAAGCATTGTTTCTAAATTATCCTTTGAAATTACCTTGATAATGATGTTCATATTTCCATTGACGAAGCCAATGATTCCTGGATCCCCTTTTGATGCATAGATGAGGGTAAGTTTGTCATTATCTTTTGAATATAATTCAAATTCTAAGTTTTTGATTGATGAAAATTTTACAAAGTTTGAGTTATCGACTATTTCATAGTAGACTTCTTTTCCCTTCTTCTGACGGATAGGATATGAGGATATTGTTAATAAAGATAAAGAAAATATGGCTGACAACATTAAAATTAACAAGACTGAATTTGACAGTGTAAAATTTTCTTGGTTTTCATAAATCTTATTAATGAGATTGAAATTTATATATTTATCATATTGAATCGATGCTCAAAATTTGTGAGGTTCATCCTCTAACTAACCGAAAAACTAATAAAATAAACAATGAAAATTTGCTATATATTAGATTTCAAGATATTTCTATTTTTCAGGTTTTTCATACCAAGCCTTTCAGGAAGGATAGGAAACCGGATCGACAATTCCTAAATTTTATACTATTACCTACACAATGTACTCGTCAGAAAGACATTTTTACAAAGTTTTGAATTTTCGAATTGCCAGGTTTTCTATATTCGTTTGTAAATTCTACCATAAACAAAGACATCAAAAAAGAACGAATAAGTGATTCATTATGATTATCCTTTTGGCTCTTTTCAAAGATATTGATCAAGGTTGTTACATAAATGACGGGAAAACACTTAATAAAGTCAATGATACATCACCGCATCTTAGGATATCAGCACGGTGTGAAGAAATAAAAGAAAGTTGCTTTTATAAACTAAATTCGTTGATTTCGTTTTCCTTTGAAGACCACCCTAACTTAACAACAATTGGAAGTTCCAGCTTTCAATCATGCATACATCTTTCCATTGCTAATTTATCATCCTGCATTAAACTTATAACAGTTTCTTCCTATGCTTTTAGTTCTTGTGATGAAATTAGTATGATTCTATTACCAACAGGACTTCAAGAAATCCAAATATCTGCTTTTCAATATGATAAGTTATTAACTAGTGTAATAATTCCAGCATCAGTGGAAATTATTGGTAGTACTGCCTTTTCAGATTGCGTTAATTTAAAAAATGTTACTTTTGAAGAAGGTTCTAATCTATTAACTTTAGAATGGGCTGTATTTTCTGGATGCTCGATAAGTTCATTTCAAATTCCAGAAAAAGTTACAAATGTTGATGGATATGCATTTACAGATGGAAAACTAACAAATCTCACGCTTCATCCAAAGAATGAATACTTATTTGTAGAAAATAACACAGTATTTTCGGCAGATAAATGTATTTTATTCTTTATTTCTAATAAAACTTTCGAAACATATGAAATTCCGAGTTTTGTTTCAACATTAGGACAGGGCTGCTTCTATAAATCAAAGATAACCGCAATAGCAATACCAGAAAATGTAAAAAGGATTGAACAAATATGTTTTTGTGATTGTAAGAATTTGATAAATGTTACATTTTTAGGGCCTCTAGAAAACATTGGTAGTAATATATTTGCACTTAGTAATAACATTGAACTTATTGTCTTTCCGAATACAACAATGAAAGTTGAAGGATATGAATTCATTTCAAACAGATCTCCAAAAATCCGAATGAAATTCACTTGTAAAATTCGATTTAATTATAATTCAATTTATAGAATTACAAATGTCTCAATATCATATCTTGATAAACTAGATCTTGTAATAGACAAAAATACACTTATAATGGATTCATATCAAACAAAAATATATGAATTCTGGGGTTTCAATGTCTTAAAGATTACTATTCCGAAAACTGTTTCAAGAATCAGAGAAAGTGCTTTTGAAAACTCGACAATTCGACAGATAGATTTTGAAAAAGATTCGCAGCTTGTTGAAATTGAGAATTATGTATTCAGAAACTGTTCAATGTTAGGATCCATTAACTTTTCTTCTTTATATTTGCGATCTCTCGGATTTTCAGCTCTAAAAGATTGCATTTTGTTATCTTCTGTAAGTTTTGCATCATCAGATGTTGAAGTGATGAATAATGCCTTTGAAAATTGCATTAATTTAGAAAGTGTTAATTTTATGAATAATATTCTTGATAACTGTTTTTCAGGATGTACTAATTTAAGCCAAATTAATATTAAAGAAGGATCAGAGATTATTGGAGTTGGATCATTTGAAAATTGTAATTCTTTGGAGAAATTAAATATACCATCATCTGTGAAAATTATTTCAGATTATGCTTTCATTAATTGCAATAATCTGAAAACAATTTTCTTCATATCAAATAACTTATTAGAGAATTTCTCAATTAATTCATTTTCAGGTTGTATATCTCTTACTAACATCACTGATTTTTCATCCGATAATTATGAATGTAATTTTAACACGATTTATTATAAAAACAATTCAAAACTTGATCTAGTTTATCACGCGAGAAATTCTTTAGATAAAGTTCTTATTGTAAGTTGTAATACCATTTGTAGATTTTCGTTTAATCATAGCAACAATATTAAGAATATTAGCATTTCACCGAATAGTGTTTCTCATATTGAAGAATTCTCATTCAATAATTGTCCCCAACTCAGATACATTAACTTCCCTCTTTCAATTCAAACAGTAGCTGCTTATGCGTTTAATGAATGTAGATCAATACGATGCCCTATAAATATAGAGAATACAAGTGTTGACTACCTTAAAATGATTTCAGAATCAGGTATTTCTTCAAAGCTTGTTTTTTCATGCCAATTTTTGTATGATTCTAACAGGCAAAAAGTTAAATTTCAACTATTTAATAGTTCTGCAAATCTTTTTTGGCGACATCTTTCCAATTAAATATGAATGTACTCTTTACAGAAATTCTCGAAAACTCTTCTACTAGATAAGAATGTAGTTGTTTTAATGGGATAATATCATAAATAAAATTATGACACTAATTGACAGTGAGTTCTCATCTGAGTTCTTTGGATAGCAAAGTACAAACATTCAAAGTCTCAAAAATGAAAAGGAATTCAAGTAGAGCCCTAAAATGACTAATGTTCACAAGTTAACTATTAGATAATGTCATGTTTACGTAATTTTACTCTTTTCACAGTCATAAACAAATGGACACATAAATTTTTCATACAAATCCACATTTTTTTAGAAGTTAGTTTGAATTACTACTCAGAACCAAGAATTTCTTAAATATTTTTTGTTTCTAATTTTCATGAAAGTTCAAAGTTCTGAAATTTTGAACATTCAAACAATTTTTAAAAAAGAAGATTTTATGTAATCTTTTGAAATTTTCAAAAACACAAATCTAAACCTCAGAATCATAGTAGCAGCTATGTTTCATACTATTATTGTAATATCAAAATCAAGCTCGCAATATTTCAAAATAAAGACACAATTTAATTTTATAAATTTCACCTTTATACTTCAATCATTCATAGTATCAAACTTTTATCACAAGAAAATGTAATGAAGAAAATGATGATTAAATGCTTATTTTATTTACCATTTTGACCAATTACAAAGAAATAAATGCGAGTTGCTATTCAAGAGACTTTAAAACACTCAACAAAGTTGAAGACACATATCCAAATTTAATTATCTCAGCGAAATGCGAAATTATAGCTGATGATTGCTTTAAAAACATGATTTCATTACTTTCTTTTACCTTTGAAGACAATCCTAACTTAACAACAATTGGAGGATATAGTTTTAATGGATGTATAAATCTAACTAATATTAATTTATCATCATGCATAAAATTGAAAACAGTAAAATACAATGCATTTGATGGATGCAAAAATGCAGCATATATACTCTTGCCTAAAGGTATTATTGATATTCAATCTTCAGCTTTTGCTTCCAATTATGTAATGACAAATCTAACAATCCCTGCATCCGTTGAAAAAATTGGAAATTGTGCATTTATGTATTGCTTGAAACTAAAAACTCTTATTTTTGAGGATGGATCAAATTTGACTTCATTGTCAAGATATGTATTTTATGCATGTGATTTTCACACATTTGAAATACCAGAAAATGTTTCCAAAGTTCATGGTATGTTATTTAATGATGGATGGTTATCAAATATTACAGTAAATCCAAAGAATCCTTTCCTTAAAGTTGTCAATAAGACAGTTTTTTCTGCAAATATGAACATTTTGTATTATTTTTGCAAAAAACCAACACCAACATTCGAAATTCCAAGCTCTGTAACAACATTAGAAGCTAGTCTCTTTCAAGAAGGAACTATTTCATCAATTACATTTCCAAATACTCTAACAACAATTGGAAACGATTGCTTTCATGATTCACGTATTACATCAATCGTAATTCCTGAAAATATAGGGTGTCCAAAGGTGTGTTTAGCACAAACCTGAATACTGCGAATAGAAATAAACAAGTTACATATATATAAAGTTTATTTAAATATAATCACCATTGGATTCAATCACGCGTTCGCAGCGATCGATCCAGGCTTGAAAGACACGCTTTAAATCATCATGAGAAAATTGCTCAAATTGCTCTCTTACAAAATTTTCAAGATCATCTGGACTCGCGAATTCGCGTCCTTCAGCTCTCTTTTTTAGCGTGCCGAATAAATAAAAGTCAGAGGGTGCAATATCAGGTGAATAAATTGGGTTTGGAACAACTTTGACATTGTTTTCCAACAAGTAATTCATTACCTTATGACTTTTGTGAACTCTTGAATTATCAAAATGAATTGCAAACTTTTGTTTTTGTTGTTTGGATTTCTCAAACTCATCAGAATTGATAATTTGAGTAAGAACATTGTCAATTAGATACTGAGCATTCATCGTATTAGGTTTTTGAAGAATATCAATTGCGATGATGCCATTCACGCCCCAAAAAACCGACAACATCATCATTGGTGTGTCAATTTTTTCTTCGGGAATGTTTGCGGATTTTCATCCTTCGGGATCCACATGATTTTGGCTTCTGTTGCATATTGAAACCAAGACTCGTCCCCTGTTACTAAAAAGCGAAACTTCTTGGATTGATACGCACCCAATATAGAGAGGAGCTCTTTCGAAGATTGGACTCTAGATTTTTTTTGAACTGAATTAAGGTTGTGCGGAACCCAACGTGTATACGCTAGTTTGTAGTTCAAATAATTGTGCAGATAATAACTGACTGTTGTACGTGGTATCTTTGTCATCTCCTCTATCCTTCTGAGTGATGCTCTTGGGTCTTCATCTAGCGCTTGAAGAATTGCTTTGATTTTTCTTTGATCCGGCAATTTTTTGTCAATTTTTATGATGGGCGCCTTTTTGTTCATGAAGTGATACATCCTAACATGATACGTTACAGTGGAATAGCTAGGAGCATCCATACCGAAGCATTTTACCAATGTCTCGTAGATTTTTTACAGTCTTTGCATTTTTTTGCAAGAGCGAGGATGTTTTCTTTATGATTCATTAAAAAAATGAAAAAATCCCGCCAAAATTTTCCGCGAAACCGCCTCTTGTCTCAAAATTCATTTTATATCCCGGCATGGCGCCAAAATACAACATACTCATCATATACATATATTCATATTTTTTATTATATATTTATAATCAGCATATATCTCCTTTAATAGTCTCATATAGAGCGCTGTGCTAAACGCACCTTTGGACACCCTATATAAAGATTATTAGGGGCCAGGCATTCTTTTCATGCGATTATTTGGTAAATGCAACGTTTTTAGGAACTTTGGATTTTGTTGGAAATCAAATATTCTCATATTGTAAAAAACTCGAACTTATTGTTTTTCCTAATACTTCAATGTTTCTTGATGCTTTTGCCCTTAGTTCAAATGACTCTCCAAAGATATGTATGAATTTCACCCACAAAACTCTGTTTGCACGATATACTATTCAACGAGTAACAAATATTTCAGTTTCATATATGAATATACCTAATATTGTTATAGACAAAAATGCATTGATTACTGATTCGGAACAATCTACAGTTTACGATTGGTGGGGTTATAATTACAATGAAATTGCAATTCCTAAAACAGTAACAAAAATCAGAGAAAGAGTTTTCGAAAATTCTACAATTTATAAAATCAATTTTGAAGAGGGATCACAACTCTCTCAAATTTATAACTATGCATTTATGAATTGTTCAAAAATATACTCATTTAACTTTTCTTCAACATCTTTGAGTATCATAGGAATGTTCTCGTTTAAAGATTGTATTAATTTATCTAGAGTAATATTTCCATCGACTAATTTCCAAATTATGAATAATGTTTTTGAGAATTGCATTAATCTAACAAATGTTATTAATATTACCAATATCTCTGATAGTTGTTTTTCAGGTTGTTATAGATTATCTAATGTTGAAATTAGAGAAGGATCAGAGATTATTGGAGTTAGAGCATTTGATCATTGTAATTCATTAGAAAGTATTAATATTCCATCTTCTGTTAAAATTATATCAGATTATGCATTCATCAACTGTGACAAACTCAAATCAATCAATTTCACAGAAATAAATAATTTAGAAAATTTCTCTATTAATTCAATATCAAATTGTCAATCTCTTTCTAACATCAGTCGTTTTTCATCAGATAAATACATATGTGATTATAATACTATTTATTATAAAAACAATTCAGATTCTAAACAATATCTTATTTATCATCTTAGTCACTCACAAGATATTGTTGTTTTTATCAAATGCAATACAATTTGTCAATATTCATTCAATCACAGCAACAACATCGAAAACATCAGTATTTCTAACAACAGTGTTTCACTTATTGAATCTTTCTCATTTAACAAATGTCTTAACTTAAAATACATTAACTTTCCTCTCTCAGTTGAATTAGTTTCAAGATTTGCATTCAATGAATGCAAATCTATTCGATGCCCAATTTTAATTGAAAATTCAACAATCAACTATCTTAAAATGATCAATGATTCAGGAATTCCACTCAAGGTCATCGTTTCATGTCAAGTTGTTCGCAACACCAATAAAATCGAATATTTAAAACGTTTGTATTATCATTCTGTAAAATTTCTCTATGTATGTTAATTTCAATTTTTTTTACCAATTATAAAATTTCTTATAAAAAAGAACCGAATTAAAGATCATGTTCATTTCTGTTATTAGTTTTTGATCTTGGAATCTCTATTCATTGACATACATTATTTCCTTAAGTGTGAACCGAAAATTTTGACATGTAAATTGTAATCTTCTCAATTATTTGTGAATTTTCAAAATGACAATATGATGAATTCGGACAATTCATTCTTGAATGAATGATGATGCTTTTTCTTTTCGTTGTTTATAAAGATATTGACGATAGTTGTTATTCAGATGGTGGAAAAAACCTTACTAAAGTTGGAGATCCATGGCCAGATCTCAGAATTTCAGCCAAATGCGAAATAATAAAGAGAAATTGCTTTTCTAGCCTTAGTTCTTTAAATTCGTTCACTTTTGAAGAAAACCCAAATTTAATTATAATTGAACATTATGGATTTAGTTACTGCAGTAATCTCGCAAGTATTGATTTATCAACATGCACAAAACTTACAATAATTTGTGAATACGCATTTCAGCAATGCAAGAAGCTTTCCAATATACTTTTCCCAAAAGGACTTCTTGAAATTCAATCAGATGCATTTTATCAAACTTCATTAGGACCAAATATTACAATACCTGCATCTGTGAAAATAATAGGTGATAGTGCATTTAATCTATGCAAATTAAAAACTGTTATTTTTGAGGAAGATTCAAATTTAAGCACTTTAGAAGCGTATGCATTTGGCGGTATTACATCAATACAAATACCAGAAAATGTTATTAAAGTCAGTGCAGAAGCATTAAATTATGTCATGCTGTCTAATCTTTCGATTCATCCTAAAAACAATTTCTTGATGATTGATAATGAAATCCTTTATTCAGCTGATAAAAGTAGCATTTTTAAAATTTTCAACAAATCTTTTGAACAATTTGATATTCCAAATTCTGTGACAACTATTGGTGAATATTCATTTGAAATGTCTAACCTTGTCACAATTACCATTCCGGAAAATGTGAAAAGAATTGAAAAATTAGCCTTTTTTTGTTGTCGAAATTTGATTAATATGACCATTCAAGGACCTTTAGATTATTTTGGGGATCAAGCTGTTGATTTTTGTGATGATCTTAAACTTATTATTTTCCCTAATTCACCAATGAATGTTACTGGATTTCATTTATTTACCGAGTATAGTCCTAAATTAAGATTATCTTTTACTAACAAAACATTATTTTCTTCATCAGCGATTATTAGAAATGCAAACATTTCTGTTGCCTATATGCATAAAGAGAATCTCATTATTGACAGAAATTCGCTAATAATGGATTCAGAACAAACAAAAATTTATGAGTTTTGGGGATATAGTATAAATGAAGTCTTACAAATCACAATTCCTAAAACAGTAACAAAAATTAGGGAAAGTGCATTTGAAAATTCTGTATATTGTGAAATTAAGTTTGAAGATGGTTCACAACTTTCTGTAATTGAACGTTATGCATTTAGAAATAGTAATATTCTATTTAATTTTCATTGCAAATCAACTAATTTGAAAATTATAGGATTGTGCTCATTTCAGAATTGCCAACATTTAACTTATGTGAGTTTCGTATCGCCTATATTAGAAATTATGAATAATGCTTTCGAAAATTGTTGTAGATTGTATAGTGTGAGTGGATTATATAATATATCTGATTATTGCTTTTCAGGTTGTAATAGATTATGCAATGTTGTGATTCGCGAAGGATCAGAGATTATTGGAGTTAGAGCATTTGATCATTGTAATTCATTAGAAAGTATTAATATTCCATCTTCTGTTAAAATTATATCAGATTATGCATTCATCAATTGTGACAAACTCAAATCAATTACTTTCACAGAAGCAAACCAACTCTCAAATATATCAATTAATTCAATCTCTAGTTGTGAGTCTCTAAGTTATATCAGCAATTTCTCATCAGATTATTATGAATGCAATTTCAGTACCATATATAGGGTGTCCAAAGGTGCGTTTAGCACAGCGCTCTATATGAGACTATTAAAGGAGATATATGCTGATTATAAATATATAATAAAAAATATGAATATATGTATATGATGAGTATGTTGTATTTTGGCGCCATGCCGGGATATAAAATGAATTTTGAGACAAGAGGCGGTTTCGCGGGAAATTTTGGCGGGATTTTTTTCATTTTTTTAATGAATCATAAAGAAAACATCCTCGCTCTTGCAAAAAAATGCAAAGACTGTAAAAAAATCTACGAGACATTGGTAAAATGCTTCGGTATGGATGCTCCTAGCTATTCCACTGTAACGTATCATGTTAGGATGTATCACTTCATGAACAAAAAGGCGCCCATCATAAAAATTGACAAAAAATCGCCGGATCAAAGAAAAATCAAAGCAATTCTTCAAGCGCTAGATGAAGACCCAAGAGCATCACTCAGAAGGATAGAGGAGATGACAAAGATACCACGTACAACAGTCAGTTATTATCTGCACAATTATTTGAACTACAAACTAGCGTATACACGTTGGGTTCCGCACAACCTTAATTCAGTTCAAAAAAAATCTAGAGTCCAATCTTCGAAAGAGCTCCTCTCTATATTGGGTGCGTATCAATCCAAGAAGTTTCGCTTTTTAGTAACAGGGGACGAGTCTTGGTTTCAATATGCAACAGAAGCCAAAATCATGTGGATCCCGAAGGATGAAAATCCGCAAACATTCCCGAAGAAAAAAATTGACACACCAATGATGATATTGTCGGTTTTTTGTGGCGTGAATGGCATCATCGCAATTGATATTCTTCAAAAACCTAATACGATGAATGCTCAGTATCTAATTGACAATGTTCTTACTCAAATTATCAATTCTGATGAGTTTGAGAAATCCAAACAACAAAAACAAAAGTTTGCAATTCATTTTGATAATTCAAGAGTTCACAAAAGTCATAAGGTAATGAATTACTTGGTGGAAAACAATGTCAAAGTTGTTCCAAACCCAATTTATTCACCTGATATTGCACCCTCTGATTTTTATTTATTCGGCACGCTAAAAAAGAGAGCTGAAGGACGCGAATTCGCGAGTCCAGATGATCTTGAAAATTTTGTAAGAGAGCAATTTGAGCAATTTTCTCATGATGATTTAAAGCGTGTCTTTCAAGCCTGGATCGATCGCTGCGAACGCGTGATTGAATCCAATGGTAATTATATTTAAATAAACTTTATATATATGTAACTTGTTTATTTCTATTCGCAGTATTCAGGTTTGTGCTAAACACACCTTTGGACACCCTATATTATAAAAACAACACAAAAATTGAACTTATTTTTCATCCAAGAAACTCAACAGAAAAAGTTCTATTTATCAAATGTGACATTATTTGCAGTTACTCATTTAATCATTCTTACAATATCGAAAACATTAGTATCTCTCCCCAAAGTGTCTCATTAATAGAAACATTCTCGTTTTATGAGTGTTCTAAATTGAAATTCATCAATTTCCCACTCTCGGTTACAAGTGTTGCATCAAGATCATTCATCAAATGTAATTCTCTTCGATGTCCTATTGTTATCGAAAACAAAACTATAGAGTATCTCCAAATGATTAATCAATCAGGAATTCCAGAACGACTTATTTTTTCTTGCAAAGATGTGATTCCCACCATCAATTTTCGAAATTTTAACTATTTTTTAAGTAGCTCTGTATTTCTTTATTGTAAATAAGTTTCTGATCTAAAAATATCATTTTTTTACCAAAGCAAATTTCGATATTTTTTATATATTTTTAACTCTTTTATAACTTAACCTTTCAACAAGTGATATCAATTGTTGGAAAATAAACCCATTTTCCTTCGTAAAGTCTATCTATCGTTTTTCTGCCTCAATATTGAGTGAAACTCTATCAAAATTTTGAATTAGAGACTTTACGAAGGAAAAGGAGTTTACGTAAGTTGAAATTAAGGGAATTTCTATAATCATAGTAATGTGCCTACTGTCAAAATTGGTAGCCAAGCTTATCCTCTCATTCTGGAAATTTCTTAGGCCTTGTTGTGACAATAATTAGGGGGAATAAAATTTAGACCCTTTTCAGTGAAAAAAATGTCTGAGAAAGCTTATGCACAATGGATTAGTTCATTTCCTAAAGTTGACGATTTGAATGGAAATATCATGAATCTTGAAGATGGCAAAGCTTTAATTCAAGTTTGGAATTTTATTCAAGATGAAAAAGCCGAAATTAGCGATGATTCAGTTAAAAATGCTACCACACTTTTTGAATGCATCAGTAAAACAGAATATAATATCGGATCTACAAATTCTTCTCTTTCAAAAGATCAAATTATCAATATCGTTCGAATTTTATATTTATTAGTAAACAATTCTAATCATTCATCAGAAATCCAAGAATGGACTTCAAAGTTATCACGTGCTACCACAATTTTCCTCAAAAAAATCAATAAAGATATGATTCAACAAGAAACAACAGAAACTCACAATAACAGTAACAGTAATACTAACCAAGAAGTATCAAAACGTCTCAAAATGATTGAAAAACTTAAGAAACAAATAAAAGACTCAGAACAAAAAATTATTGACATCAAGCAACAAGAAAAAGATACAAAGAATATCCAAAAAACTATAGAAACTACAGAAGAACTCATAATTCATGTAGAAAACAATCAAAAAGAAATTCAAAAACAAATTACAGAAGCAGAAGAGCGATACAAGCTTATTAAGACAGAAATCGAGTCATACAAGAATGATATATCACAGTTATCATCAGAAAATTCATCTTTTACCAAAATAATAAATTCATCAAATGAATTTGCTGTTTTATCAACAAATTATCGCAAATTCAAGGATTACAGATCTAAGATAAACAAACTTAAAGAAGAAATAAAGAATTTACAAGAGAAAAATTCGAATTTCCAAAAACAAATCACAGAAACACAAGAAAACATTCAAACAGCAATCGAAATAGACCTCAAATATGAAAGTGATAATGATATAACAGTTGATGACGAAGAAAACGCATCAAATATCAATGATTTACTTTCAATTGTTTCAGAATTAGAAATTCAAATTCAAGATATCAAAATTAATGATTATTCAACATCAAGCATTGAGAATGGACATCTTTTGAAGACAATTCAAGAACTTGAAGAAACGAAAACAGACTTACAAAACAAATTCGAACAAATTTCAACACAAAAGAAACAATTACAGTTATTAATCAAGAGTATTGCAGATAATTATGACAACGCAACAGAAAACTGCAACAATATCATTGATTACGTTCATTCCAAAAACAAAGTTGTTGCAAACATGTCTTCATTAACATCATTGCTCGAAAAGAAGTCAATGAAGAAAAATATTAATATCCGATACAGAGAATACATTTATAACCAAGATTATCAATAATATTTTTTTGTCATTTCATTTGTTTTTTAAATAAATAAATTATTTACTTACTATTCTAATTTTTGATTAATAAAATGACATTTATTTCCTCATGATATATAAATCATGAATTATTCACAAAAATCTGCATCGAAATGACTGAACTACCAATTTTTATAAGCTATTGATAATTCTCATTATCACCTTATGCATATTAAGTTCAACGTTGAATTCATCTTGAAAACAAACTTTACATTTTCCTTTCATAGTTGTTGGTTCGATTTCGTAATTTAGCTTAAATTAATGAAACTTATTTCAATGATTCATTTTTTATTTAATTGAATCATGGAAATTAAAAATATTATTGCATTGAAAAATCCATTTTTCAATTTTTATTTGAAAAATGTATTTTAGAAGGCAATAGAATGACAATTTTCTTGCACAACATTTGAATTACAATTCAAAATTTGAATTACAATTCAAAATTTGAATTCAAGAAAACTGAGAATTGAAAGCTATCTATTTTACGACATTTTATGAAATTTATATTTCTAAATTGCAAGGATATCAGATAGACTAAAATGAATGGGAACATAAGCCAGCTCATTTTGATAAAGGAATTAGTACAACAGAAATCCTTACATCTTGAACGAAGTTTTTCAGATTATTACAACTCAGAAACAGCTAACAATGATATAAGTAAGAATGAAACTATATTAGGATATGGTAATTATTACATTCATGATGCAGTATTTTCGTTCCATTATGAAAGTCGAGCAATTTATCTTAATTATAATAGTAAAGTATTAATCGAATCGTGCGCATTTTACAATAATAGTTCTAAAGAAAAAGGTGGATCAATTTATATATACATATCTGATTGTATCTTAGTTCGTATTTGTTGTTCATTTTCATCAGCTAAATCTAACTTTGGTGGTGCTTTTTACATAGATAATGATGATTATAGTAATAACGGTAAAAAATATTTGTAATTGAATCATCAGTTTCACAATGTTGTGCAGATAATTCTGCATTTTATCAAATAGGTTATCATATTGAAATTAGTAATATGAATACTTCTTATCATAACATTGAAAATTGTGGCGGATTTTCTATTTATTTAAAAGATACAAGAATTTTTGGAATTATGAATTTAACAACAGTTTCAAATGTAACATCTTCTGAACAGGGAGCAATGTACAGTAATAGAATAGTTAAATTTACAAAATGCAATTATTTATACAGTGAATGTTCTGGAAAGTCGGGCCAAGTAATTTATAATACCTATTCATGTCCATTTTCAATTTGTTCATTCATAAAAAATAAGGCATTTTCAATATTTCATGAATACCCGTCAAATATTAATAATTGTTACTTTAAAGATAATGAAGTAAGTAAAGCATCAAATATTGGTGATGATCAAATTAAAGAAGGGGGTCAACAGGTAAATTTATTTATAACTCATCATACAACGTATCCTTGTGTTTATATAAGCAATAGTGATGAAAATCAACAAATATCAAATACTATACCAAATACCCAAGGCATTTTACTATATAAGAATCATAAATTGAAATATATAAGACGTTAAAAATCCTTTGAAAATATATTCTTTTAAAAATTGAATAAATAATAATCTATAATAAATAAAAAGACGATACTAGTCAATGGATACTGATGATTCAGTAGATATTTGTACTAGTTCAATAATACTCCAGTACAAAGATCTTATTTTACAATATCCATCAATCTATTATATACTTATTATTTCGATGTGTGAATAAGGAAATGATGATACCAAACATGCAAAGCTTATCATAATGATTTAATTTTGTATCTAGATCATTATATGAAAAATCATTTAGATAAAGGCAACATTACAAGTCAGAAATAGCAGATCATGATATAAATATGAATGAAGCTCAACCAGGACATGATAGTTGATACATCCATAATAATGTGTTTTCATTCCATTTGCAAATTCTTGCAATTTACAATATGTCTAACAGTAAATTATATGCAGGAAATGGTGATTTTTTCTGAATTGAAAACTCTGATGCAATTAATTTTTATCATAGTTCAGATTTGCTGTTAGTTTTTATCATCTAGGTTTAATGATGGTGCATATTACATCAAATATTATTCTGATCTATTGAAGAACTCCAAGAAACGAAAACAGACTTACAAAACAAATTCGAACAAATTTCAACACAAAAGAAACAATTACAGTTATTAATCAAGAGTATTGCAGATAATTATGACAACGCAACAGAAAACTGCAACAATATCATTGATTACGTTCATTCCAAAAACAAAGTTGTTGCAAACATGTCTTCATTAACATCATTGCTCGAAAAGAAGTCAATGACTGGATTTCCAATAACAATAGAGGAATTACATTTATATTGATTTAGAATCTTCAATTTTTTTCTCAGAATAGATGAATAATTTTTCCAAAAATTTATGAATGTTTCAAAATTTACATTTTTCCAACGTTTAGCTAGATGCACAATGAAGTAAATGATTTTTTTCAACCCGAACCATTATATTGCGTTAATTGCGGGAATTTTACATATCAAATAGATAACGGTAAAATGAAGCCAAGAAAAACTCATTTCGATAAAAAAATAGTAAAACAGAAATGCTTGCCATTTGAACAAAGTTTTTCAGATTACTACCAAGAAACAGCTCAATATGATAAAAATGAGAATGAAACTATATTAGGATATGGTAATTATTACATTCATGATGCAGTATTTTCGTTCCATTATGAAAGTCGAGCAATTTATCTTAATTATAATAGTAAAGTATTAATCGAATCGTGCGCATTTTACAATAACAGTTCGACACTAATCCAAAAAATGCTATCGTCTTGCCTATATCTCCAAAAATTGAATAGTTTACATCGAGTTTTTTTAAATAATGAGTTTAGCACAGAATAAAATTCATCAAAAATTCTAACTCATCATGGAGGTGCATCTCTTGCGCTTGTGCAGGATATGGATTCTGATTGAAGATATAATTTTGGAGAATCCGTCCAAACTATGTGATTTGCACATAGTATGATTGAGAATATCATGGCGATATCTATTGCAAAGAGTATGGTCGGTTATTGATATTTCTCAAGAATCACATAAGATTCACAAAGTCCAAACTATAGTTTAAACATGTATAAATAGCATTATTTAATTATATATGTGATATATAATAAGATTATGCTGTGATTTATCTATGTTATCCTATAAGAGTCATGAAATATGAGAAATGTCACAAAATTTTATGTTTTTAACATTAAACACATATGGAGAAGTGTCAGATTGTCATTGTATTATGTTTGATGAGTAGAGATTACTTGTTTGAGGATGATCAGAATAAGAATATTTCAAGAGTACCTCATCTGAGGTATTTGTGGCGTTTGTGTATCTCGGATATGATATAAAGACTTGAAAGACTCTTACAAAATGTCTTTGAAGTCTTTCTTCATCAATCAGATGTTGATTGTTGACTTTGCTCCTCATCTGAGGTACTTGTTGAGATATTGTACCTCAGATGAGGATTGGAGACTTAAAAGATTGTTACAAACAATCTTTCAAGTCTTTTGTCGACAATCAACATTTGATTGTTGACTTTGTTCCTCATCTGAGGTACTTGTACAGATATTAATACACTATGTTATACTTGGAATAATTAACAAATTTACAAGCAATAATGAATAATTCTATTGTTTATATTGCTATATAAATAGGCAAAATTATTTCGATAAAAAATATTCATTTCCCCGAGCTGCCATATAATAAAAGATATATTTTAATACATAAATATTTCATTTATCATACTTAGAGGCAAAAGTAAATCTTCGGAGATCGGAGATTCCTCTCAAAAGTATTGAAAAAAATCTCCGGAGAAATCTTCGTGGCGACGATTCTTTTTATTTTGGAGGTTCTGGACAAGCTTCTTTATAGGCAATTTATTTTTCTTTTTATCATCTTTTGCTTGTAAAATTCGACGTTGCACATTTATGAAAAAAAAAATCCTTGGCACTTTTGGTAAACGGTACAATTTCCTTTCATAGTTGTTGGTTTTATTTCGAAATGACTGAACTATATATTTTGTAGGCACTTAACTTTATTTATTATGATTTTTTTATATAAAATGACGTTGCACATTAAACTTTCTTATCAAAGATTTTGATTCTATTTCGTAAATTAGCTTGAATTTGCGTATCGGTATTCAATAGTTCATTTTTTATTTAAAAATATTATGGAAACTAAAAATAATAAAATTCAAAGCCATCGGTTTTCAACATTTTTATGTATGTTTCTAAATTCGATTATGCATGCATATCAGATGATTAAATTGAATCGGAACCAAGGCAAGCTCATTTCGATATTTTCATTCTCAATGCCACTTGAACTAAGTTTTTCAGATTACTTCCAAGGAACAATTCAATATGATAAAAATGAGAATGAAACTATATCAGGATATGGTAATTATTACATTCATGATGCAACATATTCATTTCATTTTCAAAATCAAGCAATTAAAATTTATTCTAGCAGTAAAGTATTAATTGAATCATGCGCATTTTACAATAACAGTTCTACATATAACGGTGGGTCAATCAATATATTACAATCTGATTGTATATTAATTCATATTTGTTGTTCGTTTTCAGCAGCTGGATCTGAAACTGGTGGTGCATATTACATCGATAATAATGGAAATAGTGATCAAAAAATATATGCATTTGAATCATCAGTTTCACAATGCAGTGCATCTACTGCTGCATTTTATAATATAGGTTCTAAAATTGAAATTAGTAATATGAATACTTCTTATCATAACATTGCAAATACTGGTGCATTTTCTATTGAGTATGCCGAAATTAGAAAATCAGGAATTATGAATTTAACAACAGTTTCAAACGTTACATCTTCATTATGGGCAGCAATGTCCTGTTATTCTCTATTTAAATTTACAAAATGCAATTATTTAAACAATGAATGTTCTGGAAATACGAACTCGGTAATATATAGTTCTCAATCAGGTCATTATTCAAATTGTTCATTCATAAGAAATAAAGCAAATTCAATGTTTCGTGAGTATCCAATAAATATTAATAATTGTTACTTTAAAGATAACGAAGTAATTAAAGCATCATATAGAGGTAATGGTCGAATTGTTATAGGTGAACCATTAGATTCAATTATATCACATTATTCAACTTATCATTGTGTATATGTAAACAATAGTGATGAAAATCAACAAATATCAAATACTATACCAAATACTGAAGGCATTCTACCATATAAGAATCATAAATTTAAATATATAAGACGCTAAAATTCCTTTCAAAACATTCAAAACATATTCTATTAAAAATTGTTATATTGAATAAACAGTCATATATAAAATATCAGAACGATAATAAATGTGTGTTTATGAATCGAGATGTATTCACACAGATTCAATAATTCCTCAGTATATAGATTTTATTATTTAATATCCATCTTTCTATTGAGTGCATATTAATTCGAGGGTGAATAAGAAAGTTATTGATAAAAAAAATACTTTCATAAAATATAGGGTTTAAAACTGAAGAAACAAAACAAGCTTTCAAAAGCTCTATTTATACCTGACTATCATGTATCAATTCTTCATTTTCTTGTTCAATTTCTGAATTATTGTTATCTATTCCATTCTCAGACTTCTTTGATTCTTTATAAAAGTCATAAAGAATTTTTGAAGCAAAGCAGAGACTGCATACAGTTGTAATTGCATCACTGACAGGATATGCATAGAAAATTCTTCTTGGCGAGTTTGGATCACCTGTATAATGGAAAATACAAGCAATTATAGGTAATATACCTAATTCTGTTAAGAAACTCGTAACTGTTGCAAGTATTGTTTTCTGCGATGCTTGAAGTAAAGAAACAATGATGAATTTTGTTGGTGTCAAAAATTGTGCATAAAAAGAAGCAGGAACTATTTCTTTGCACCAATAGAGGAATTTTTCATCTCTACTCCATATGGAACATATTTGTTTCGGAAAAGACACAATTATGATCATACAGAAGAAACACCATGACATTGATATCCATGCAGCATGGAAAGTCAGCCAAAGTATTCTCTTAAAGTCTTTCTTTCCATATGCATATGATGCAGCTGGTAAATATGCTGCATTTAAGGAGATTGGAACACACATTGAAACCATGTATATTCTATTCAACGAATTGTAAACGGCGACGATCATATCGTAGTCATTGACTCTGTTTGCACGTATTGCAATGAACTTTTGCATAATTAATGAAGGTAATGAAATCGAAATATTCATGATGAAGGCCGAAAGACCTGCCTTCAGTGCAGCACCTGTTTTTGGGCAGAAACATTTGATAAAGTACTTCGGATGTGGTTTTGTCGAAAGTTTTCCGAGGAATAAGAAAATTAAGATAATAAATGCCGGGATAAACATTGATATCTCCGTAGCCAATGATGATCCTAATGTTCTTTTCATTGCCCAAAGAAGTAATGGATCAAATAATGCCATATTGAGGATCATTGAAGCGATTTGTGCTCCTCCATAAATCCAAGTCCTTCCTTCTGCTTGTAAAATACCACATACACACTGATAGCAACATGTAACTAGGTTTAATGAGAGAAGTGGAATAACGTGGTCAAATGCGAGATCATTAACTTTTCCGGTACCTCCAAGGAACTTAAACAGGGGTCTGGAACATGGAAATAATATTGCAGGAACTATCATTGCGAATATTATTGATACTTTTATGAGATCAACACTTAAATGTGAAACAGCTTCGTATAATTTCTGAGAAAATAGATAAGATATTTGAGAACTTGCAGCTGTTGCTATAAAGAAACCAAATGATAAAGCTGAATTATCAATAATATATGCAAGTGATAAAGCAGTGAGACCAAGTTCACCAATGAATTTTGAAACCCAAATTGAGTCAACAACACCGTAAAGTGAATTAACAAACTGTGATATCAGTGGTCCAGGACAAAGGCGTATTAAAGTACTCAATGGAGAATAGCCGCCTAATCTTTTATGTTCTTCTCCATCATCAATTTCGTTTTCTCCAGGATTAACTTCACAAATATCATCTTCACTTGAAGTTTTTTATCTTCAGATGTGTTTGGTTCCATTATGAAAACTGAAATTTATTCTTTTCAAATTTTGATAAAGTTTATTTTTTCAAAAGATTATATTCATCAAAATTTGAATACAAATTATCGATTCAATGAAAATGTCACATTACACATAGTTAAATACAAATTGGTTTCAACAAAAAAATTCGAATTAGATTTTTGAGAATTGAGGCTTTATTCTCATTGTAATCGAATAAAGTCACTATATAGATTACATTTTTAATAACGATCGGTAGCATTAAGATTGAATGGGCGGTTTCAAAGAAAGGGTTGGAATCGTCAAATTTTTAAATTTTTCTGAGGTTTGCGGAAACTTTTTTATTTTGAGTTTACTGAAAAATGACAACAATTAGGCATTTTATGTTTATAGTTTAAGGATCTCGTTTGGAGAAATAACGGCTGGGATCTCCAAATTCCAAAATATAAGCTTCTCCAATTTTGTAAATTTTTATGTAAATTATTCCATATTTTTTACAAATATTACCCCTTAGTTTCCTATCAAAATGTCAAAACTCCCAATGAGTTAACCTCACATTTTCTCCATGGAGACGTAGAGAAAGTATTCAATTTTGAATTGGTGGAGAAGACAAACTATTTCATTTCTCAATGGAGAAATGGAGAAGCTTTGGAGACGGACATTGCCTTCGTTTTCATGGAAACTTCCTATGGGCAATATTTTTGGGATTTCAATGATCTACTGATCCCAAGAAATAGTTCCAATATTTATTTAGATATATTATTTAATCGAATTTTCTTTCAAAAATGTCACTTTTTAAATTTTCATTCTAAATTTCCACTTTCCGACCTTTGGCTAGGAGCATAATGAAGCATATGATTATTTTCTCATACTCCAAACAGAAATCGAATCAGATATAACAGTTATTACGAGAATCAGATTTTACAAACATATCAAATATTAAACGGTAAATTGAAGCCCAACAAAACTCATTTCGATAAAGAAATTAGTACAACAGAAATGCCTGTCACTTGAACGAAGTTTTTCAGATTATTACGAGTCAGAAACACATAATCAAGATATACATGAGAATAGAACTATATTAGGATATGGTAATTATTACATTCATGATGCAGTATTTTCATTCCATTTTCAAAGTCAAGCCATTAAAATTAATTATGACAGTAAAGTATTAATAGAATCGTGCGCATTTTACAATAACAGTTCTACCGAAAACGGTGGATCAATCTATATTTTCAAATCTGATTGTATCTTAGTTCATATTTGTTGTTCATTTTCATCAGCTGAATCTCTAAGTGGTGGTGCATATTACATCGATAATAATGGAAATAGTGATCAAAAAATATATGCATTTGAATCATCAGTTTCACAATGCAGTGCATCTACTGCTGCATTTTATAATATAGGTTCTAAAATTGAAATTAGTAATATGAATACTTCTTATCATAACATTGCAAATACTGGTGCATTTTCTATTTATTATAGAGACATCAGAGGTTCAGGAATTATGAATTTAACAACAGTATCAAATGTCACATCTTCAGAATGGGCAGCAATGTCCTGTTATTCTACATTTAAATTTACAAAATGCAATTATTTAAACAATGAATGTTCTGGAAATACGAACTCAGTAATATATAGTTCTCAATCATGTCAATATTCAAATTGTTCATTCATAAATAATAAAGCAAATTCTATGTTTTATGAATATCCACAAATTGACAATTGTTACTTTAAAGATAATGCAGTAATTAAAGCATCAGATAGAGATAATCGTCAAATTCTTGAAGGTAAACAATTAGATTCAATTATATTACATTATTCAACGAATCGTTGTGATTATTCAAACAATAATGAAAAAGATTCAAAAAAGACTCTCAAAATCCCCTTAATATGCGACTTTTTTTCCAGGAAGAATAGAGCGTAGACATATTTCCATTTTAGAAATACTAAATTTTCATGGATATTTTAAGAGGGTTCCTAAGCCGATATGACTTCAATTTGAATTTTTTAAAAATTCGTTGAAAATTAACTTGGAAGAACATAATTGAATGTCATGCCATACAGTTATAAGTGCACCATTAAAGGATATTTGCAATTATTGGCCGTTTTATGGAGTTGTTGATTTATATGTTGAATTTATTGAGCATTATCTACCATTCAAGGTTAAGAGTTTGAATATTCAAATAGTTCCATTCGTTATCAAATACAATCTTAGATATATCCATTTGACTAATTTAAAATTGAATTTATTGAAAAAGATTTATGCTGAATATCTCCTATTTTCATTGAAATTTGAACAATTTTCCCATCAGGCATTAGAGTTAAGTAGTAGAAGCTGAAATATCATTGATTCCATTTCAATGAAATTTAATCTTTGCAGATCACTATTGCCATTAATTCCCTATTTACTATGAAAATATCATAAACTCTCTTGTGGATATTCATTTTTTCTAGGATTTGGTTTAAGGTTATTTTTGAAGGAAATAAAATTTTATAAAAAATTTAGATTAGTAATAATAGCACTATCATATTCCAAAATATTTTGAATTTTGAAAAGTGATAATATGAAATTTCGTTTTCCTTTAGATTTACAACCAAAAAATTCACCTCCAACCTTTAGATATGATACACATTATTTTTCAGGTAATGCTCTCAAAGGGAAATGGAAATATTTAAGTCTTTTTTTAGTTTTTATTTGCTATTTTATATTAAGTTTCATTCATCGTTACCCACACGTTACATGTAGACTATTCCCACATATCAACATCTTATATAGCTGGGCAGGAAGTCTAACTAATCTTGGCCCAGCAATGTATTCAGCAATTAACTCGTTATCAAACTATTCACTTACTATATACGTTTGTACAACACATCCAGAAGAAGTTCCAATATTTCAAAAAAGATTAGATCAAATTAAAATCAAATACGTTACATTTATTGCAGAATATCACAACGTAAGCTCATTAACGACTAAATACCATTTAGGAATTATCTCAGAAACTTACATTAGAATAGTTTTCAGCGATGCACACCCAGAATTAGAAAGATTTTTACAATTAGACGGAGATACACTCGTCACAGGATCATTTGATGAGTTTTACTTTGCATATTTCAATGATACGTACGCAGTAGTAGTTTTAGATATTTGGAAAGAATACGAAGGCTTCAAAAATTATTTTAATTGCGGCTCTGTCGTTTTCAATTGCCAAAAGTTTAGAGATGATAAAATGGCAGATAAAGTAAGAACGAAACTCAAAGAATACGAAGTTACAAGAGGAGAATGGAATAATGATCAAACAGTTTTGAACGACATCTTCGGAGACAAGAAGATTATTGCCCATAAAAAGTATAACGAGTTTATGCCGAGTTTGACCATGCAAACAAGAATTTTCCATTTTTATGGTTTGAAAAAGAAACCTTACAAGCCAAACATTAAAAGTAATAAATACTATTTCAGGTTATGGAGGTGTTACTTTCATTACTTCAATAACTCGATAAATCCATGGGAATTTGATCGAGATACAAAAATCTGCACAAGATTAGAGACATTTAAGTATTGGCAGTTTTAGATTGATTTGTTTGTTTTTATATAGAGAATAAAGTATATAATTTCTTTCTATCCAAAAAAATATTGAAATAATTTTTTATAACTAACTTAATATCAAAAATGTGTGGTCTTAAAACATATTGTTAATAGTTATCGTGCTTCAGGAAATATTTGTTCATTGAAGCTTGGTGAATTAACCAATTTGTTTAGAAATTTTAATTACCCTCAATTTTTAACTTTTGCAACTCCAAAAACCAGGTGTTTTTCCAGAACTACCATCTAGGATGAGTCCTAGGAGCTATAATTCTAGGGTTAGATGATACCCACTTAGTACTTTTATTTGTATATGTTTTAGTGGAATTTGGTGAGGAGTCATGAAATTCGTATCTAATTTGCTATCATCTAAGCTGTAAAGTTAGAGAAGCTATTTACTGGTTGTATATTAAAATATACCTTGTAATAGAAAATATAAGTGTTTGTGATTTAAAGTTCGCTTAATTAGCTCGAAAAATTTGTTTTATATCCATGACAAACTAACACAATCCTATTTATGTGATTTGCCAATCTGTTCCCAAAATATATCAGCATGAATATATATATTATTGATATTATTTGCAATTTCATCATTAAATAGTACTTTTTTTCCTATTTTTTTTAGAAATAGTATATTTATATGATAGCGACACAAAATTTTTAATTAAAAATATATGTTATCGATCATCACACTCAAATTGAATTTCAAAATTTTAGAATTTTTTCAATTTCAATATTGAAAATATATTTTCTTATATCATAGCGATTCATGTTATAATAATATGGAGAAAAATATTGTTTTAAATCTAAAATTTAAAATGAATGATTGGGCATTACATTAATCCAATTTATTGTTTATTTGTTAATCTAGTGGAAACAATTAATATTTTGGAGAAACAAAAATTTGAAATTTGAAATTTTGAAAAAAATGCATGAATCGGTAATTAAACATTGATTTATTAATTTATTAGCCATGCTTTTGATGTTGGTCTTATTCTTAAGCCGATTTAAAGAATTAATTTTTCCAAATCGTGTTTTGACATTAACACATAGATATATCAGGAAAAAATGTATCATTATCAAGTTATTGGTTTTATGTATCCTAACTTTGCCTCGTTCTGAATACAATTCTAGTTAACGAATTTTAAATAACTATATGAAGAATACATCATTTTGGTTTTATTATTATTAAAATGATATATATTAGCTATGTATATGCTTGTAAGAATATTTATTCCGTGAATTGGAAACAGAAAAAATAAATTTAGACAGAAAATGCATATCTTTAAAAATAATATGAAATTTAGCTTTGATATTATTATCCGATAAAATATGCATGATAATTACTCCAAATAAAATTTAGGAAGCAAGTTGTGACGGTTTGGGCGGTTTTCAATGGCCCACAAGGAAGGAAGTATCGTTTTATCAGGCAACAAGAGGTCTTGAAATGAGTAAAGGACTGATCACCCTTGAAAGGTTCAAACTTGCTTGCGCGCCGCAGTCTTAAAAATGATATGTTTCACTTCTGGTCGACAAACATAGGTGTAGAGTGTAGTATTGGTGCAGGGCAATAGCCCTGCCCCGCGCAAAAAGGAAAAAGAAGCAAGCACCGCACGTTCCCGGGAAGTCGCCCAGCCCAGTACTGATGTGGCCCGCGACTGCTTAATTTCCAGGTTCGGAGTGGAGCTGGATGTTGCCAGCCGGGTGTGGCCGCTTCGAAAGGATTGTTCGACACACATTCTTCACAATAGCACAATTCCTCTCAAATTCCTACTGCGGAACACCACTCTCTGCTGAAAATTTTGTTTAATTTTGAAATTTTCATAAAAAATTAAAAATATCAAATTATACAAGAGTTTTCGCAGGGACAAACATAGGTGTAGAGTGTAGTATTGGTGCGGGGCAATAGCCCTGCCCCGCGCAAAAAGGAAAAAGAAGCAAGCACCGCACGTTCCCGGGAAGTCGCCCAGCCCAGTACTGATGTGGCCCGCGACTGCTTAATTTCCAGGTTCGGAGTGGAGCTGGATGTTGCCAGCCGGGTGTGGCCGCTTCGAAAGGATTGTTCGACACACATTCTTCACAATAGCACAATTCCTCTCAAATTCCTACTGCGGAACACCACTCTCTGCTGAAAATTTTGTTTAATTTTGAAATTTTTATAAAAAATTAAAAATATCAAATTATACAAGAGTTTTCGCAGGGACAAACATAGGTGTAGAGTGTAGTATTGGTGCAGGGCAATAGCCCTGCCCCGCGCAAAAAGGAAAAAGAAGCAAGCACCGCACGTTCCCGGGAAGTCGCCCAGCCCAGTACTGATGTGGCCCGCGACTGCTTAATTTCCAGGTTCGGAGTGGAGCTGGATGTTGCCAGCCGGGTGTGGCCGCTTCGAAAGGATTGTTCGACACACATTCTTCACAATAGCACAATTCCTCTCAAATTCCTACTGCGGAACACCACTCTCTGCTGAAAATTTTGTTTAATTTTGAAATTTTTATAAAAAATTAAAAATATCAAATTATACAAGAGTTTTCGCAGGGACAAACATAGGTGTAGAGTGTAGTATTGGTGCGGGGCAATAGCCCTGCCCCGCGCAAAAAGGAAAAAGAAGCAAGCACCGCACGTTCCCGGGAAGTCGCCCAGCCCAGTACTGATGTGGCCCGCGACTGCTTAATTTCCAGGTTCGGAGTGGAGCTGGATGTTGCCAGCCGGGTGTGGCCGCTTCGAAAGGATTGTTCGACACACATTCTTCACAATAGCACAATTCCTCTCAAATTCCTACTGCGGAACACCACTCTCTGCTGAAAATTTTGTTTAATTTTGAAATTTTTATAAAAAATTAAAAATATCAAATTATACAAGAGTTTTCGCAGGGACAAACATAGGTGTAGAGTGTAGTATTGGTGCAGGGCAATAGCCCTGCCCCGCGCAAAAATGAAAAAGAAGCAAGCACCGCACGTTCCCGGGAAGTCGCCCAGCCCAGTACTGATGTGGCCCGCGACTGCTTAATTTCCAGGTTCGGAGTGGAGCTGGATGTTGCCAGCCGGGTGTGGCCGCTTCGAAAGGATTGTTCGACACACATTCTTCACAATAGCACAATTCCTCTCAAATTCCTACTGCGGAACACCACTCTCTGCTGAAAATTTTGTTTAATTTTGAAATTTTTATAAAAAATTAAAAATATCAAATTATACAAGAGTTTTCGCAGGGACAAACATAGGTGTAGAGTGTAGTATTGGTGCAGGGCAATAGCCCTGCCGCGCAAAAAGGAAAAAGAAGCAAGCACCGCACGTTCCCGGGAAGTCGCCCAGCCCAGTACTGATGTGGCCCGCGACTGCTTAATTTCCAGGTTCGGAGTGGAGCTGGATGTTGCCAGCCGGGTGTGGCCGCTTCGAAAGGATTGTTCGACACACATTCTTCACAATAGCACAATTCCTCTCAAATTCCTACTGCGGAACACCACTCTCTGCTGAAAATTTTGTTTAATTTTGAAATTTTTATAAAAAATTAAAAATATCAAATTATACAAGAGTTTTAGCAGGGACAAACATAGGTGTAGAGTGTAGTATTGGTGCAGGGCAATAGCCCTGCACCGCGCAAAAAGGAAAAAGAAGCAAGCACCGCACGTTCCCGGGAAGTCGCCCAGCCCAGTACTGATGTGGCCCGCGACTGCTTAATTTCCAGGTTCGGAGTGGAGCTGGATGTTGCCAGCCGGGTGTGGCCGCTTCGAAAGGATTGTTCGACACACATTCTTCACAATAGCACAATTCCTCTCAAATTCCTACTGCGGAACACCACTCTCTGCTGAAAATTTTGTTTAATTTTGAAATTTTTATAAAAAATTAAAAATATCAAATTATACAAGAGTTTTAGCAGGGACAAACATAGGTGTAGAGTGTAGTATTGGTGCAGGGCAATAGCCCTGCACCGCGCAAAAAGGAAAAAGAAGCAAGCACCGCACGTTCCCGGGAAGTCGCCCAGCCCAGTACTGATGTGGCCCGCGACTGCTTAATTTCCAGGTTCGGAGTGGAGCTGGATGTTGCCAGCCGGGTGTGGCCGCTTCGAAAGGATTGTTCGACACACATTCTTCACAATAGCACAATTCCTCTCAAATTCCTACTGCGGAACACCACTCTCTGCTGAAAATTTTGTTTAATTTTGAAATTTTTATAAAAAATTAAAAATATCAAATTATACAAGAGTTTTAGCAGGGACAAACATAGGTGTAGAGTGTAGTATTGGTGCAGGGCAATAGCCCTGCACCGCGCAAAAAGGAAAAAGAAGCAAGCACCGCACGTTCCCGGGAAGTCGCCCAGCCCAGTACTGATGTGGCCCGCGACTGCTTAATTTCCAGGTTCGGAGTGGAGCTGGATGTTGCCAGCCGGGTGTGGCCGCTTCGAAAGGATTGTTCGACACACATTCTTCACAATAGCACAATTCCTCTCAAATTCCTACTGCGGAACACCACTCTCTGCTGAAAATTTTGTTTAATTTTGAAATTTTTATAAAAAATTAAAAATATCAAATTATACAAGAGTTTTCGCAGGGACAAACATAGGTGTAGAGTGTAGTATTGGTGCAGGGCAATAGCCCTGCACCGCGCAAAAAGGAAAAAGAAGCAAGCACCGCACGTTCCCGGGAAGTCGCCCAGCCCAGTACTGATGTGGCCCGCGACTGCTTAATTTCCAGGTTCGGAGTGGAGCTGGATGTTGCCAGCCGGGTGTGGCCGCTTCGAAAGGATTGTTCGACACACATTCTTCACAATAGCACAATTCCTCTCAAATTCCTACTGCGGAACACCACTCTCTGCTGAAAATTTTGTTTAATTTTGAAATTTTTATAAAAAATTAAAAATATCAAATTATACAAGAGTTTTCGCAGGGACAAACATAGGTGTAGAGTGTAGTATTGGTGCAGGGCAATAGCCCTGCCCGCGCAAAAAGGAAAAAGAAGCAAGCACCGCACGTTCCCGGGAAGTCGCCCAGCCCAGTACTGATGTGGCCCGCGACTGCTTAATTTCCAGGTTCGGAGTGGAGCTGGATGTTGCCAGCCGGGTGTGGCCGCTTCGAAAGGATTGTTCGACACACATTCTTCACAATAGCACAATTCCTCTCAAATTCCTACTGCGGAACACCACTCTCTGCTGAAAATTTTGTTTAATTTTGAAATTTTTATAAAAAATTAAAAATATCAAATTATACAAGAGTTTTCGCAGGGACAAACATAGGTGTAGAGTGTAGTATTGGTGCAGGGCAATAGCCCTGCCCGCGCAAAAAGGAAAAAGAAGCAAGCACCGCACGTTCCCGGGAAGTCGCCCAGCCCAGTACTGATGTGGCCCGCGACTGCTTAATTTCCAGGTTCGGAGTGGAGCTGGATGTTGCCAGCCGGGTGTGGCCGCTTCGAAAGGATTGTTCGACACACATTCTTCACAATAGCACAATTCCTCTCAAATTCCTACTGCGGAACACCACTCTCTGCTGAAAATTTTGTTTAATTTTGAAATTTTTATAAAAAATTAAAAATATCAAATTATACAAGAGTTTTCGCAGGGACAAACATAGGTGTAGAGTGTAGTATTGGTGCAGGGCAATAGCCCTGCCCGCGCAAAAAGGAAAAAGAAGCAAGCACCGCACGTTCCCGGGAAGTCGCCCAGCCCAGTACTGATGTGGCCCGCGACTGCTTAATTTCCAGGTTCGGAGTGGAGCTGGATGTTGCCAGCCGGGTGTGGCCGCTTCGAAAGGATTGTTCGACACACATTCTTCACAATAGCACAATTCCTCTCAAATTCCTACTGCGGAACACCACTCTCTGCTGAAAATTTTGTTTAATTTTGAAATTTTTATAAAAAATTAAAAATATCAAATTATACAAGAGTTTTCGCAGGGACAAACATAGGTGTAGAGTGTAGTATTGGTGCAGGGCAATAGCCCTGCCCGCGCAAAAAGGAAAAAGAAGCAAGCACCGCACGTTCCCGGGAAGTCGCCCAGCCCAGTACTGATGTGGCCCGCGACTGCTTAATTTCCAGGTTCGGAGTGGAGCTGGATGTTGCCAGCCGGGTGTGGCCGCTTCGAAAGGATTGTTCGACACACATTCTTCACAATAGCACAATTCCTCTCAAATTCCTACTGCGGAACACCACTCTCTGCTGAAAATTTTGTTTAATTTTGAAATTTTTATAAAAAATTAAAAAATCAAATTATACAAGAGTTTTCGCAGGGACAAACATAGGTGTAGAGTGTAGTATTGGTGCAGGGCAATAGCCCTGCCCGCGCAAAAAGGAAAAAGAAGCAAGCACCGCACGTTCCCGGGAAGTCGCCCAGCCCAGTACTGATGTGGCCCGCGACTGCTTAATTTCCAGGTTCGGAGTGGAGCTGGATGTTGCCAGCCGGGTGTGGCCGCTTCGAAAGGATTGTTCGACACACATTCTTCACAATAGCACAATTCCTCTCAAATTCCTACTGCGGAACACCACTCTCTGCTGAAAATTTTGTTTAATTTTGAAATTTTTATAAAAAATTAAAAATATCAAATTATACAAGAGTTTTCGCAGGGACAAACATAGGTGTAGAGTGTAGTATTGGTGCAGGGCAATAGCCCTGCCCGCGCAAAAAGGAAAAAGAAGCAAGCACCGCACGTTCCCGGGAAGTCGCCCAGCCCAGTACTGATGTGGCCCGCGACTGCTTAATTTCCAGGTTCGGAGTGGAGCTGGATGTTGCCAGCCGGGTGTGGCCGCTTCGAAAGGATTGTTCGACACACATTCTTCACAATAGCACAATTCCTCTCAAATTCCTACTGCGGAACACCACTCTCTGCTGAAAATTTTGTTTAATTTTGAAATTTTTATAAAAAATTAAAAATATCAAATTATACAAGAGTTTTCGCAGGGACAAACATAGGTGTAGAGTGTAGTATTGGTGCAGGGCAATAGCCCTGCCCGCGCAAAAAGGAAAAAGAAGCAAGCACCGCACGTTCCCGGGAAGTCGCCCAGCCCAGTACTGATGTGGCCCGCGACTGCTTAATTTCCAGGTTCGGAGTGGAGCTGGATGTTGCCAGCCGGGTGTGGCCGCTTCGAAAGGATTGTTCGACACACATTCTTCACAATAGCACAATTCCTCTCAAATTCCTACTGCGGAACACCACTCTCTGCTGAAAATTTTGTTTAATTTTGAAATTTTTATAAAAAATTAAAAATATCAAATTATACAAGAGTTTTCGCAGGGACAAACATAGGTGTAGAGTGTAGTATTGGTGCAGGGCAATAGCCCTGCCCCGCAAAAAGGAAAAAGAAGCAAGCACCGCACGTTCCCGGGAAGTCGCCCAGCCCAGTACTGATGTGGCCCGCGACTGCTTAATTTCCAGGTTCGGAGTGGAGCTGGATGTTGCCAGCCGGGTGTGGCCGCTTCGAAAGGATTGTTCGACACACATTCTTCACAATAGCACAATTCCTCTCAAATTCCTACTGCGGAACACCACTCTCTGCTGAAAATTTTGTTTAATTTTGAAATTTTTATAAAAAATTAAAAATATCAAATTATACAAGAGTTTTCGCAGGGACAAACATAGGTGTAGAGTGTAGTATTGGTGCAGGGCAATAGCCCTGCCCGCGCAAAAAGGAAAAAGAAGCAAGCACCGCACGTTCCCGGGAAGTCGCCCAGCCCAGTACTGATGTGGCCCGCGACTGCTTAATTTCCAGGTTCGGAGTGGAGCTGGATGTTGCCAGCCGGGTGTGGCCGCTTCGAAAGGATTGTTCGACACACATTCTTCACAATAGCACAATTCCTCTCAAATTCCTACTGCGGAACACCACTCTCTGCTGAAAATTTTGTTTAATTTTGAAATTTTTATAAAAAATTAAAAATATCAAATTATACAAGAGTTTTCGCAGGGACAAACATAGGTGTAGAGTGTAGTATTGGTGCAGGGCAATAGCCCTGCCCGCGCAAAAAGGAAAAAGAAGCAAGCACCGCACGTTCCCGGGAAGTCGCCCAGCCCAGTACTGATGTGGCCCGCGACTGCTTAATTTCCAGGTTCGGAGTGGAGCTGGATGTTGCCAGCCGGGTGTGGCCGCTTCGAAAGGATTGTTCGACACACATTCTTCACAATAGCACAATTCCTCTCAAATTCCTACTGCGGAACACCACTCTCTGCTGAAAATTTTGTTTAATTTTGAAATTTTTATAAAAAATTAAAAATATCAAATTATACAAGAGTTTTCGCAGGGACAAACATAGGTGTAGAGTGTAGTATTGGTGCAGGGCAATAGCCCTGCCCCGCAAAAAGGAAAAAGAAGCAAGCACCGCACGTTCCCGGGAAGTCGCCCAGCCCAGTACTGATGTGGCCCGCGACTGCTTAATTTCCAGGTTCGGAGTGGAGCTGGATGTTGCCAGCCGGGTGTGGCCGCTTCGAAAGGATTGTTCGACACACATTCTTCACAATAGCACAATTCCTCTCAAATTCCTACTGCGGAACACCACTCTCTGCTGAAAATTTTGTTTAATTTTGAAATTTTTATAAAAAATTAAAAATATCAAATTATACAAGAGTTTTCGCAGGGACAAACATAGGTGTAGAGTGTAGTATTGGTGCAGGGCAATAGCCCTGCCCGCGCAAAAAGGAAAAAGAAGCAAGCACCGCACGTTCCCGGGAAGTCGCCCAGCCCAGTACTGATGTGGCCCGCGACTGCTTAATTTCCAGGTTCGGAGTGGAGCTGGATGTTGCCAGCCGGGTGTGGCCGCTTCGAAAGGATTGTTCGACACACATTCTTCACAATAGCACAATTCCTCTCAAATTCCTACTGCGGAACACCACTCTCTGCTGAAAATTTTGTTTAATTTTGAAATTTTTATAAAAAATTAAAAATATCAAATTATACAAGAGTTTTCGCAGGGACAAACATAGGTGTAGAGTGTAGTATTGGTGCAGGGCAATAGCCCTGCCCGCGCAAAAAGGAAAAAGAAGCAAGCACCGCACGTTCCCGGGAAGTCGCCCAGCCCAGTACTGATGTGGCCCGCGACTGCTTAATTTCCAGGTTCGGAGTGGAGCTGGATGTTGCCAGCCGGGTGTGGCCGCTTCGAAAGGATTGTTCGACACACATTCTTCACAATAGCACAATTCCTCTCAAATTCCTACTGCGGAACACCACTCTCTGCTGAAAATTTTGTTTAATTTTGAAATTTTTATAAAAAATTAAAAATATCAAATTATACAAGAGTTTTCGCAGGGACAAACATAGGTGTAGAGTGTAGTATTGGTGCAGGGCAATAGCCCTGCCCGCGCAAAAAGGAAAAAGAAGCAAGCACCGCACGTTCCCGGGAAGTCGCCCAGCCCAGTACTGATGTGGCCCGCGACTGCTTAATTTCCAGGTTCGGAGTGGAGCTGGATGTTGCCAGCCGGGTGTGGCCGCTTCGAAAGGATTGTTCGACACACATTCTTCACAATAGCACAATTCCTCTCAAATTCCTACTGCGGAACACCACTCTCTGCTGAAAATTTTGTTTAATTTTGAAATTTTTATAAAAAATTAAAAATATCAAATTATACAAGAGTTTTCGCAGGGACAAACATAGGTGTAGAGTGTAGTATTGGTGCAGGGCAATAGCCCTGCCCGCGCAAAAAGGAAAAAGAAGCAAGCACCGCACGTTCCCGGGAAGTCGCCCAGCCCAGTACTGATGTGGCCCGCGACTGCTTAATTTCCAGGTTCGGAGTGGAGCTGGATGTTGCCAGCCGGGTGTGGCCGCTTCGAAAGGATTGTTCGACACACATTCTTCACAATAGCACAATTCCTCTCAAATTCCTACTGCGGAACACCACTCTCTGCTGAAAATTTTGTTTAATTTTGAAATTTTTATAAAAAATTAAAAATATCAAATTATACAAGAGTTTTCGCAGGGACAAACATAGGTGTAGAGTGTAGTATTGGTGCAGGGCAATAGCCCTGCCCGCGCAAAAAGGAAAAAGAAGCAAGCACCGCACGTTCCCGGAAGTCGCCCAGCCCAGTACTGATGTGGCCCGCGACTGCTTAATTTCCAGGTTCGGAGTGGAGCTGGATGTTGCCAGCCGGGTGTGGCCGCTTCGAAAGGATTGTTCGACACACATTCTTCACAATAGCACAATTCCTCTCAAATTCCTACTGCGGAACACCACTCTCTGCTGAAAATTTTGTTTAATTTTGAAATTTTTATAAAAAATTAAAAATATCAAATTATACAAGAGTTTTCGCAGGGACAAACATAGGTGTAGAGTGTAGTATTGGTGCAGGGCAATAGCCCTGCCCGCGCAAAAAGGAAAAAGAAGCAAGCACCGCACGTTCCCGGGAAGTCGCCCAGCCCAGTACTGATGTGGCCCGCGACTGCTTAATTTCCAGGTTCGGAGTGGAGCTGGATGTTGCCAGCCGGGTGTGGCCGCTTCGAAAGGATTGTTCGACACACATTCTTCACAATAGCACAATTCCTCTCAAATTCCTACTGCGGAACACCACTCTCTGCTGAAAATTTTGTTTAATTTTGAAATTTTTATAAAAAATTAAAAATATCAAATTATACAAGAGTTTTCGCAGGGACAAACATAGGTGTAGAGTGTAGTATTGGTGCAGGGCAATAGCCCTGCCCCGCGCAAAAAGGAAAAAGAAGCAAGCACCGCACGTTCCCGGGAAGTCGCCCAGCCCAGTACTGATGTGGCCCGCGACTGCTTAATTTCCAGGTTCGGAGTGGAGCTGGATGTTGCCAGCCGGGTGTGGCCGCTTCGAAAGGATTGTTCGACACACATTCTTCACAATAGCACAATTCCTCTCAAATTCCTACTGCGGAACACCACTCTCTGCTGAAAATTTTGTTTAATTTTCTTGTTTTAGAAATGTTTTTTATTGAAAAATCAATAAAACTAACTCCAAAATAAAATTTTTGATTTAAAGACACTATGATGACACCAGGCAAATCTTCCAAGACACCTATCGTCGGGAATCTAACAACCCTAGTATGAACTTGAAGAGAAATTTTAAGGAAAATATTAAGTTGTGTATTTTGTGTTTATCTCATTGTGTGATGCATATTTTCATGATCTGACAGCAGAAATCGAATCAGCAGAGCCAGAAGAATCAGATTACGCGGGGAAAATAGGTTTTGAACGCTTAGATAGGGGTAAAATCAGACTTTATGAGGTATGTTGTATAATTATAGTTTGTACTGTAATATGTCATGAGATCAGAATATGAAGGGAGTATATATGTGTTATTGTCACAGGTATATATGTGAGGATAGCTCAGTAGAGTCTGTAAAATAGTTTAGTAGAAGAAAAAGTTATATAAAGAACAAAAAATTAAAAATAAACATTATTAAGTGAAAACCAAAGTTTACCTATTTTATGTAAGGTTTTGTCTTTGTGGGTTGAGGTATATGACAAAAAAGATTGGATAATGCACTCTTGTCGGTCAAACTTCCGCGTTCAAGTTATGAATGCGGAACATTGTTCCATTCTGGGAGACATGCAGAGGCAATGTCTCCCAGAATGAGACACTGCGACCGACAAGAGTGCATTATGCACTCCTGTCGGTCAAACTTCCGCGTTCAAGTTATGAATGCGGAACATTGTTCCATTCTGGGAGACATGCAGAGGCAATGTCTCCCAGAATGAGACACTGCGACCGACAAGAGTGCATAATACACTCTTGTCGGTCAAAGTTTTGCAATCACATTCTGATTGCAGAAGATTGTCTTATTCTGGGAGACATGCAGAGGCAATGTCTCCCGAAATGATACCGTCATACCAACACCAATTTATTCCTTCTTTCCATTGTCATACAATTCAATATTTTTATCAATCTTAATCAACTTTTTTTATTCTTCTTTAATTCAATTTATCTTTCTCCTAGAATATCTATTCCTTTAACAGACATAAAATCACCAATCGAGCTTTTTCAATACTCAAAATTTCATATAAATCTTTGTTATTTTTTCTCTCATCGCTTATTTTATTAAATATACATATTTCCTCTCACATATCCCTCTTCATATATATTGGATCTCAACACTCATCTATTAGAACAATATATTTTCGCTTAATCTTATATTATTCATTAACAATCTTTCATCTTCTTATTTCTAGTTAACCTACCAATATATATATAGAATATATGCCCAATTACATATTCAGATACATTAAATTCAAGAAATTCTTCTAATATTATTCTCCTATTCATAATAAAATCATATTTAGTCTCACATCACAATTCTATCAGTTCTTCAATATCATATCATATTGGTAACATCACATATATCTCTTATAATATCACTTAAATTTGTATTTTTTTATTAATTATATTTAATTAGTTCTACATTCTATTATTATAGAGGTTTGACAAACTCATCAATAGTTAAAATCAAAATCTATTCAGAACTTTGAATCTAATGAAAATTACATTTCGATATCTTTTTGCAAGCTTAATTTTTTGTATTATCTTAAAATACATTTAGTAATGTTATGTACGTATTGAATTCAAATTATAGCGCAGTAACATGCAACTCATCTTGAGATTCACATTTCATTTTCACAATTATTGCATATATACATCAATAACATATTGTACTCATATAGCTACACGACTCTAAACTCAATGACATCAAATAATGCTTGTAATATTTAAAATAATTTTTGCATTTTTGATTCTCAGCTTAACTTCTATAAATGTCACCAAAACATTTCATTCCTACCAAGAAATAATATATTAGTAATTAAGCGTTTATTACCATTGTTACTCACATCATATTAATTCATTTTTGTAATTTTTTAAATAAATGACTGGAATCATAAACCCTATGTACCCATATCAACATGTTAAAATTTCAAAGTCTGAAACTTAGTATACATTGAGTTTCATGAAATCAGATAATCTCGTAGATTTCTTAAATATTATATATTGCTGGCCAATAATGATGCAGCATGATTCTCCATCATATCAGCATTCTAAACATATCTTTATTTTGTCAATTGGCATAAATTAAGGGTGCTTTTCAGGCGATAAATGGTATTTTAGATACCTGGGTAGAGGGTCATGAAAAAGTTGCAAAAGTCAAAAATTGAGGGTAATAAAATATCAAAACTTAATGATAGGAAAATTGAATAGCCATGTGTTAAATATATTCATAAAATTATAAAATATTTGTCAATACCCATATATTTTCAAAATTTTTAAAATTTATGAAAAATATCTTATATATATACAAGTATTTGATATATTAGTTAACACCAACTGATGAAATAAAAATTACCGAAACGGGCTTTTAAAAAAACTACATACTACTGAAATTTGAATTATAACAAATTCTATATCTCTACCATGAAAACTAATTTTTGAATTTATGTTTATATTGATCCAAGCAAACAACACTTGAAGACTCTAAAGTTTCTTTGGCCAATTATATAACATTGCATTTTTTTTTCAATGAAAATATATTCACTATACGCATTGGTCTATGTGGTGCATATTGTTAAAGATATATTCCTCTTAAATTTAAATTATTCAGATAAAAAGGTACAGACGCCAAAAGTCTCCTGAAAATTGAATTTTGACTCAAAATTGAGAAGCAATGATGCATCAATTTGGTTAAGATTATTTAGCGATTGATAAATGAGTCATAAATTTATAGGAAATGATAATTTTATTATCATTAATGATGACTTAGAATAAGAATTATTCGTTACAAATGATGATTAATATCTTCCATCACCAGGAAAATAAGAGAGATTTTGTCAACTGAAATCTCATTATTTCGGCTTAGGTTATTGTAGCTCTTGAGGCATTAAATGAATAACTTAAATGTAGAAGAAATGATTTGTGCTTGAAGAAGTTAAAATTGAAACAAAAAATATTCAACTATGCAATTACTTCAGCTCCAATTATATATGATTTCATTGAGAGAATGATCGTAAATATTCCTAATGAACTTCTACTAATGAACAATGCAATGTAAAAATAACAAAATAAAAGTATACTTAGATAATGCATGAATTGTGGTTTGACTTTGGTAATGTGGTATAAAAGATGTGATCTCCTGCTAATATCGTGTAAAAGATCCATTAATTCTAAATTCTTTGTAAAGCTTTTTATGAATCATTGGAACATGATATCAAATTTCACTAGAAAACTCTGCGTCTTATTGATGTAAAATGGAGTACAAATTAAATATTTCAACATATATATTACTTGAATGTTTAGTGTTTGGAAAGATGTTTTACCATGTTATTTTGCCATTTTAAGTTGGTACCACAGTTGCCGATGATTATATGACTTTAAAAAGGTTAATTTATATCATTTGAAAAGTTAATGTAGTCAATAACTTTGCAATCAGAAGAAATATATTATATTAATAAGGAATTATTAATGTAATCGTTATTTTTATGATTTGTGATATTGAGGACATTATTTAATTAACTTAAAACTCACCCAATAAACAACAATAATAAGTGAATATCCTAATTTGCTATTTATTATTAGCTAAATACGTTAAACTAAAATGTCATGTCATTTGGATTTTGATTGGTGCTTACGAAATGTTGATTTTTTGATGCAAAAATAGATAATTTGGATGATTATTTTAAATAAGTTAATACTATAGCATTATTAAATTTCTAAACAAAAATACTACACTGTGGATCAATTCGAAGATATTATTGCCTTCCAAATTAATTTGAAATTTTAATGATATTAAAAAAAATAACATTGACTATATTTTACTATTCAAACTTTGAACCCATAGCTTAAATCTTTATTGTATTCGCTTAAAAAGTGACAAAAAATATTGTGAAATTTAAATTAGCCGAATTATCATTGATATTGGAAAAGCATCAACAAATCATTTTAGAGATTCTATACCAACAGTTTCAAGACATATCTGGATAAATTCGCAAATGAAGTTCTATTTCTTGGATTTAAGCTCATGTTAGTGTCTACCTGATGGCAACAATGTATAGCAATTTTCTCAATATAACTATTTTTTGCACCTGGTAAATATTGGAATCTGAAATTCTTTTTGAATGAAAAATCAATAGATTATGAGCTGAAATTATTTATTTGGATTGATAGAACTACTATATTATTAATTAAATTTGATTATCTTATTTTCCAAATTACGCGTAATGAAAAAATTTATGAAAATTATAGTACATGAATGATACTGAATTAAAATGTTTTAATATCCTATTCTTCTCTGAAAAGTCGAATAACGCAATCGTAAAATATTTAAGCGGAATTTGGTTATATATGATTTAGCGTATGTATTAGAGAAATGTTGGATTTTTAAATTCCTTTCAATTTTTTTCGTATAAACCGCAACCGAAAAACCGATAGTCAATTTTCATTTTTTCATAGGGATGATAAATTCTCAGGCCAATTCTGACACTGTCCAAAACAATAATAGCGAGCATGACAGCCAAGAGCTAAAACCCATTAGTAGTCTAACCTTCCCATTCAAATCCTTTGAATATCACACGGTAAGAGAAATTTTAATTCCATTTAACACAAATGAGTGTAATAATGCAAAATTTCATACCCCAATGGATGCAATGATGTATATAAGAGATCATTGTCTCAAGCATAACATCGCTTTCAAGAGATCAACAGTCATGAAATACGCCCATCTCTGTCAAGTTTATAATCAGCCACACGGATCTTATATTTGCATGGGTACACTTTCACAAAGTGTTTTAAACAGGTTATACACGAAAGTTTCAAGGCTTTATTCAACCAAGGTTATGAAAGAATTTATTCAATGATTGTTTAGTTGAAACCCTTTAACGCATAGAATATATTTTATATATCTAGCAATAATTGATATTTATCAAAACATTATTGAAAAAATTGAATTCTATCTTATTATATCTTTTTTTGTTGACATGTAAATATATGTTTTTGGATTAGCATTCCAAATGGTTTGTTGCCTTTCACACGGTAATTGTCAATCAAATAAATTACCCGAAAAATTTCGTAAATTATTTGTAGTTCATGTTTAAAGTCGGAATGACCACGATCACATATTTTAATATTTGATATGATAGTTGTTCCAAAAATGATCTAGATTTGTTTTTATTTGGATATTTAAAAATTATGATGAATATTATTGAAAATAAAAACTTATTTATGATAGTATAGCAAGGTCATATGAAGATTTTGGTATTTTCCTGTTAAAGATAATATATATTGATGGATTTTTGTGTCAATTGAGTAAATGAACACTTAACTTAAACCTTTTGTCATGTTGTTACCTACGCATCTTTCATATATGTCTCATAGAATATTATCTTATTATGTTTATTTTATGGCATTTTCAAAGTTAATTAGTAACAGTTAAAAATTTTATATTGTTTTTAGAGGTTTATTATGGGAATATTGATAGTTGATCAACTAAAATTACTTATATCTGTCATCATGAATAATATTTCATACATTTTTATCAATCTTATTATATTGAATAACACGTAATGATTGAACTAATGAATTCTTTTACTATCGCAAAGGATATCTACAAATGTGATGAATGAATGCATAAAAATTTCTAGAATTATATAACTAGATATAGCTGAAATAGATATTTTAAAAATGTGATTGCTCAAAGTAAAACCATCATCGAGATAAGGTCATTGTGCTTGTTTTTGTGGATGTGCCTAATTAATATCATGTTTTTCTATTGGATGTAAGTGTATAAGAATGACTTCTATTCGATTATCGCATGAATTTTGTTTTGAATAAAATTCTAAATTTCAAAAAAAGTATTAGATATGTGTATATACAATTGCTTATTACTTCAATACACGAATAATTATAGGTCTTATAACTATAAATAGTAAATAATGAGTTGATTAAAGATTCAAATAATTAAACCTTTGAATTCAATGTATTAGGGGTGTTCTTAAAATATATTTATTATCATCCAAAGTATAGATTGGTGTGTTCGAAATAGCCTGTTATCTGTTAAATATTGAGAAAACGGATTAGCGTTACTGAAATAAATATGCGCTATTATTCTTCTGTGGACCTACAAAGAATTGATTAGTTCATACTAAGTGGTAACAATAATTATATAAAATGCTGTAGAAATATGCATAAAAATACCGCCTAACTAGTTTGTATGATGATAGAGAATACAAAATATAACTTTTTAATAATAACTAAATTTTAATCGGTTGCGAAGGGATCTAATGGAGCTACTAGGAAATATGTATGTGTATGATAAGTGGTACTGTTATTGATGCTAATACGTATTCGAAACTTTCTTTAACAGTGTAAATTTCTTTATTTGGTTGATAAAAAAAATATGTTTGAAAGTATTTTATTTCAGTCTTTAGTGGAACCAATAGAAAGCAATTTAGTTGCACGGTTACTATAATATTAATATATATTTCATTTATTATGTGTATATTAGGGTATCTTATCTCAACTCTTTAATTGTTCTAATATTTCGGGAATGCGACCGAATATAACAAAGCAATCACCTAAGTACATTAGAGGCATAATAAAAAAGGAAATATATCTATTAAATAGCAATATTGTTTGTTTGTGATCAAAAGGTAATGTATATCAAATATATCAAAAGTATTCATCAGGCTTAATTTAGAATTGAAAATCGAAATTGTTGAAATCTACATTACATGTCAACCAATAACTTAGGAATTCTGAGATGAGCATATTGTTATAGGATTAGCATGGTGGATCGAAAAGACAGAATAATGAGGGATAATTTATATTTCGAACAATGCATTATCGAATTAAAAATATAATTTTCTATAGTATGGAAATGTATATTTTTATGGGTACAGCCTGTCATCCTGGATAATTCGAAGAATTTCAAAAATATTGAAAGAACAGATGCGAACACAATGTGCTTGTTTAGCATGTGTGAAACATTAAACATTGATATATAAAATCCTGATAAAATCAAATTTACAAAATTTTGAAGATGCCGTATCGTAAATCAAATTTTTACTTCATATGACAATAATTTCAATCAAATTTTGTAATCGTTTATGAAAAATTCTCATATATAGTTGCTATGAAAATTTCATCTATTATTTTACGATAAATGGCCAATTCGTTTCAATTTTTATAGTCACCTCACTTTGTTTTATGCCTGCTCTTGTTATCAAGACCAACGCTAAATTCACAGAGGAAGAGAAGTCCAAGGCCACCGAGGAACTCGGAAACATTGTTTCCAAGGTTCTTGGAAAGCCAATCTCTTATGTCATGGTCACATTAGAGGATGGTGTTGCTGTTAGATTCGGTGGCAGTGACGAGAAGGCTGCTTTCATGTCCCTCATGTCAATTGGTGGACTTAACAGAGCTGTTAACAAGAGGGCATCTGCTGCTCTCACAAAGTGGTTCACAGACCATGGTTTCCAGGGCGATCGCATTTACATCGTCTTCAATCCAAAGAGTGCTGAGGACTGGGGCTTCAATGGTGACACATTTGCCTAAAATACGGATTTAATTGTAATAATTCTTTTCTTTTTTTCAAATTCTGATTCATTCTTTCTCTTTAAAACGATTGTACGAATGTATACGTACTAATATCTCAAATTATAGAAATAATTCTCATTAACATTTGAATTCATATTAAAAACTGAGCAATTTAGTATTATTTCGATTTTGTTGGCATTATTGTCATATTTATTGTCCAATTTTATTGAAATAACTTTCTAAATTTTAATTGTTGATAATTTTTACTGTAACAAATCCTAATTATATAAACATAATGATCGTTTAAAAGACTATCTTAATGAGAGTGAATGTTTGAAAATCATTTTGCTGATATAATCTAAATTCATCTCAAATATCAACTCGTTTTTACACAATGGCCCGAGTAACATATTCAGTTTGATGATTATGTGCTTTCAACTGAATAAGACATAATATTAATGATGATTCACAAGACAATTGAATTCATTCCTTATAAGATAACCTCTATAGAAACATTTAAGCTTTCATTTTGTATACTATACTATACAAGCTGTTCCATTGTTTGAAATTTTATGATCTGTAAATAAACCTTTGAAATTCTGAAATTCACGAGTAACCTTTCAGATTTATGAATAGTAAACCAATATGCTATTGTTGTTAAGCAGTAAATTATAATAAAAATATCAATATATTGAAATAATAAACATATATTTAATAAACAATAGCAATTAATTGAGGTTCACTACAAATGAACCTTCTGGATCAACTTTCTGAGCTAGACTGACAAAATATGTCATTCTATTTCCCTTACCTTTAAGGAATACTTCGCCTCTTTCTTCAATATTGAAATCTAAGTCTTGAATGAGTTCTTTTGTTTCACCTGAAATTTGAACATTTCCTGGTACATCTGTTGACTGTAGTCTTGCAGCGACATTGATTGGATCACCAATGATATCGAATGTTGGTTTATCTGTACCTAAAACACCGCCAATCAGTGGACCACCACTGTTGCAGCCAATTCTAACTTCAAGAGAAGCATTTAACTTTGCATTGATTTCATCTAATGCTTTACTAATTTGAATACAACATCTTACAGCTTGTTCAGCATGTTTCTTTGGATCATCATCTTCTTTCATGAACAAACCAGCTGCTGCCATGTAATCATCACCAATTAATTTGATCTTTGTTATCAAATCATATTGAGAAACAATCTGATCATATGTAGCAAAGACTAAACTCAAGTTTGCCATGATATCTGTTGGTGTAAGTAAAGCTGTATAAGCAGAGAATTTAACGATATCAACAAAGAAAATTGTAGCACTTTTGATGGTGAAAGAAATATCTGTTTCACCTCTATTGAGTCTGATAACAATATCCTTTGGCAAGATCTGATACAATAACTTCTCTGATTTAGCTTTAGCTTCTTCTGCTTCTTTCCTCTTCTGTATTTCCTCTTGTTCATTTGTTAAAATGAAAACGATTGAATTAAATGTTGTTGAATTCTCATTATCTTTCATTCCAATCATTGTAGCAGCGAAAGGAATTGCTTGAGAATCTTCATCGAGTAATGTTAAATGATCTTCCCAAATTGCTGGACCTTGGCCATTAACCATCAAATCGATTTGTTTGTTCAATCTTGGTTGGTCTTCTGTTGAAACAAAGTTTGCAATTTGTTGGCCTAACATTTGATCTGGAGTTAATCCGATGTTTTCTGCAACAGATTTGTTGAGAATTTCGATAACTGATGCTTGGTTTGTAATAATAATGCATTCATTAGCATCATAAACAATAGCTTTTGATACTGGCATCTTTTCATCTCCGGAGTTTTTCTTCTTTCCTGTGAAGAACTTCATAATTTCTGGTGAATTCAAGATTGTTTGTGGTGGCAAATGTTGGAACAACATCATTAAATTTGCATAGTTATTTAAAACTAAAACTTTGAAAATTGCTGGTAAAACTAAAATGAAAATCAAGCAAATGAATCCGAGAACAACAAAAACAGCTTCTAAGTTCATCTTTCTATCATAAAACTCTTCCATTAATGCTGCAATTCTTTCTGTTGCCTTAACAACACTTGGATAGAAGTGATTTCTTAAAAGATGCATCATATTTTCTGCAACTTCTGAATTCAAATTTCCCTGGTATTTTGCTGGATTATTAAGAACGTCAACAACCATGTTCTTAAAGATTTGTACTTGTGAATCAATTGATGAACAAGCATACATATCATGAATTGTCTTTGGATCATGATCTAATTCACAAACATTTTGTAATTGCATTTCATCAAATTTCTTATCGAAGCCAATGGATCTTGAAATGTTTTCGTTACCATAAATCAAAGCATGGTTATATGTCAACAATTTGTCGAGATCTTTCCTTGCTGTTTCTTCAACAAATGAAACATTTACAATTGTTTGTGGTAATGACCCATTAAGTAAAATTGTTTGGATTACATTGACACCAATTTCTGATCCCAAAACAATTCTTGAGCATGAATAATGGAACCATTTAAGAATCATTGTTATGTCATCATTTAAGATGATTGCTTCATAACATAACAGTACATAAACGGCAACTGCACAGAATATAAAGAAGAAGAACAAAACTTGTAAAATCTTCATAATATAGGATTTATCAAGTTTTTGTGATGAAACATGCATTGATGAATCTTCATATTCTAACATCAATGGTTTCTTTGCATCTTCTTTCACTTCACATGGCAATGAAATTAAACTTCTAATCATGTCATCAACCATTTTATTGTATGTCTTGATAACAATTACAGCTGGTAAAGAGATGCCAAAGAATATAACACAAGCACCAACAATCAACCATGATAAGAACTCTTTCTTGTAATCTTTTGATTCTTGGATATTATAATTCAAAATGTTCTGGAATGTCTGATCTGAATAAGTAGCAACTGTATGAATATTAACAGCTATTTCGCAATATTCATTATTTATATAAAGATTATCAATCTTTTCTCCTGATTTGAAAGTTCCTGCAATAACATTTTGAAGGTAATCAATTGTAATTAATTGGTCCTTTAATGATGTAGGAATTTTATCAGCTGCTGTTCCATTATCACAATAAGTGAAATTAGTTCTTGAATATAAAACATCAGGAGCAATTGTATATGGATTATTATCCAAAGCTAAAACAGCTAACTGATCCAAGAACTTCTCCAAATAACTTCTGCTATGATCTAAACAATAATATATCTTATCAGGCATATCTAATGTATCTGGAACTAATGGACTAGTTACACCATTATCAATTGAAATATCTCCTAAAACAGCGGCATTGTTATCATATCTACCAGACTGATAAGCGAAATCATTCAATGTGTAGACATCTGATAAAATATTGTAGAAGATTGTGTAGCAAGCATTTTCTAAATCTCTGTAACTTGATCTTCTCCAGCTAACTCTTTGTTTCATGAATCCATAAAATCCAATGAAGAAAACAATTGTCAAAGCAACATTGAATGCCATCAAAACTGAAATGATATCTGCTTGCCATGGTCTTGTTTCTGAAACAGCATTATGGAAGGCTAATCTGACTTTACTGTCTCTTAAAATCTTCTTGCAAACAAATTCTTGACGCTCAAAATCAACAGAAAGAGATCGTGTTAATGATGAGTTATTTGAACTGTTCTGTGAACCATTCTGAGAGCTAAATTGTGAACTATTTTTCTTTCTATCAAGACCTTTTTGCGTGATTCTTTTACCTTTTGTATCCAAAATTTTGTCTTTAAGATATCTTGGGAATTTGTTAACAACTGATCTGAAACTGACATCAACATTGAAGTTTCTTCCATTACCAATTGAATCTGCAATAACACTTTCTTTGACTGCTTGATTGAATTCACATCTGCACTCAATTAAGAAGTTTGCATATTCATTTGTGATTCTCAAGTTATTTGGATTGTTTGCAAGAACGGATTTGAAATGGGCATCAATATCATTAACTAAGATACTGAGAGAAGAAAGATATTCTTGATTGCAATCTTGTTTATCCCAGAAACCATTAATAATCTGTTTGCAATCTTCATTTCTTTGTCTAAGTTTATTGAAGATTTCAAGTGTATCCTTTGTATCTGAAACTAAACGACGCATTTTGATTCTGTAGACTTGGTATATAAGGAATCTATCTGTTATATCTAATCTTCTCTTTGAAACAACTTTTTTGTACAAAACACCCATTTTTCTACTCTCTGAAGGGAAAAATGTGACGACTTGTAACAAAATAGAGACTGCTGAGTCTAATGTTCCTAAGTTTAATATATAATCTGTTAATGAACCATCGATAAAGTAGTCAGCGACTTCAGAAAGGCCAACAACGATGTACATCATTGCATATAATGAGCTCCTTCCAACACGGATACTATCGAAATATTCTTGAATGTTGGATATATCTTCATCAAATGTCAAATCCTTCTTTATCTTCTTGACCATACGCATAAAATAATATTTCGCAATTGCATAACCGATGAAAATCACGCCAATGTATACAAATATTGTGTAATTATATGTGAAACTTGGATTTGCGTAGATAACAATGAAATTAATATCTAATGCGATTGTTGTGAAACCATAAGATAAACATATAGCATTTCTCCACACTTCATAGAAAGGAATAAACATTAAGCGATAGCAAATGTATATCGTAAGGAAGATATGAAGAATAGCAGCGACGCAATAAATCCAATGTTGGAAATACTCAAAAATAGCTGATAGGACTGAAAACATTGATGTTGCTACAACCCATGTAGTGATTGAGAAGTGATCAAATAATGGGAACAAGAAGTTTGTCAAAACTACGGATCTGGATTTCAAGAAAGTGTTGATTAAGAAGATTGTAATAAAGATTGCATATGATACTGCACCAATAATTATTTCTGTCACAAAAACACCGCTATATTTAAAACGTAATGAGGTGATTCCATGATTTATAACGTAAATACTTGGCATGATGAACAATGGATCCACCATATCAAGTATAAACGAAGTAATATAAAGTAATGCAGTTGGAATTTGATAAAACTTGTTATTATAGAGAATCATCAATAAAAACCATATAACGGAAAAGACTGCAACAACTATTGTAATGGTTAAACTGATACCATCTGTTCTATCATAATTTAATGGATCTTGGAATGAGAATATCTCAATTAAAACCTTGTAAAACTTATACCAAGTTCCCGTACTTCTCCGAAAAATTGGGGTATAGACCCATAATGTAACGGATAATATCTGATTCAATAAGAATATGGCAATAACTCCCATTAACCAACCTGGGTACTTCGTTTTTTGCATAACTTGGTCTAAAATTGGAAAGATCTTATCAATTAAACCCGAATCTCCTTGAAGTAATGAATCTATCTTCTGTGCAACACTTAATGTTGTGCTTACACTTGACATAGATCGCGATACAGAAGCCTCAGCCATTTAAAATTTTGATAAATTGAAAAATAAATAAACTATAAAAATTTTATAGTTTATTCTTAACGTTATTCAAAATTTTGTGAGAACCAGATTTCAGAGCGAAACTTATTTACTCTCGTATGATGATTTTAAGATTTTTAATTATATTTAATGATTATTTTAAAATAAATTTTGACGCATTGAAAATTTTTGTGACAGGAATTTGCGAACAGATATAAACAAGATAATTATATCCAAGAAAAAGATGACGAAAATGAAAGTGAGTAAAAGTAATTGGTTAACGCGTAAAGTTTGAATAGTAATCAAAATTGAAAAAGAAATTGAATAGAGATTATTTGAAATTTAAATCAAATGGTTTTGATTTTTAGATACGTATCGTCTAGCTGAAGAAAAATTTTAGCCGGCTAAATTATCGTTCAATAATTGTCGATCAATTTTTTCTGTTCGATTTAACCAATGTCCGTTTTTGTAATATCATTAGTGAGTGCAAACAAAGTCAACAATTACTCTAATGAGCGTTTAATTTTGAAGCAAGCCAAAAATACGTTTTGAGTTTTCAATCTTCTGAAAGGAAATATGAAATGAAATATTTTTAATTAAAAGATTTGCTTATTGGTCATCAAGAGCATGTTAGTGTTACTTTTAATTCTAAATTTCCTATCCTTAATTTATTGTTCCCTAATAAATTCAGTTCTAAGTACTTGGATTGTTCAAAATGTATATTCATACGTAATGCAATTAAATGTACGAGTTGATGCAAGGTGAGTCAGAAGTTCGATACGGCTCATATGTTGATATATAGCCTATAGATATTCATATTATCTACTTTTCATTGAATTACATAAGATTTAATAATCTCATAAATATTCTTTTGAATTTTCCGAATTCCGTGTGCATTTAGATTGCCTATACCTGTATATAATAATTCTAGAATGGTTTGGTTAGATATTAAGTTTTTTAGATTAATATTTTAACATTTTGATAAAACAAGCATTTGTTCCATTTTAGAATCGCCATTGAACTCTAGTTTGACTAACATGATGTTGTATGATCAAATAAATTCTAACTTCATGAGATAAATTTTGAAATTAGAAAATGCGATATCTGACTCAAATATTTATCTGAACACATTTAACATTCAATGATAAACTAAAGTACTATACAGCAGATTCGATTTGGCTTATATTTTATATAATCAACAAATAATCCTATAAAATTGTGCTATTCACGTTGCTCAAAGATGTATTGAACATTCCCTACTTGTGTATTGATAAAATTAGATATAGATTCTAATGTAAATCGATATTTTGAAAATTCATATATATTTTGTCTTGGTTTGGCATTTGATCGTGTTGAAACCGGAATTGCAATATATATCATCTAAATATATAACTATCAAAATATGAGCTATAGATTTTTAAATTATTCTCCTGAATATGAGTGACTAACATAATTATATTGAATTGAGTAGTAAGAATCATAAATATTAGAATCTGACGATAATTTATTATAACTTTATATAGGAACAAGATTATAAATGATGACGAAAATAAAGATTAAATTTAAATCTGAAAATTTGAAAACATTAAGTGTATATGATAGCATTACAAAATTAAATTTTATGTGGAAGAGGAAATAGAGGAATTAGAAGTATTATGAGAAAATAATAAGATATAAAAACAAGATTCTATTAAATGAGTTAATTTATAGAAAGGAATAACAGTGTGAATGTAGTAAATGAATGTTTTCATGATGTATTATTGAAATCTTAAGTTTTGTTAAGAAGATAATAAGGGAATCAAATTTTGTATTAGGAAGTTTGACCGACAAGAGTGTATTGTGCACTCTTGTCGGTCTGCATGTCTCATTCCGGGAGAAATTGTCACTGCATGTCTCCCAGAATGAGACAATCTTTTGCAATCACAATGTGATTACAAAACTTCGACCGACAAGAGTGCACAATACACTCTTGTCGGTCTGCATGTCTCATTTCGGGAGACATTGTCACTGCATGTCTCCCAGAATGAGACAATCTTCCGCATTCATAACTTGAATGCGGAAGTTTGACCGACAAGAGTGCACAATACACTCTTGTCGATCTAAATGTATCTTACAATCAAAGACACTTTCATACAATCTTTTCGAAGTTAAAAAAAAAATTTAATTATTTCTTTCTTTTGTTTATTAAATCGCCTTACTCACGTACTAATCTCTTTTAGAGACTCTATCGAGCTATCCCCACATATAAACCTGTGACAATAATACATATTTACTCTCTTCATATTCTGATCTCATGACACATTATCGCAAAAACTATAATTATACAACACATCTCATAACGTCTCATTTTAGCCCTATCTAAGCGTTCAAAACCTATTTTCCACACGTAATCTGATTCTTCTGGCTCCGCTGATTCGATTTCTGCTGTCAGATCGTGAAAATATGCATCACATAAAGAGATAAATGCAAATTGCACAACTTAATATTTTCCTTAAAATTTCTCTTCAGGTTCATACCTAAATAAGCTCTTTTTTTGAAAATTCAATTTTTTCCAAAAATGTATGAATTCAAAAGTTCAGGTTATATCTAGTCATTTTCCAACATTAATTTTGTGTTTTAGTTTTTGAGATATTCATTTTATTATACGTATTATTCAGAAAATTAAAAGAATTTGTGAGGGGAAACGGAGGAGATAATAAATATGTAAAGATGGATGAATAGACAATTTGAAAAAAAAAGCAATAATTTTGAGTTGTGTTTATCTCTTTATGTGATGCATATTTTCACGATCTGACAGCAGAAATCGAATCAGCGGAGCCAGAAGAATCAGATTACGTGTGGAAAATAGGTTTTGAACGCTTAGATAGGGCTAAAATGAGACTTTATGAGATGTGTTGTATAATTATAGTTTTTGCGATAATGTGTCATGAGATCAGAATATGAAGAGAGTAAATATGTATTATTGTCACAGGTTTATATGTGGGGATAGCTCGATAGAGTCTCTAAAAGAGATTAGTACGTGAGTAAGGCGATTTAATAAACAAAAGAAAGAAATAATTAAATTTTTTTTTTAACTTCGAAAAGATTGTATGAAAGTGTCTTTGATTGTAAGATACATTTAGATCGACAAGAGTGTATTGTGCACTCTTGTCGGTCAAACTTCCGCATTCAAGTTATGAATGCGGAAGATTGTCTCATTCTGGGAGACATGCAGTGACAATGTCTCCCGGAATGAGACATGCAGACCGACAAGAGTGTACACTCTTGTCGGTCAAAGTTTTGCATCACATTTGATTGCAAAGATTGTCTCATTCTGGGAGACATGCAGTGACAATGTCTCCCGGAATGAGACATGCAGACCGACAAGAGTGCACAATACACTCTTGTCGGTCAAACTTCCTAATACAAAATTTGATTCCCTTATTATCTTCTTAACAAAACTTAAGATTTCAATAATACATCATGAAAACATTCATTTACTACATTCACACTGTTATTCCTTTCTATAAATTAACTCATTTAATAGAATCTTGTTTTTATATCTTATTATTTTCTCATAATACTTCTAATTCCTCTATTTCCTCTTCCACATAAAATTTAATTTTGTAATGCTATCATATACACTTAATGTTTTCAAATTTTCAGATTTAAATTTAATCTTTATTTTCATCATCATTTATAATCTTGTTCCTATATAAAGTTATAATAAATTATCGTCAGATTCTAATATTTATGATTCTTACTACTCAATTCAATATAATTATGTTAGTCACTCATATTCAGGAGAATAATTTAAAAATCTATAGCTCATATTTTGATAGTTATATATTTAGATGATATATATTGCAATTCCGGTTTCAACACGATCAAATGCCAAACCAAGACAAAATATATATGAATTTTCAAAATATCGATTTACATTAGAATCTATATCTAATTTTATCAATACACAAGTAGGGAATGTTCAATACATCTTTGAGCAACGTGAATAGCACAATTTTATAGGATTATTTGTTGATTATATAAAATATAAGCCAAATCGAATCTGCTGTATAGTACTTTAGTTTATCATTGAATGTTAAATGTGTTCAGATAAATATTTGAGTCAGATATCGCATTTTCTAATTTCAAAATTTATCTCATGAAGTTAGAATTTATTTGATCATACAACATCATGTTAGTCAAACTAGAGTTCAATGGCGATTCTAAAATGGAACAAATGCTTGTTTTATCAAAATGTTAAAATATTAATCTAAAAAACTTAATATCTAACCAAACCATTCTAGAATTATTATATACAGGTATAGGCAATCTAAATGCACACGGAATTCGGAAAATTAAAAAGAATATTTATGAGATTATTAAATCTTATGTAATTCAATGAAAAGTAGATAATATGAATATCTATAGGCTATATATCAACATATGAGTTTTTGGTTTGACCAATACTATACTAATGTGATCAAATTAATCTGATTTCTTAGATTTTCATTTGAAGCATTTGCAGTAGTAGGGGTACCTTTATATATTAACATATTAAAAAATTGCGCTCCGATTCGCAGTTTCTTCATGATTTTGAGATTGCATTAGATTTCGCGATGCAGAAAAAAATCACTTTAGATTCCCGTCAAACTCTAAGTATAAGCATGTCTCTATATGTAGAAACTGTCTGCGCTATTTATTTCCCGGCTCAAAAAACCACGGTGTCTGTGTGAGGAAAATACCCATTTTAGGACCCTGGGTAGGGGGTCATGAAAATTTTCCAAGTGTTGGAAATATAGGGTATCAATAAAATGACATTTCAGATTTTATACTATATGGACAGATAAAATGTTATTTACTCATCAAAGATAATTAAAATATAAAGGTTTCTTGACAATCATCTATAAAAAAAAAAATATCTCAAAATAATATTTAAGACAATTAGATTCCAGTAGTGTATAAAGTATATATACTCATTAAAAAGATGATTTTAAAGATAAGGTAAATGTTATAATGATAAATTTTAAATCTTCATTTTTATTGAGTTGAAATACTTGAGTTTATGAAACCTTATATATTGTATCTGACATGTATATAGTATAAGCAATAAAAAATCATTAATTTCATAGAAAAACAAACAAACATTTAATCTTTATTAGAAAGGTTAGCCATCTTAGCTAGCTGTTCATTAAATTTATAATGAGGCATGTTCAAAGGATTTGTAAATCCTCTTATAAGGAAATCTGAGGTAATTGCAGTCCATCTCACAATATAAGGGAAAGAAATGGAGTTTAACAGTATTGGTGACCTTATTGGACCACATTCATATGTATCTGATTTCTTTCTGATATCAATAAAATACAAATTATCTGATTTCGGATAAATAACTACATGAAAATCGTTAAATTTGGAAACAATCGTTGCTGCATTCCATGGGTTATTGATATTTTCGTTCCAAACGATTGTTGTATTATCATTTCCTATGTGTTTCTTCTTCTGAATCTGTTGAGAATCAGATTGATTCGTTGGCATCATCGTTGATACGTGGAACATGGTTTCTATCCTTTTATCGGAGAAATAAATGGAATTCTGGCCATTAATGCCTGTAAGAATATCAAGTTTTCCACAATATTTCTTGAAATCTTTTAATTGTACTTTTTCTCTGATTTTTAGGAGAAAATCTTGATACTCTTGGGATGTTTCGTTTTCTCCTAATGCAAGAATTTCACTTTGTTTCAATTTCCCTTTTTTGACAAAAATTATTCCGATTTTTGCTATCACTTTTTGAATGGTCTCAAAAAGTGCTCTCGTTTCACTACTCAGAGAACTGGAAGACTTCATGATTTCGTATTTGGAATGGGCGTAGTCATTAAATACGAAACATTCGTCTTGTTGCGGAATCATATTTTTTGGTATTTTTTCATCTATTGGCTGAATTTCGTCGGAAACTAGCTGCATCTCATTTAACTTTATATTTTGGAAGCTTGTTGAAGGAATATCAACCTCATCTTTGGTTTTCGGAGGCAATAAATTTTGAAATCCTTTGAAATTCATCATAAACTTGTTAAATTTGGAGAATGTCACTAATTCAAAGCTAGATGAGTGCGGAATCTTTGGTTTATTACCATTTTCTTTTGGGGTTTTATCCAAATAATTAATTTTATACGAAGAAGCTGTATTTGCTTTCTTTGTTGATGCTGTTAACGATCCATCTGAGTGAACTTCAGTCACAGAAAGCCTGTCATCGAAGATTTCATAGTTAGATTTTGATAAATTTGGAAATCCTGTTGATTTGAATGTAGTTAGACTGGCCAATATATAGTCAATCATGTTCTTTATCAACTGATTATTCCTACAATCTTTTGTTTCCTTCTCAAGAAGTCCAAATAAATCTGGATTTTTGTAAATTATGTCAGAACAAAGAGAAGCAATATAAATTGATTGTGGATGAGTTGGCAACTTATTTAAATTACCAATTAACCATAAAAGAGTCTTTTTCTGAAAATCCGGAAAAACATTTTCGATTTCTGTTCGATTTGAGAGCAAAATATGTAGATAAGTCCAATAAACAGTTGGACAACCATCGAATTGTTCGTATAATGTCTCATTTTTGACAAAATTTTTCAAATCATTGTCAAAAATACACAAAAAATGAGCTAAAATCTGTTCTTGGACTAAATGGTTTCGCTTGTTAACAGCACAGAAATCATTTAGATACGAAATCGGCAAATATTTGTCAGGATTTTTTGATGATGATAAAATTGAATACAAAGATATCATCAAAGAAGCAATTTTCACAGAATATAGCTCACTTACTGTTAATTCCTTAATACGATCAAGGCTATTCATTATTTCCGGTATCAAAATTGTAAATTTTGTGTCAATCAAAACCAAATTTGTCGAGAAATACAAAATTATATCAATTTCCGACGGTTTTGACACCAAATTTGTCTTCAAAACTGAATTAAACAACTCCCAATGGGAATCATTCAATCTTGAACCGATTTTAAACAAAGGAAACAGGAAATTGGGGTTTTGTTGTGTTTGTAACAACGGAATTATGTTTTCGTATATAAATTTTGGTTGATAATCAAATTCTATTGGAATATTATCCATTATTTCAACAATAGACAGCACGAATGCCTCCAAGAAGACCAAGTCATTATTATTCACTGTATTTTTGATGAAAATTTCAATATGTTTGAGATTAATTTCAGATTTTGAAGAAAATCTTGGAGCAGGAATGTAAAAAGGGCTTTGATAACCTGTCCATTGGAATGCTGTTGTCAAGAACATTGTTGGATCCGTCTTCATGACCTCCAATTTCTCAAGAAAAGTGGGAGATAATCTTTTATCTCTTGTTTTTTGGTTTGTTAAGTGATAACTCTTAGCAAAGTCAATCAAATCATCCAAATTAATTGATAACAAGTCCGGAAACATGTATAAAGCCAAGATTCATGCAAGAATTTTTTTTGTATCGAAATTTACGAATTTAGAATTACAAAACAACGAAATCAATGATTCAGACATCAGATTAGTTTCCAAAGCGCTACAAAACATCAACAATTGGATTTGACAAGACTTAGTTATCATCAATCTTTGAAAACAAAGTATAAATAACTCTTCTTTTTCCTTGTAATTAGTAAAGAACTGGTTACACAAACAATAAACAAGTACTACGCTTCTTAAACTTCTTTATATATCATATAAATTATTACAATAATGAGTAAAACGAATTAAAGTACATAAAAGTATTGTTACGTAATCAATTGATAATTTGTCAAACACGTTAATGATAAAAGTACTCACAGAACAGTCATAATTACAAACATAAGCGTATGGCCAGAAATGTTTGTGTCCTGGCTGATCAACGTATTCCTGGTTGCAACAAATAATGTCCGTGGTGAAGTAATATCGTAAAATGTAAAGTAATTTCCCTTGATCCATAATTTCACCGGAAACAGCAAGTCCTGTGAGTGTGGCTTTATTATCAGTAAGAAATGGTTTGTATGGATGATTGATTTTGATCAATTGTAATAAAAAATCTGAAATAATATCTGAAATTAATTTTTTGTAACTGTTTTTCAGATTTTTTGAATGCTTAACCGTTATCTTTTCACTGTAGTCTGTTTTGTAATCCAAATAATAGCAAAAAACGTTTTCAAAAGTAAATGTCCAATAAAAGCTCACAGAAACTGTATCTAATGATGGGAGTGCAGCAAAGATCTCTTTGATGTATTCTATTGTTATATCTAAGTCCAATTCGTTGTTAATTAAGAGATATTTTTGGAATAATAAAATTATTTCTTGATTTAAAGGAGAATTGGCAAGGATAGGTATAATTTTGCAATACTTAGCAAGATATGATTTCCTAATTGTCGAACTTTCAAGATCTGTAAAAAACGTCAAAAATTGTAAAATTTCTGCTCTTGTAGCGTCAGTTAGCTTGGATAATATGTCTGGATTTAATTTACTTGCAAGTATCTCTAGAATTTCATTCATTAACTCTTGTTTTTGAACGATAATATCAAAATTAGATTTATCTGAAAGTTTCTGGAAAATATTCGTAAATAAATTTACTTGGATAGAAGTATTGACCGTAGATATTGTATTCTTAAGCTCTGAAATTGAACGGGAAATGTGTTTTGTTACTTTCATCGGATTTTTCAAAAAATTTTGAAAATGTTGATACCGAATTCAGATGACTCAAATAAAATATATACAGTTTGATCGGCTGGATATCATGTAATATTAGGAATATAAAATGATAATAAAATGATCCGGTGAAAAGAACTGTGAGATTCAAATACAAAAGCTTGAACTGAAGTTCTAGGTGAAAGCAATGAGTTATGTTGAATATAATGAAGTGTGACAATTAGAAAAAGTAGTCCAAAAAAGAGGATTAAGAGATAAAAAAGTAAAATAGATCTGAAAGGTTGAAATTAAATATCTGAAACGATAACAAATTAATTTAGAGTATGGTCATCCTATATGTGTGTTGATGATTCAGAAAATATAGAGAACTTTTATAGGTATCATTACAAAATATAATAATAACATTTAAATGTGAAGGGACTTTAGCTCACCTGGGAGAGCGTGCGACTGAAGATCGCAAGGTACGTGGTTCAAGTCCGCGAAGTCCCAAAATTTTTTTCTTTTATTGAATTTTTTTTGTTTACATCCACTGAACAACATACTTCTAGATTCACTAACTGGAAGAATGCGATTTGTTTTTCGGATATGAAAAAATTGCAATATTATAATTATATAAATATATGCAAGGAAGTTTTAAATTAATTAGGTCATCTGGGCGAATGTGATCGAATAAAAAATAATGTCGAAATTATGAAATTATAATTTTTGGATGATGATTATGAGTGTGTTAGATTGTATATTTATGAAAATGACAAATTGAAAATAAATTTTATTTGAGAAAAATAAAAGTAGTAGAGGACAACAAGAAAAAGTGATGAAAAATAATCATTTTCAGAGGTTGATTTAATGAATTCAAACGATTATAATCGTATCGTTTTTTTCTCGGTCTAGAAATAAATAAAAATTTGGAATTTACTTATGTGTTTCAATAAGATAAGCATTTTGAGACCAAAAGAAAATAATTGATTAAGCATTCAATTAAAAAATTCTGGTGACCAATTTAGCAAATTAAAAGATATCTAGATTAATCGGGTTTTATCAATGCTTCACATTTCAGTCTCAATTTTTAAATTCAACTTTCAAAATGAATGTCATGAAAATTTTATCTTTATTCTTAATAAAAGTGTATAGGTAAAGGAAAAAACTGAATTTTAAAAATATGCTTTCAATTTGCAATTTTCAAAAGAAATTGTATTAGCAATTGAATATTGTTTCAACGTAATAGATTTTGACCAAGCAATGAGATTTTATTTCCAAACATTATTTATTAATATCTTTTTTATAAATGATGCTTCAAAATATTCAGATGTTGTTACTTTTGAAACATTTGAAATATGCTATAATCTCTCAAATGATTTACGCGCTTTCTTATAAAAATTGATTTAGTTACTATAATATTAAATATATTTTGTCAACAAAATACTGATTTTACGTTTTCAATTAGGATAATAATTTGATTTTTCCTTTCAAAACTCACTCTGAAAATCTTATTCATTTTTATCTTTTACTTTTATCCACTCTTTATGTTTTTCTTCTTGAGATTTTGTAGTTTAATATTCAAAATTTTATGTGACATTCAATTTTTATATTGCCCTCATTTCTAGTATGAGCTATAATCAACTTGTCCAAGACCTTATTGCCACCAGAAAGGTTAGAAAATTCAAGTCAGCGTCCCATCAGAATGCTAAAGACCATAATGAAATCATGAAGAGAGTTAATACAAATGGGGTGAAGATCGATCTTGTTATGGAAATCCTCAAAAATGTATATGGAGGACGTGTAACAGTAGAAGCATTGTTGAACTTTGCAAAAAGTCTTGCAATAAAGATTCATAAGAGATTGGATAGGCTTGCATTGAGAAATAGAAATGCATTGTTATGCTGGTATGCAGAAAACTGGACTCAGATATATCCCCACTTGGGTAGCTTTAATAGATTTATGGATAAAGGGAACTTATTGAATGAGAACTTGCCGATTAGAAATCAGGCAGAATCTTTCATTGATCCATCTGATATCCGTCAGTTATTGAATCATCACTGAATATACTTCTTCTAATGTTTATATATGTACAAACTTACCATTATTTATTCTATAATCAGTAATTTTTATTCATTTAATATTGGCATAGATTCCAATTCGGTATCATGACATGCTATCGATAACAATGGCAAAAAAATAAATGAAGAGGAAACTTAAAAAATCTATTTTTTTTCTCCATATGATGAATTAATCAAAACCATTAGAAATATCATAAATAACGAAAATATTATTAATATTTTCATGTATTGTTTTGGGAAAAATTGTGAAAATAAAAAGCATAGAATAATAGGAAAAATGGGATGAAATCCTGTTAAATGATCTATATACGATAGATGATCGTAATTATGAGATGTACGTGTTGGAGAACATAAATAAAATGGAACTGAATCAAAAAATAAACCGATTATTTTTGGAAACCTGGAAAGAAATAAATGAAATATAAATGCAATAATTTATTAATATATTATGATTAAATATGTTGCGTTGAAATAGAAAGAAAAAATAAGAACTCGATAAAATTATATAAATATTCAATATTTATAAAAAGATTGAATATCTATATGTGAGAATCGTAGATGATTAATAATTGAGATCCGATGAATATGATTCTGAGATAATAAAATTTCGATATATTTCAAAACTGAACTGTTTGTAAAATGGTTGAAACAAATGAAAGGTTGGAAGCTTGTTAGTGCGAATATAAATGCATAATTATTGAACTTTAATCATAAGAAGAATAAAAGTGAAAGGATATTTCAATAAATAATTGTAAAATATTCAAAAATCAAGATATTGAAAAAATGAAATCAACCGAAAATAACGTTTGAAAATATATCTATTCAAAAATAATGAAAATGCATAAGAATAATAAAATAAAAGCTTTTTAGTAAAAATGATTTTGAGCTATTTGATACAAGAGTATTGAAAATTTATACTAAATAGAAAATGCATAAATGATTTAATATAGATGGTTTGAATGTGATTCAATTTTAAATAGAATTTGATTTTTTGAATTCTAATTAAAATCTTTTGTACTTATGAATTATAAATTGGTTTTTCACTATATTAATTCAAAATTAAATTGTGAAGAAGAATTACAATACATAGAATTTATTGAATCTTTCAATACACCTTAGCGGAAGTTTTTATCAATCAAAATTCATATTTTAATAGCACATCCGACGCACATCAAATCATTACATCTTTATATTCGAAAAATTTTTTGATATTTGTGAGCAAAAATAATCAGATTGAATGGAAAACGATAAGATACGTCATAAGTTTATTTCTCGAATATTGAATTTAAATCAGGTGCAAAGAAATATTTATTGAATTGATCTTCATTACCTTTAGATTTTAATACATGAGCTTAAATTTTTAATTTGGGATCACATGCCATTTGTGGTTTTGTCACTTTTTCAAATTTTATTTTCAAAATTGAATTCTTATCAAAAAAAATAGATAAATACTTAACTTTACATAAAAATACCATAAATTTATATTATAAAAAGATGATTTCTTTCAAAATTTTGTTGGAATTTACATTGCTTTCAATATTTCTAATCAATATTTAAAATCAATTATTGATCAGCAGTGAATAATAACTATTATCCTATAAACTATTATATCTTTTTTATTATTTTTCATTTCAATATTTTATTGTAACTCATGTATAACATTATTTTTAATGAATTGTCATTAAATTTACTTAAATTATTTCATTTTTCATTTCAGCCTGCTTTCAAAAATCACGCATCGTTATTTTTTGATATCTAATCATTTATCTATTTGTGTGCTTTTTCACCAATTTTTAATTTCAATGATCATCAAAAACAAAAAAAAATTCAAACTCGAATATTCTGAATGAATGAAGAAGATCTCGTTCTTACCATTATGTCAACACGTAAAACAAGAAAATTCACGGTCGTTTCGTATCAAAATGTCAGAGATCATGACGAAATTATTCATAGAGTTAATATTAATGGAGTTAAAATTGATTTAGTTACAGAAATCCTAGAAGCCAAATTTGGAGGACGAGCAACGGTTGACTCCCTCCTAACACTTGCAAGACATATATCAAAGAAGATCAACATCAGAATCGATCGATTAGCAAATAGAAACAAGCAAGCGTTATTATGCTAGTTTGCAGAGAATTGGTCTCCAATTTATCCATATATCGAATCATATACGCCATATAAGTTTAATTCGCAGGAATCCAAGTTTTCTCACATCGAAAATCAGAAATTAGATGAAATAGATCCTTCTGATATTAACCAATTGCTGAACCAACACTAAATATACTATTTTTGATTTGTTGTTTGTAAACAAACCTTCTCTTTTTTGTGTATTAATGATTCCGCTTTTTCTTCTCAAAATTATTCAATATAATATTTAATAAATTAAAGATATTTTAACGTTGATAGAAACGATAAAATTATAAATATGATGAGAAATCTGTTTATACGATAAAGAAATTTGTGAACAAAGATGATTATTGGATAGAAGATGCTATAAAAGTATAGTATTATCAGAATAATGGTGGATTAGAATGTTTAAAAATTCAAATGATATTTTTAGATTTGAATGATCATCATTCAAAAATTCTAAGCATTCAAATATTTTCAATACATTCATTACGGACTAGAAATGCTATTTTAAAAAAAAGATATTGCATAGTATAAAAATAATTCTCATCATTCTGTTTTGTAAAAATATTAAATCGAAAATTATCTGCTGTTTTATTTGTTTATTATGTTTTATGAATAAAAAATTAAAAAATATTGATTTTGTAAAAAATAATGGAAATTGAAATGTAAGTTATTCGATATTTAACCATTAATACGAAATTTAATATGTCCTTGTAGAATATATATAATCTATACAAACAAATTATCGATTTATTATTACTAATGTGATTTTTTAATTTTAATATCAGCATTTTTCATTTAAAAAAATGCTTCATGGATAATACAATCCCGGTGCATTAAGTATCTTGATCACGATTGAACTTAAGTATATTTATTTGATAATATATAAAGTCAGACATATTATCAATAGCTAATTCCGTATTAACTTTGAAGTGTACAACCACATTTGTTAAATTAGCCACTATGCAAATTTCAAAAATTATTTTGAAATCTATAAATTATTCTTCAAAAATAACAATATTTACTATAAAATCTTAAAATTGAAAAAAATTTGGAAAAAATCAAATCTATACAACTAATCTATATTAGATGTTATCCCTTTATTACTTCACAAAACTTTAGAAATTCATTCCAATCTTTATAAAAACATTTTTCAAAAAATATTTTTGCTCACATATAATTGACATTCATAATTGATGTAATTTATATCAAAAGAATTAAAAATTATTTTACGATCAAAAAATCAAAAGTGACATTAATCATTATCTCTAATTTGGCTGGACAACGCCGATCAGTCAACAATTCCTATTTTCAAACACTAAAGTTTGGTTTCAGCTCCTTTTCTTGAATCAATATCAAACGAGTTTTGCATTTTCACAGATCATTATTTCAGTTACAAAACTTAATAGTTCAAAAGTTGTTTTCCCTATGCCAAACTCCACTACGACATGCCGCTGACATAGGAAATTCACTACAAAAAAAAGTTTTCGATTTCTCTCTCCAAACATCCTTTGCTTTTGACCTACTCTTTACTTACTGAATGATGATACCATTCAGTCAATATAAATAGTCTAGTATTAATTTTTCGATTTACCAACCTTTTATCGTTATCAGCTGGATAACTCTTCCCAAACCCATGCTTACTCATTAATTTAGTCAACCCATTGAAGACTTTTATGTTTTAGTACTTCCTTTTTTACATAATCCAAATTTATACTCTATACAAGCAATGAGTCATTTGCTTTACAGTAAAGAATAACTAAATGTTATAGTACTCTACTTTTTGCATCCAATTTCAATTTAATTTTTAGGAATTCTTTTATTTTTTAAAAACTAAACAGTATCTTATTGTAACTACTATTTTTAAGTGATTACCTAATGCTTTCACTATACTTTTTTTGTCAGATAATAAAAATAAAATTTATCTGTGCTTATTATTAAATAGCTGTAAAAGCAAAATTGTTTTATTTTTCATTCTCAATAGTCATGATGAGTTAAATCGTAAATTATGTAAAGGAAATAACCAAGTAAAACCAATCCAGCGATAGTAGGAATCCAGCCCAAACCAAAACAAAGCCAGCTTCTAAATCTATTTGATGACCAGTATACGCAGGTTAAAATAAAACCTAAGAATGGGATTATTGTACTAAAAATTGCCAGAACGAGCGTAATAGCAGAATCTGATCCATCACCATTCACGTTCGTTGAGGTTTTATCTGGTCCTTGTGGATTTAAACTCACCATCTTATCATCATTTTGATCCAACATTTTCTGATTAATCGTTAATAGTTCAATATTTCAGAATGAATTCAAAGTTCAAGGTATCGTGCATTTTTCAATTCAAATTTTGAGATTTAAGGTTAGTGATCCAATTATGAAAATGTTATATTCATGTGTAATTATTTCAGAAGTCATTTACTCTTTTTCTTATTCCCAAACTTGAAATAATCTGTTTTTGGCAAAACAATTCCGTGAAACATGTAATAAATATAATACACTTTTAAGAGCGTATTAACAGAAGCTTATTTGTTGAAAATAACAAATAATTCTCAGAATTCTAAACAGAATGATATTGACTTCATAACTTCAATCCCAGCTAAAATCTATGGGATGGCATTTTCAAGTCATTAGATTCTTGGAATGAGAAATAATTTCAAAGATTATTGAATTAAAACTCCATAATTTACATACAAACAAAACAACTAATATACACAAAAATTTAATTCCTTAAATTAGATTACTAATTTCGGATAATTTTTTGTTCATTAAAACAAGAAAATAAACATAAATACAGTAAATACATCATCCAAAATCACTAACTATTGATGCACCAAGATCAATTCTATTCTTAAGAGCGTTATTACTTCTATTAATTCTTCTGATGATGAAAAGAAGCAACACAGTAACCAAAAGCATTAAAGCTATCACGAAACCAAGAACAATGGCCGTAATTGCTCCTGCCGACATTTTATTTTTACAATAATTTCCAAATTGGCCATCATTTTTGATCAATTTTACCTTTTTGTCAGAGGAATTGTATTCTTGGCACTCTTGAAGCGCAAGTAATCTTGTTAAGTTATGATCTGAATCGACAATGACACAATAAGCCAAAGTTGTGTTTTTAGCATGGTTCATATTTTGTAGCATTATTCCCACGAAGTTACAGTAGTATTCAACATGAAATTCGGATTGGAAAAATTCAACTGATGACAAATTGAAATAATTAGAATAGGAATAAGTTGAATTATTTGTATCAATGACATGGGAACTAAATGCAAGAATAAATGAATTGGATAAATTTATACCAGTAATAAATTGACTTTTCATGGTATTTATAGAAAATATAGATGATACCAAATCAGTTAATTGAGATGCACATCTCGTAATCGTCGCACTTTCCATATCAAAATTATCAGATTTTTCAATGTTGAAAAGTTTGTAGTACAAACAGTTGGAAATACATATATCACTAATAGAAATGTTGATGTAGTCCGAATATTGTTCAGAACCAACAGGAACAAAAATCATAAAATATCCAAGTGACGCAATATTGTAAAACTTGCAGTTTTCGATCTCGAGTAATTTAATATTAGAGCAGCTAGCAGCAATAAGGTAAATATCAGTCGTTTCGGTGAATTCACAGTTTTTAATTAAAATATTATGGTAAAAACCTGGAAAAGTAAGAGGCTCTTCTTTATGTTCGTTAACATATGAATAGTTTTGCGGTACAAACTCATAATCATGGTAATTTATGATTGGATCAAGCGAAATTTCCGGATTTTCGTTAAATTCGAATCCGGCTAACTCAAAATTGGCGAAACAGTTTGAAATATACTTCGGCTGAGTGTATTCTGTAACTGTGCAGTTTATCATGATCGAATCAGAAATGTTTGTCACTTGAAATTTCGAAATTTTTGAATTCAAAAATTCGATTTTTGTAAAAAATCCATTTTGAGAAGAAAATTTATCGTATGAGCAATGATCTATATATGCATTATGGAGTGTGCTTTCGCTTAATAAAGCTGAATTAGTAAAATCTGATGACGAGATATTGAAATTTGAAGAAAAATGAGATTGTATTGTGAAAAATAATGAATAAGCGTTTGAATTATATGTACTCACCTGATTTATTGTTGCTGATGTTGCAATTATTGTATTCAGACTACCTGCTGTTTCAACAAACTTAAAATTATTTTTGGAAATGTTACAAGAAGATACAGTTAAGTGCATACATAGTGCATTTGTAGGAGTTAAGCTTTTCTGCGTAATGCTAGAATCTGCAAACATACAATTGAAAACTGAAACATTTGCAAAATGATTGTTGACATAAATGAATTCTTGAACAGATCTGTATGAAAGCGAAGACAAACGGCTAAATACACAATGTTTAATTAAAATTTCAGTGTCTGTTGTTCTGATACTTGACACAAAAATCAAATCTTTCAATAGCATTGAATTGTCACTTTTACGATCAGATATTTCATTTCATATAAAATGATAGACATGCATAAACAAGTAAAAATAATTTCCTATTATAAAAAGTGACAATAAGTATGATAAAATTTTGAAATACACTAAATCGAGGATAACATTAATCATTGATTGAATTTGCATTAACATTGAATTATTTTTGAATGTATTTTTGCCCATAATAACGAGATCAAAACAAACAAAACAAAGCAAATGCTATTATTTCAGCAAAGATGGAGTTTAAAGTACACTATTCAATGATTTTCAAAGTCAATTAATAATGAAATCAAATATATTTAAAGTAATAATGCAATTGCTTTTTGTTTACATTTGTAATAAGTTTGTTATATTTATTCAACATAAATTGAAAAATTATTTTCTTTTTCTTTTTATTATATATTTGATGGAAAAATACCTTTTAACATGTAGTGTAAAATCATCACATCATGAAAAATTTAAAATATGATTCGGAAATTAATGATTTATTTTACAAAATCATTGTTTTTTTGATTTAATTCATTGATTTGCATTGAGATATGATAATAAAGATGTAGTGTATTAAAATTAGGAACCATTTCTTCATAATTATTCAAAACGAATACGTTGAAGTGAAAATTCAATGAGCTTTATTTGAATTTACTGATTGTTCTCAAACTAAAATGGCTAAACTCCAAATGGTCTTACGTAGAATCATCTAATAATATTTTCCATAGTTGATTTTTTTATGTTTAAAATTCAATTTTTTAAATCATTCGAATGACAAATATAATACAAGGCCATTCTGATCAATTGTTATAAAAGGTCCGTAACATCACAAAAGCTAGTATACAGAAAATTTCAATGCGCCTTAAAATATTACTTTTAAATAATTGAAAAGATAAAATCAATTGAAAATCATCTAAACACTGCTTCCAAATATTGCTTCTAATCAAAAATAAACCTCCTTACATTTCTTATTTGATTTCGACCTAATTGATTGAGTTTTCCTATTTTCCATACTGTAAATAATACAAATATACAATTTATATAACTTGATAAAAAATGCGCGTGGGTATACAAAATATATACTTCCTTTCAAAATTTTGAATAGTACACAAAACTTGACCCAGAATGTATTGAAAAATTTTAATGCTCAAACAAATTTATCTTGCATAATCTAATTTATGGGGGAAAAAAGATTCATTTCCAAGAATAGGACTATCTCATTCAAGACAGACACTTTTATAATGGAACTCGACAACAATTGCATTTATTTTCCACAATTTTTCAAAATGATGCAAAAATATGATTATTATCAGTTTTCATTCTTACATTCTCATTAAACATATTTACTCATTATTAAAAATCCATTTACAGTTAAAATCGAATTATATTTATATTATTTTTCGAGCAAGTAACAAAATCGACACAATTATTCTTTAATTCTCAGATCAGTTAATATAATTATGTTATCAATGAAACAAAAATAATTTATTCACAAAAAATTTAAATTTTTTTCTTTCAATTCAAAATGTTTCGAACATGAATCAGATTTTAATTACCTTCAATAATAAAACAAACATCAAAGCGAATCCATTTGAATCAGAGATGATTTTTTTTGATTTTTTCATACAAATATTTTTCTGCCTTGATTCTATATTTCTTATTAAATATAAATAAATTTACAATATCTTCAAGTTCGAATAGTATCCCAACAAAAATTGATCAATATTTTTTCTATTTTAGTTCATATTAAAACAACATATAATCATGATATCAATTCATATTCATGCTCGCATTGAATTTTTTTTCATGTTTTCAGGCTCGTCTTTTAATTCTTTAAAAGTTCAATGCTATATATCGATCTATCATAATACATATCCTATATGAACATTTCCTGCTATGGGATACATAATCGTTGTATTATCATACCTTTCTAGTTTAATTAAATTGTCGTTTAGCCCAGATTCTTAATTTTTTAAAAATTATAATTGTAATATCAACATAATGTCCGAATTTAATATCTGAAATACATTTTTCTTCCCAAAACTCATGAGATTTACTATTGTGAATTCAATCTTTGTGTGTCAAAACTCCAACAACCGTTAATTTTCATACAAAATTTGAATGAACCTATTAATACACTCCGAATTTTTTTTTATTCTCCAGAAAATTAATGGCTGATGATCGCAATTGGGTTGGCATCAAACGACGCCGGCTTTTCAGCCCGCAAGATGACAGACGTTTAGAACAGATTATTCGCGAGGGCAACTTCCAAGGATGGAAGAATGTGGCATTGGCTATGCCAGGCTTTACCGCCAAGCAGCTTCGCGATCGATGGCATAATTATCTCTCACCCAGAAATTCTTTAGCTCCATGGAGTCTCGCCGAAGATATTATTATTGTGCATAAAATCAAGGAAATTGGAACAAAATGGTCTCAAATTTCGACATACCTTAGGGGTCGCTCAAGCAACTGCATTAAAAATAGGTGGAATTCGGTTTTAAAAGAAGATAGTACCCTCAATCCATCAAAATATTTACTGGAAAGTCAACAAAAAGAGGAAGAAACTCCACCAGAACCACAAGAAATGGGCGATGATCCACCTAAACAGATTCAGGAACAGCCAGTTAAAAATGGTTTTACTCTAGATCAACGATTTATCGACAGATTCTTTGATAATCCTCCCAACAAGTCAAAGTAACCAATCTCATTCTATATCTCATATTTATTTTATAATTTTCATCTTTTTGTTTTTAATATATTCTGTTTGTAATGCTTTAATCTAACAATGTTATATTTGTTTATTTAGTAAATATGTTTTCTATGCTTTTCCCATATTAATACTTCTTTTTCATGAACATCTATTCCAAAAAATTATCATTTATTCTTTTATAATTGACACACCATAGGATATGAGGCAAAAGCCTTTATATTGTAATATAACCTAAAGGTTTGAACATTTGGTTTTATTTAAAAGCCTCAGACATTTTGAGATAAGGATATCATTTTTTCATGGGCTTTAATTAGACCATCGTAAGAAAATATCAATATATTTTTGCAAACTATGATAATCTCTGACTTTTGGATGCTAATACAAGTTACATATAAATATGAAGAATTAATTATTCGAATCTTTCTTATTTTATTATTCAAGTCTCATTCATTTACGGTCTTATGTAGATATTCCGCTAATTTTACAAAAATTATTGACATTGACATTAAATAATTATTTATTAAACTATTATCCAATTAAGTATCATTATTTTCATATAAAAATATAATCATATCAATTTAATGTATATAATACTATTCATTTAGGAGGTCTTAAGACATTAGGATTGAAATATTAACAGGGAAATTTAAATGGTGGAATAAAAATACATTTAATTAGCAAATGACAATGCAAAACTGGTTAATATCTGACATATTCCTAAATGAATAAACTACAATAAGTATAATATCCGTTTTTCCCTAAATTATCAAATGAATTTACAAAATATCATAGCAATTGATTGACCGTAAGGTTCCATATATAATTTTAAGGCCTAAGGAAAAGCTAATACTACACACATCTTTATCAGATTTCAAATTTTTAATATTGATAATTATCTTTTTTTTTTCAGCTTCTATCGGCGTGCGAAAAAATATTTTTTAGTCTTATATATACATGTAGAGCACATCCTATCTAAATTTCATAATTCCGTGACTCAATTCAATTTTTTAAAAAAGGAAATTAAATTTAAAATAAACCATGTTTAAATTAACAAAACATACAAAATAAACTAACACTAAAATTTTGTTATTTTTTCCGTGTAAACTTAACAATTATATTCAAAAATTGAATATAAAATATCAAATGTAAACTATAGAATTCTTAAAAAAAGTTATGGTTCAACTAAATAAGTGAACATCTTTCCTCCTTTGACGTCAATTTCACCTCTTTCCTTTATATCGAACTGTTGACCGTAAATTAGTTCGTAGACAGGTCTAGAGATGTGCACTTTCATAGGAACACCATGATGTTCCATTTCGTGAGCGATATTAATTGCAGGTCCAAGTATTTCGAATGTTGGTTTCTCTGTTCCAATGACACCAGCAACGATCGGACCTCCTGTATTGATTCCTACTCTTATTCTCAATGATTCATTTTCATTTTCATCGATTTCCAAAATTTTCTTGATAACTTGAGTACCGAATTCAACAACTTCTCTTGCGTGAACAGCTGGTTGATTTACTTCATCAAATATACCACCAGCAGCCATGTAACAGTCACCGATGCATTTAATTTTTGTCATTGTTTTATGACTATTTGTAATTGCATCGAATTCTTTGAACAAAATATTCAACATTCTCATGACATAATGACAATCATGAGAAGAACACCATGGAGTAAATTCAACAATATCTAAGAATAACACCGTGACACTCTGAACACTGAATGATATATTCTTTTCGCCACTTTGTACTCTTTGTACCAAAATTGGTGGCAAAATCGAATTCAACATTGCATCAGATTTCTTCTTTTCATCTTCAATCAATTTTTCATGCATAACATTCATTGTTTGGTTCGTTCCGAAATAAATTCTCTTTCCGCATGCTGTTGTCGTATTGAAATACAAATAAACTAATTCATTGTCACTTTTTGTGTAAATTAAATTGGCATCTTGTGAAAAAACTTTTTCTAAATCTTCACCTTTGAATCTTTCTTCTGTGAAGAATTCATGGATGTTTTTACCTTCCATTTGGTTCTTCTTCATGGAAAACATTGTCTCGAAAGCTGCATTGACTTGAACAATCTTTCCTGTCTCTTCTTCACATACAACAATAACTGTGTCAATTTTGTTGCAAACTTCATTTGAAAAAGTGACATGTTTTGAATGATTTTCTTCATTAGAATTATTGTATTTTCCTGATAACAAGTCCATTACTCTTTGATTACCAATGATGGAAGAAGGTGGACATCTAAGGAATAATCTCAATGTAAATAATAATACTTTCTCTTCATTCTTGGCGAAAACAACAATAATCAATGAAAAAAGAAAAGTTAAAATCAAAAATGTGACAGCAAAATTAACTTGTTTTGATTCTTCCTTTTCAATTTCATCTCTTATCATAGGAAGAATTTGGTTACCTGCCTTTGCGAAGAAAGACTGGTAGAGTTCAACAGGACCTATTTGGAACAACTGCTGCAAGGAGATATCCCTGGGATCAGGATAAATCGGAGGATCACTTGTCATTTGTGCGAAATATTTTTTGATCAATGATGTGCTGATGTATAATTGCTGTCCAGCAGTCATGCAATGGACGGATTCCATGACAGTCTTAGGAGGAGCAATATCGTCTTTGCATTTAAGAAGATTGGAAGCTGTGTTCATGGCTTGTTCCATCTGTGGGAATGGTTTTTCTGCATTTCCGGGTCCTCCAATTCTAATTAGTTGGAAATAACTAACAAGTAAAGGAGTTGTTTCATTGATGAGCTCTATTTCATGATCGATACTCACAATGGATGGTGCCAATCTCCTGGAAGCTGTTGCAAGACCAACTTTGAATAATCTTGCAATAATTGCGAATAAATATACAACAGCACCATAAAGATAGTTGATATGGTGGCTGTTGAATACTAAATTCTTGGAGGATTGCATGAAACAGTTGATAGAAGTGTAATATCCTAAGCAACTCAAAATTACAATGAAAATTATGCAGAACAATATGGAAACTTCGATGGAGGACTTAGAGGAACCATCGGAGATGGAACTGAACAACTTAATGATCGATTCTTCCTGACGATTTAGTTCTGAATCTGAATCAGAACCTTCTTTTCCATCTTTCGTCTTGGAAAGAGAAGCAGAGATTCCACTGATGACAGTCTTTGGTAATGTAGTCAATGTATGTAAGATTTCATATCTGTTCTGGCGAATCTTTCTGACTTGTGATATGAAAATTAGTGGATAAACGATCACATTCAAAATTACCAAAACGATAAGTAAAATTTTGAAAATTTTTTGGTATTTTCTGTTTTCGGATTTCAAATATTCGAGCATTTCATCCAAAGCACTGTTCATTGCCTCTGTAGCAGCATTATTGTTATTTCTAGATGTCAAAGAGTCTGGTCCGTTGACAACTTCTATTGTCATTTCTTCAAATTCAAGTAATTTTCCGACATGTGTTGCCAACATGAAAGAAACCTCTGATACAGTTGTTAGTGTATCAAGAGAGTACGTGTTATTCAAGTAGTACGAGAATTTTACAGAGTTAGAAAACAGTAATTTCCTTACTTTGTCCAAATATTGGTTTCCTCGCTTGAAAGAACGTACGCTTGACATGAGTTCGTTAGAGTAAGATACGTGGGATACTATGTAAGTGATAATATCCCTTGTATCCCTTGTGTCGCCGAATTAGTCCATTGGGAAATTTTGTTGTAACTGTAATCTTCCCATAAATGTCTCTCCTGGGTTCCTTGGATCTTCCAACTCTTGGAAAACAAGGCGCCCGACAAAGCAGTTGAGCATAGCAATGTTATTACGTGTGAGAGCAATGCCTTTCATGAATTCTGTCGGTTGAGAAATTATTTCTGAGAAATAATTGAAGTAAATGATCAAAGCAACGAGAGGAATGAAGATAAGTAATATGTATGCTAAGAATGTGGATGTAATCATGAACGAAATCGCTGGAATCTTGTGCTTATTGATCTGATTTGTAATTTGTTCGACAGATTCGTAGTTTATGTTATCATCTGACATCACAGTAACATTGTCTTCGATTGGTGTCTCTGTTTCGATGACTAATTTTGTGGAATTCTCCATATCAATGGCAAATTCTGGAAGATTAGGGAAAGCTTTGATTCCAAGCTCATGAACTGTATCTTCTTGTAATCTGTAGCCTCTGGCGATCTTGACCATTGATTCTGTGGCTTGCTTTCCTAATAATGGATCTCCTAAAATTTCTGTAACGAATAAAACGTATTGGCGAGATACGAAACGATTATTAGGATATTGCATTAAGAGGAAATTCATCTCTCTTTGGCATTCTGAGACTGATTCTTTAGTTCTTTTGATGGCAATGTTCATTTCTGCAATGTTGCCTTGCAATGTGAGGTCCCAGATGTTTCTAAGTCTGTTCTTTGTCTTGTTGAACATCTTTGAAAGCTTAGAAATCTTATATTTCAACTGTGGAGTGAATTTTGTTTCTCTTGTCTTTGTAATCTGTCCGATACTGCTTAAAACAATGGAAACTTCAGCTGTTCTGAGGTTCATTGCGTTGATATTCATGGCTATGAACTCTAATTGTGTAATTCTCTCTGGATAAATAGCTGTGAACTTTGCATACATAGCCCAAATGTCAACACAGTCCTTCCATTGTTCAACAGCAAGCTTGAAGATGAGTAATGAGCAGCACATTGGGTGATTATACATGAATCCAATGGAAATCATTTCCTTGAGGTAGTTCTTCTTTCTAATAATGGTAATATCCTGTGTATCATTGATTTCGTCCAGTAAACAAAGTGCTTTGTGATCTCTTCTTCTTAACCAAAAGTGGGTCGATACGAAAACGATAATTCCGACGATTATTACGCCCACAAAAAATGGCGGTCCCCACGGTCTTCTTTCAATGCAAGGATAAACATTTGCCAAGCAAAGACAGATACCGAGGATTGAACCGCCAAGTACCATGACCTGGTGCTGATGCTTGATGAATGTGCCACATCTGAAAACTGTTGTTGCGCTGTAAACAAAGAAGAAAATGCTTAAAATGATCATTGCGCAACTTGGATATCTTGTTAAGTATGTTGTGAGTGAAGAAACGAAAGTAACGCAAATGGTAGTAATGTAAAGTTTGTTCTGTGGACTTCCTTCTATTGATTGGAATGAGCATGGTCTGAAAACTAATGAACTTGAGTAAGCTCTGATGATAATCCAAAGGTAGCTAAAGAACTCTGTATTCTTTCAATGCAATAATCTTAAAAACGTCACATTTTTAGGGGCAATAGATTTCATTGGTCCATTTATGTTTATTTCTTGCAACAATCTTGAACTCATTATTTTCCCTAATTCACCAATGATAATCAATACAATTTCATTTATTACAAACAATAATCCAAAGGCCAACATGTCATTCACTCACAAAACATTATTTTCTCAAATTGCTATCACAAGGGCATCAAATATTACAGTTTCATATTTAAATGAACCAAATCTCGTTATTACAACAAATTCGTTAGTAATGGATTATGACCAAACAACAATTTATGAATTTTGGGGATACAACTACTTACAAATTACAATTCCTAACACAGTTACAAAAATATGTTCAAAAGTATTTGAAAATTCAACAGTTCAGATAATACAATTTGAAGAAAATTCACATCTTTCTGTCATTGGTAATTCTGCATTTAGAAATTGTTCAAACTTAAAATTAATTAACTTTTCTTCTAACACTGTAATCACAATTATGGGTAATGTATTCGAAGATTGCCTTAAATTGGAGAATATAAGTAATTTAAATAATATTTTTGATTATTGTTTTCATGGATGTATTAAATTAAAAAATGCTGACATTCGAGAAGGATCAGAAAAGATTGGAGTTGGATCATTTGATAGTTGTTTTTCATTAGAAAGTATTAATATCCCATCAACGGTTAAAATCATCTCCGATTATGCATTCAATCACTGTAACAAACTCAAATCAATCATCTTCACAGAAACTAACTCGTTAGAGAAAATATCAATCAATTCAATTTCTAATTGTGAAAGTCTTTCTAACATCAGTAGTTTTTCATCAAATCAATACAAATGCGAATCTAATACTCTTTACAACAAAAGAAATTCAAAATATTATCTCATTCATCATCTTTGTAAATCTCATGACCGAGTTTTAATTCTTAACTGTGATGTTATCTGTAGTTATTCATTCAATCAAAGCATTCACATCGAAAATGTCAGTATCATATCTAATAGTGTTTCATTGATTGAAACTAATTCATTCAACAACTGCAACAATCTCAAATACATCAACTTCCCTTTTTGTGTTGAAATTGTTGAACCATTTTCATTCAATAAATGCCATTCTATTAGTTGTCCTCTTATTATTGAAAACACATCCATTGATTATCTGAAAACGATTAATCATACAAATAATCAAAGTACACAATAAAAAAACAAAATTCCAAAAATTTCTCAAATTTCTCAAATTTTTTTTGTCATTCTTTTGATGATTTCACTCGTAAAAAGTGTTTCGGATATTTCGGATTAGATTAATGCTTTATATTGATTCTCATACTTACTATTATTTACAAAGATATTGATCAAAGTTGTTATTCAGATGATGGCAAGACATTAATTCATGTAGATGATTCATCACCGAATCTTCGAATATCAGCCAAATGCGAAATAATATAGGGTGTCCAAAGGTGCGTTTAGCACAGCGCTCTATATGAGACTATTAAAGGAGATATATGCTGATTATAAATATATAATAAAAAATATGAATATATGTATATGATGAGTATGTTGTATTTTGGCGCCATGCCGGGATGTAAAATGAATTTTGAGACAAGAGGCGGTTTTGCGGGAAATTTTGGCGGGATTTTTTTCATTTTTTTAATGAATCATAAAGAAAACATCCTCGCTCTTGCAAAAAAATGCAAAGACTGTAAAAAAATCTACGAGACATTGGTAAAATGCTTCGGTATGGATGCTCCTAGCTATTCCACTGTAACGTATCATGTTAGGATGTATCACTTCATGAACAAAAAGGCGCCCATCATAAAAATTGACAAAAAATCGCCGGATCAAAGAAAAATCAAAGCAATTCTTCAAGCGCTAGATGAAGACCCAAGAGCATCACTCAGAAGGATAGAGGAGATGACAAAGATACCACGTACAACAGTCAGTTATTATCTGCACAATTATTTGAACTACAAACTAGCGTATACACGTTGGGTTCCGCACAACCTTAATTCAGTTCAAAAAAAATCTAGAGTCCAATCTTCGAAAGAGCTCCTCTCTATATTGGGTGCGTATCAATCCAAGAAGTTTCGCTTTTTAGTAACAGGGGACGAGTCTTGGTTTCAATATACAACAGAAGCCAAAATCATGTGGATCCCGAAGGATGAAAATCCGCAAACATTCCCGAAGAAAAAAATTGACACACCAATGATGATGTTGTCGGTTTTTTGGGGCGTGAATGGCATCATCGCAATTGATATTCTTCAAAAACCTAATACGATGAATGCTCAGTATCTAATTGACAATGTTCTTACTCAAATTATCAATTCTGATGAGTTTGAGAAATCCAAACAACAAAAACAAAAGTTTGCAATTCATTTTGATAATTCAAGAGTTCACAAAAGTCATAAGGTAATGAATTACTTGGTGGAAAACAATGTCAAAGTTGTTCCAAACCCAATTTATTCACCTGATATTGCACCCCCTGACTTTTATTTATTCGGCACGCTAAAAAAGAGAGCTGAAGGACGCGAATTCGCGAGTCCAGATGATCTTGAAAATTTTGTAAGAGAGCAATTTGAGCAATTTTCTCATGATGATTTAAAGCGTGTCTTTCAAGCCTGGATCGATCGCTGCGAACGCGTGATTGAATCCAATGGTGATTATATTTAAATAAACTTTATATATATGTAACTTGTTTATTTCTATTCGCAGTATTCAGGTTTGTGCTAAACACACCTTTGGACACCCTATACAAGACAGATGCTTTAATAAACTACAATCTTTAGTTTCATTTACATTTGAAGATAACCCTAACTTAACAACAATCGGAATAAATAGTTTTTACTATTGCAACAAACTTACAAGTATTAATCTCTCATCATGTAACAAATTGACAAAAATTTCTGAAGATGCCTTTTCTAATTGCATGCGAGTTACTGAAATCCTTTTACCGAAAGGACTTGTTGAAATACAAAACGAAGCATTTCATCTAATAGTCAAATAACAAATATTACAATTCCATCATCTGTAGAAAAAATAGGAAGATATGCATTTTTCAGTTGCGATAATCTCGAAAAAGTTATTTTTGAACCAGGATCAAAATTGGGATCACTAGAAAATTCAATAATTGGTGGGACTAAGATTTCTTCTTTTGAAATACCAGAAAATGTTTCAAAAGTTCATGGTTATATGTCAAATACTAACATATTAACAACATTAACAATTCATCCTAAAAATAAATACTTAAGGATTGAAAATAACATGATTTATTCATCAAACTTTAGTATCTTATTTTATGTTTTTAACAGAACACTCAGTGATTATACAATTCATAACACAGTCACAATCATTGGCGATTATTGTTTTCACGGCTCTGAAGCAACAACATTCAATCTTCCGAACTCTGTCACAATTCTTGGACAATGCAGCTTTTATAATTCTAAAGTGACTTAAATTAATGTTCCAAATTCACTCACAACTATTGGAGATAATTGTTTTTACCAAACAAAAATAAGTGTTTTCTCTTTTCCAAATTCACTCATAACAATTGGTGATTATGGTTTTGAAAACACATATTTGAAAACATTAATTATACCATCAAGTGTGAAAAGTATTGGACACAAAGCTTTCTATAGGTGTTATAGTCTTATCAATGTCACATTTTAGGAGCTTTAGATTTCATCGGTGATAGAATCTTTTCAGATTGTTCAAATTTTGAACTTATCATTTTCCCTAATTCACCAATGATTGTTGATGCATCATATTTCATTACAAATTGCACAATTTTCGTATACCCAAATGGTTTTGTACGATATGTATATACAAAAGCTAAAATGTCATTTACACACAAAACATTATTTTCTCAATATGCCATCAAAAGAACATCAAATATTACAGTTTCATATCTAAATAAACCGAATCTTGTTATTACAACAAATTCATTAATTATGGATTATGAACAAACAACAATATACGAATTTTGGGGATACAACTATTCCCAAATAACAGTTCCTAATACAGTTACAAAAATCAGTTCAAAAGCATTTGAAAATTCAACAATTCAGGAAGTCGAATTTGAAGAAAATTCACATCTTTCTGTTATTGGAGATTCAGCATTTAAAAATTGTTCAAATATAGAATCAATTCATTTTGATCCTACCATTGTAATCACAATTATGAATAATGCATTCGAAGATTGCATTAAATTGGAGAGTGTTAGAAACATAAATAACATTCCTGATTACTGTTTTCGTGGATGCTTTAATTTAAAAAATGTTGATCTTCGAGAGGGATCAGAGAAGATTGGAGTTCAATCATTTGATAATTGCTTTTCATTAGAAAGTATTAATATCCCATCAACGGTTAAAATCATCTCCGATTATGCATTCAATCACTGTAACAAACTCAAATCAATCATCTTCACAGAAACTAACTCGTTAGAGAAAATATCAATCAATTCAATTTCTAATTGTGAAAGTCTTTCTAACATCAGTAGTTTTTCATCAAATCAATACAAATGCGAATCTAATACTCTTTACAACAAAAGAAATTCAAAATATTATCTCATTCATCATCTTTGTAAATCTCATGACCGAGTTTTAATTCTTAACTGTGATGTTATCTGTAGTTATTCATTCAATCAAAGCATTCACATCGAAAATGTCAGTATCATATCTAATAGTGTTTCATTGATTGAAACTAATTCATTCAACAACTGCAACAATCTCAAATACATCAACTTCCCTTTTTGTGTTGAAATTGTTGAACCATTTTTATTCAATAAATGCCATTCTATTAGTTGTCCTCTTATTATTGAAAACACATCCATTGATTATCTGAAAATGATTAATCAATCAGGAATTCCTATAAGACTTATGATTAAATGTAAGGTCGTTCAAGGATCTAACATCCTACAAAACATTAGAAAATTATATAATAGCTCAGCAAAAATTTTCTTTCGACATCTTTGTAAATAAATCATATTATTTTATATATATAAGGGAAAAATATGTTTATTCATTAGCATTTCATAAAATATTCAAGCTTAATGAAAACTTTTACCGCTTTTTTTTGTGGCTCCACATGCACAAATTATGTGGGCTATAAAATTTCTTGACAAAAGTTAGTACTTTGACTTTATTTAATAAAAATATATTACCTATAAGCATCTGCCTAATTGAGTTTCTTCTTAAGCTCATCAGATATAAAGATTTAGACTCCAAAAACTCCTAAAAATTGAATGACCTTCGAGCCTCACGAAATTAAAAAAATACGTTGTGAACAATGGCATGATTATTATTATGAATATCTTAGAAAATATGCTACAATTGATTAGTTAAGTGTAAATGAAGTTAAGAGTTATGATTAGAGGAAAAATTATTTATGTGATAAATAACAAGAATAAGGTATATAAAAAGTTATGGAGTGGGTATAAGGTAGATTGTGAAGGCAAAGAATCAAAATAGAAGAGTCTAGAAAAGAAGAAGAAAAAACAAAAAAAATTAAATGCTTTCGGTGAGGCTCGAACTCGCGACCTTAGGATTATGAGACCTACGCTCTACCTACTGAGCTACGAAAGCATTACATCTTTTCAAAATATTTTAATATCATGACTAATTTTTGCAGTTTTTGATGAAGAAAAATTTTTGAACCCATTTTATTTAGAAAGAAATCTGCTTGATCTTTCATCCAATGGATTTCTTAAAGGAAAGTCTTTCTGGACATTCCTATCATTTCCAACAATATTTCACGACCCACTTTCTTTTACTTACCATCTCAACGGAATTCAATTTACTAACATTGCCAGCAAGGGTGCAATTAGTCTCAAAGATGAAAATTCCATATTAATACTCGAACATGCAACATTTAATTCGATTACTTCCTCTTCAAAAGGTGGCTGCATATTTTTTGAACCCGGCCACTCAATATATCAGAAAGATATATGCGCAAATAATGTCTACTCCAGTATCAAAGGCATATACGCCTATATAAACATTTCAAAAACATCCGAAAACTATAATTTTATTTCGATGATTTCGTTAATTGATTGTTATAAAAGTCCTACTCGGGCAGACATCATCTGGCTCGGAGGCGGTCAGACCTCAGTTTCATATTACAACTCAACTAATAACCAAGTTCTTTATTCGATTGGATGTTACATGGGAAATTCAGTTGGAACAGCTGAAACTTCTTTTTTAAATGTCGTATCAGGTACTGCTACAGAAAGTGCTGTAATATTTTCTGATTCAGCTTGCATTATTCGATATTCAAATTTTTATAATGATAAAGTTTTAAATCCTATATTTTATTTTATGAATTTGAATGATGTTCATTCTTCTGTTGACCATTGTGTCTTTTCGGGAAACTCCGCTGAAACATTTTTGATTCAAGAACTCTCTGTAACTGATTGTTCTTTTAATCAAAATACATTTGCTGCTATTGCCCCTAATTTGCCTTTTACAGGTTCTTATAGTTTTATTGTTAATACACAATGTCATATTGGAGGTTACAATGATTGTCATATCATTGCTTCTTGCATGTCTCGTTGTTTCTTCTCTAATTCATTTTTGCTTTTATACTTTATCCTTTTGGCTTAGATTTATACTTTATCCTTTTGGTATTGATGATTTGATAGCACTTTCTGACATTTTCTCAATTTTTTGACACTTTTTAGCCTGTAAAATAAATTTCACAATAAAATAAACCATTTTTTTGTCTGTTCGATTTAAATTTTCATATGGACATCTTATGCAAAGTCATAATATTATATTAGCTCTGAAAAATATCCGAAATTTGTGGCTCTTTTGTTAAGGGAGGCTTCCGACCAGAAAGCTCTCTCAATTTTTTGTGATGTTTACACCAAAAGTGAGATTCGTTAAGCGTTTTTCTCGTTGAATATTGAGTTTCCCGTATTTTGAGTTATTCATAAAGCTCCTCTATATTATACCCTATCTACTGATATGATTATTTTTGAAAAATCTCTTAAATCGACCTGCACTGAATTTTTTAGGGAAAATTCGAAATTTTCTAGGCGTTTTCTGTAACGTTTTTTTACGGAATAAAATCCGAAAAATAATTTTTTGAAGAATCATTTGGGTAGAATACTTATCGAAAATTATATTTATTATAATTTTGGTCGATAAAAATAAGCGGATTCAAAACTGGCAAAAACCCTTTCGGCAATTTGTGGACGATTCCGAACCCCCTCATTTTTGAAATTTAATAAGAAAAATAGAATCTTTATTAAATATAGATTTTAAAAAACTTGGTTATAATTTACGAAATTTTCTCACTTGGGCTAAAAAGTGACAATTTGGTCGGAAGCCGCCCTTAAAAAATTGAGAACGTTAAAAAGATGGAAGGTAACCAGAAAATCTTTATTTTAATAGCAAAAATTATAGCAGCCATAATAATTAGTATATAGAGATACATGATAACTTTTGTTGGTTCAGAAGTTTTTACTTTTTCTCGTAGAATACATGAATATGAAGTATTGGATGTCAGAAAACAGTAAGAACATCATTAAATAAAGTTAAAAATATTAGACTGATATGTTTATTTATATATTGAAAGTAATTTTGCCTCTTGCTTTAAGAGCAAGGAATATGCATATTATTGTTGTTATTGTGGGAACAATAATAAATGGGAAGTTTGTTATAGCAAAAACAAATCTTGTGGCATGTACAATACTTGTTAAAGTAATATAAAGACAAACAACGCCTGATATCAAATAGAAAATTACATCTACAAGATACCAAGCAGAGAATTTCTTGAACTGAATCATCACGGATAAAACAAAAATCAGAGGAGATGTTACTGCTAAAGTATGCAACATATTTAGTAAATATGCGTATTGGGTTGGTCTTCGTTCACCATCAACAATACTTCCGTATATAGAAATGATTCCATAGTGTCCTCCAATTTCTTGGATTGCTGTTGGTATAAAGTAAGGCGAGAACAGAAAGTTGAAAAGAACAAGCATAATCTATTGACTTCTCCTAAGTAATTGCCATCTGGTCAGTAGGAAACCCTGGGAAATATAAAACAAATGATCTAGAATACGATAATCTTTGTTTCTGTTATAGAGATAATACAGGGATTTGTTAGCATAATTCTGCAGGGATCCGAAATGCTTTTCAACATTGACTGGGAATGTTATGATGAAAAGAATTATGTAAATGAATATCAGAACATACAATGGGTATTTGTAAATTTCGTGCTCATCTCCAATGACCTCATAATAAGAAGGCATTTCATCTCCAACGAAAATTTCATATGAATATGATTCATTCGATTTGCTAAAGTTAAGTGTTGAGAATCCATTCTCAAACCTCATTTCTCTATGATAAAGAGAAACACCTTCTTTTATATGTCTCTGAAATGAAAGAGGTTTTCCATTGCATGTTATTGTTTCGTTCTCACTATCTGAGAATACTAAACATCTGACATCAATATCATTTTTGTTAAACATTGTGTTCATTGATAGTTGTTTGGCATCTATTGGATAAGTAACAACGAATGTAGGTCTTTCATATATTGAATATTGGTGATAAAAGAAGTTTCTGTTATCGTTTGTCAAAATACCAATATGATGATTATCTCTGATATCACTACATATTATTTCTAGTGACATATCATGATGCTGAGGCATTAAGTTCTTTGGATGCTTATGGCCAGTTATAACAAGTGGTATATTGTACTCACTTGTCATTTGCTCGAAGGTTCTTCCACTACCTGATTTGCTACTTCCAAATTGATTTACAGGGTAGTGAGTAATGATGACAATGGATTTATTCTTATAATCTTCTTGGATTTGGATGATCTTCTGCTCAACAATATCAAGCATTTCTTTGGAAGGAAGTAAATACACATCAAGAAGAGCACGTGGCCGAGGGAAATCATATGGGTTAAGTATTAAGAATAAAACATCATTGCTAACGTGTTCCGAAGCAACGAAGTCTTCTAATTGATGAATCTTATTCTTCCACATTGGAGAAGTTCTAAGCTAGTTGTTTTCTTCTGATTCTAAGGAATACACATCGAAAAAGTCATGGTTTCCAGCTGCATCAACGATTTTTGTACCATTTCTCAAAATTTTTTTAATAATTGCATCGTATTGATTGAACTCTTCATCTATTTGATCTGCAATCTTGATCTTTGGTGTTACATATTGGAAATCATCAACATTATCGCCACAACTCAATAAAATATTAGGAGATATATTATTTGTAAAATCTAAAGCCTGAATGAAATTCTGATTATTAGCATCTTTTATATGACTCACATGTATATCAGTCATATGTACAAAGAAAGCTGGATCATATTTTTTATCAAAATTTATTGAAGTGCTTGGAAATTTTTCCACCTTGTTGAAGGGAGTTATGAAAATAAGTAAAGCTGAAACTATAGCAACAACAATAAACCATGAATATTTTGTTAAAATATGTCTGTAACCAATTATGTCTTTTTCTTCTTTAAAGGCATTGAAATCTTCATTTTCAGGAAGTAAATCAGTAATTAATACTTGTGCTGGATCGCTATCAATAGCACTCATTGGTTTTGGATCGCAATTGATTTTTCAAAATTTCAGTACAAGACAATGAACTGAAAAAGTTGATCCAAACTTATATTTTTATACGTATCAATATGTTAGTTAAAAATACTATTAAAAAAAATTCAATTCGGTGGATCCGTTTGATTCAAAGTATTTTCGAAAAGTAAACAATTTTCAATTCGGTGATTCATTAAAAAATCAATGACCTTTTAAATAAAATAAGGCTTTTTTTCTTGGTTCATTTAAACGATAAATTCAAAATTTCAAAGGTTGTGGTTATTTTTTTCCCCCGGTGATTCAAGATTTTGAGAATATATTTCTTCAGAAAAAATCGTTTTCTATATTGATTCCAATCATTTCAAGTTTTCTGGTTTAAATTTTTGTCAAAATTGAAAATTTGATCTTGAAATAAATGAAATTTTGCTCATTTAATGCATGAAAAACAATAATTTGTAGATAGTTCGTATGGATTGGTTTTCGAAATTTCATTTGAACCCTACTGTTCCCTAATTTTAGACGATTTTACCTTATATGATCATTAATTATAGAACAAGATTAAGCACTACAAAATGTTTCAAATAGTAAAACATAAATTGTAGATACAGATTCAAAATTTACAAACAGAAATTATCCATTGAAAATATGAAAATTGAAGACATTTTTTGTTGCTACAATTATGCATTTAATCTTTACCTGGATGGCCCTTCCTTACTTCATTTTTTGTGATTTCAATTTGAAAAATTAATTTATTCATTGGATTAATGAGTGGTATTAATTTTTTCTTGAAAATTCATGTTTTTAAATACGCTCAATTCAATACAATAGACCTAATTTTTTATTTGAGATTTTCATTCAAGAACTTTGTTATTTTTTCGAATGGAATCTTCTTCAAGTTGTCATAAAGATCAACATGATTTGCATCCTCAATAATCAAAAGTTCTTTTGGTTCACTTGCATTCTTATAAATATCATCACTAAAGTATTTGCTATGAGCATGGTCACCAGCAATCAATAAAATTGGTCTTGGAGCAATATCTTTAATGAATGTAAGAATATCGAAATTCATGAAAGAGATTGCATTAGTAACTGTCCATGAACCATTGGAGTTAAGAGAGTTAACATGGAAACCTCTATTTGTCTTGTAATATCCTGCGAACATGGCAGTTACTGAATCAGTATCTTCTGTAACTTTGTCTGGAAGTCCAGGAGGAGCATATGCAGGGGTCTTGTTCTCAGCATCTTTCCAACGTTGAAGGGAAAGATCATGAAGAGCTTTTTGCTTTTGCTCATTTGTAACTGAATCATTAATACCCTTCTGCATTGTACGACACATATCATACATACTAGCTGTAATACTTGCCTTGATTCTCTTATCAGCGGCCATTGCATTTAATGCGAAGCCTCCGAAGCCACAGATGCCAATTACACCGATTTTCTCGCGGTCAACAAAATCATGAAGACCAAGTTAATCAACAGCAGCACTGAAGTCTTCTGTATTAATGTCTGGTGATGATACATTTCTTGGTTGGCCACTTGAATCACCTGTATATGATGGATCGAATGCAAGTGCAACAAATCCTCTATGAGCAAGTTTGTTAGCATAAAATCCGGAAGATTGCTGTCTAACTGCTCCATATGGACCAGAAATTGCAACTGCAGCATACTTTCCTTTGAGTTGAGCTGGATGATATAGGTCTCCTGCAAGAACTATGCCAAATCTGTTATTGAACTTAACGGACTCTCTAACGACATCTTTATGGAGTTCGAATGTGTAATGTGGCAAACCCAAATTTTAGCTAAAAGTGACAGGGAAAAAAAACGTTTAGTATTAAAAAAAAGACCGATGAGAGCTTCGTTCGAAATATAGAGGGAACTGAGAATGCGCAACCATTCTCAGGGAATATTGGATGCTATTCCCGTTCCCTCTGTATGGAAAATTGAGGTTTTCAAAGGGAGTTAAAATAATATCAAATTTATACTAATTTACTTCAAAATACAAAAGTATTTGACAGCTAAAATTAGTTACTTTAGCAAGCCTATCAATACCCTTTTACGATTATTGCTACTTTTTCGAAATAAAAGTAAAACCAAATTTATACTAATTTACTTCAAAATACAAAAGTATTTGACAGCTAAAATTAGTTACTTTAGCAAGCCTATCAATACCCTTTTACGATTATTGCTACTTTTTCGAAATAAAAGTAAAACCAAATTTATACTAATTTACTTCAAAATACAAAAGTATTTGACAGCTAAAATTAGTTACTTTAGCAAGCCTATCAATACCCTTTTACGATTATTGCTACTTTTTCGAAATAAAAGTAAAACCAAATTTATACTAATTTACTTCAAAATACAAAAGTATTTGACAGCTAAAATTAGTTACTTTAGCAAGCCTATCAATACCCTTTTACGATTATTGCTACTTTTTCGAAATAAAATAAATTTATTATCAAAAACCTTTTTTTTCTTAGTAAAAATAAACGAAATTTTTTACCTTATGAACTTTTGATGGAAATATGCAAATTTAAAATAATAAAGAAAGCCGCGAGCGAAGCGATCGGCTTAGTTCGAAGATTTTGATTCAAATCTTTGCTGATCTGTAATTCGCGGAAGCCGCGAGCGAATCGAGCGGCTTAGGTCTAAGATTTTGATTCAAATCTTTGCTTATATTCCTTAAATTCTTTATGAAACTCGCAACAGTTCCATAAAAAATTTTAAATTCTAAACTGTCGAAATTACCGATCGGTAATCACACCCTTCACGGGTGTGTCACTTTTTACAGGCGTGTCACTTTTAGCTAAAATTACCCCTACTCTGTGTAATGTTCTTTAGATAAATTCATCAAAAATGAAGTGATTAAAGTTTCTATTGAATTTAATTTCTATTGATTTTCAATCTGTTGGAACATAATTTGCTTTAATTCTTAGCAAGCATAATAAATATAATAATCACTTTTTTTCAATAGTGTTTAAAAAAGTGACAGTGTGAATTCGCACAGCTAATCATACGAAAACACAATTTTTCGCCATAAAACAATATCACGTTATTTTCCATTCAAATGATATTGCTCCTAAAATGTCAATGAAAGAATTAGATATGATTCAAAATTTACTGCAAAATGCATTTTTCCTTGTTTTATTTTGAAAAATGTAAGTAGATCTTAGTACAGATAATTAAATCATAATTTATAGAATTATGAAATTTGAATTCACATATGAAAAATTGACAGGTATGAATTCACACAAACAATTGTTGATGACAAAATTTTTTATCATTTTTCACCAATGATACGAGGAGCTTCTAGATATGTTACATCGAAGTTCACACAGGAAGATGACAATCGTCTTAAGAAGCTTGTTAGCAAGTATGGAACAGATAGTTGGCGCGAAGTTTCAAAATATTTTCCTTACAGAAACGAACGTCAATGCAGAGATAGGTGGGAGAAATTCTTATGTCCATCACTGAATAAAGGACCCTTCACAGAAGAAGAAGACATGACAATAATGCGATTACACGCTGAACTTGGACCAAAATGGATGACAATTTCTCGATTAATGAACAACAGATCAGATGTCAGTATAAAGTCTAGATACAATAGTTTAATGAAACGTATTAATACACAGAAAAATTCTAGTTTTGCGCAAAAATCAGAAAATATCTCTCCAAAAATAGCCACAGAAGCATGTATTCCTGAAGTATCAAATGAAATTTCAGATCCTATTTTAAATTTTGATGAAAAATCCCGTCAATTATTTGATACTGAAGATTTTTTCAATGATTTTATCATTTTTTGATTGATTATTCACTCATCTTTTGTATATATAATAGAAATAAATATTAATGAACTGTTATTTAAATAAAAGAACATATTTTTTTATTTTCTCAAAATTGAATCTTTTTTGGCTTTTTTTAAATGAAACCTTAAAGATATTTTAATCTTATGTGAAGCAGATATTCATAATATAAAGCATTCAGGTATATTTAAGCGGTTATTTAAAAATCAGATATATTATTTATTTTAATTGGTATTTAACAAGTTCTGCATAGGCGCCAGACTTTTCTAAGAGTTCTTTATGAGTACCTGATTCAATTATTGTACCTTTACTGAAAACAAATATTTTATCAGCATTTTGAACTGTTGATAACCTGTGAGCAACAATTATTGTTGTTTTTTCTTTTCTGAAGTTCTCAATAGATTCCTGAACTAAATTTTCCGATTGTGCATCTAATGAGGCTGTTGCTTCATCAAGAAGTAGTATTGGTGCATTTGTGAGAATTGCTCTTGATATGCATATTCTTTGCTTTTGTCCACCACTTAAAGAAGTTTGTGTAACATCAGTTTGATATTTTTGTTGAAGTTCGTTGATAAATTGATGGCAATTTCCAATTTCTGCGGCCCTTATCACTTCATCATCTGTTGCATTATCAACTGAATATTTAATATTATCTTCAATTGACATTGAAAACAAAATTGGTGTTTGTGAAACACAAGATATGTTATTTCTTAATGATACTTGAGAAACATCTTTAATATCATGACCATCTATTAAAATCTGACCGTCATTGATATCATAAAACTTTTGGATTAATTGCAATGTTGTTGACTTTCCACATCCACTTTCTCCTACGAATGCAACAGTTTCACCTGCTTTTATTGAAAAAGACAATTTCTCTACAGCATTTGTTTGAGATGATGGATATTTGAAGGAAACTTCCTTGAATTCGATATCTCCTTTTATCTTTCCAATATCACTCCCACTCCTTCTGGATATTGCAGGTTTTCTATTAATTAACTCCAATATTTTAACTGATGAAATATTTGCTTTTCTAAAGCTATCTGAGCATGAAAATATTTGAGTCGAACTAATTGATGCAAACATCAGGGACATCATGATTGTCATTACATCTCCAGGAACCAGTTGATGCTTTGGTTTTCTAATTATTAAATAGCATGCAACATAACAAACTATTGCAACTAATCCATTCCCAAACATGTTGAAGAACATATCCTTGATTCCATGTGCAATGGATGTCTTCTTATAAATATTTTGGATCGATTCTAATGTTTTATCATATCCCTGATGCTCATCTATTTCACAATCATTGGCTTTCACTGTTCTAATTTGTGAGATTACCTCGCTGACTCTAGAAGATGCAAATGATGACTTGTCACTGTATTCACGCCAATAATTTCCTATTACTTTTTCTGCAATGACGTAGCTTACTGTAATGATGATAATTATTCCGAGTGAAGCCAGAGCAACTATCCAACTTGTTGTGAGTGCAACAATAAGTCCTCCTATTGTTGTAATAAAATGTTGCATTATTTCAAGTAACTTATCTACATAAATTTCCTTGACTATTGTTACATCCTCGGATAATCTTGAAACCAATATTCCTGAATTCATTGTATCAAAATATGACATATCTTGATCAATAATGGAATCAAATATTTTTGATCTTAAATCAGCAGAAAACAAAGGGGTACAATACGCGCGCAGAAATTGGGAAATCAATGAAAGAACAACCATTGTCCCGTTAATAATTGCCATTTTGATAACAACAGGGATTATCGCTTTGACCATATCGCTATCTCCTGTTGATAGACCAGTAGTTAAGTCTCCATACATAACATTCATTAACAATGGAGCTGCTCCTGATAAACAATGGAATAATATTGCAATAAAAAGAATAAATTTCTTCTGGAAATACTTAAGCATTTTGAAGATTTCAGTTCCAGAAGTAGTGATGGAATTATCTTCTTGCTTTGATGTTGGTTTGAACACACGAAATGCATCGGCCATGGTGGAAATGATGTGTAAAAAATCTTTACATACAATTGAATTATTTTGAGATATCATTCAATTTTTGAGAGCATCGTTGTGAAAATTTTGTCATAGGACAGATTCAAATTTCGGAAGACAACAGAACTGAAAATTGAATATTGAAAATAAAATCATTGCATTCATTTACTGTATAATATTTTTCAAGAAAAAAATTCTACAAGGATTCAACTTTAATAAAAATTTTGGTTTATTTATTCAAGTAAAATACTATCGCGAACCCTTTATCCATAACAAAGAAAGCACAGATTCTCTAAAATCAGTTCAAATTTTATATGTTTGAATATTACGATTTTTAAATTTGATATAATATGATAAAATAGTTATTCCTTTTCGATATCAGTACCATTTTGATATGTAATTCTTTGATTTAACCTTTGATATTATTTTCATTTAAAATAATTTTAATTATGTGAAAATTTTAAATAATGACTTAAGGGAATACAACATGTTGCAATTAAGAATACTAAATTTTTAAAAAACTTTTGCCAATGCCCGTTTCAAATTGATGTTTTTTTGTGAACGATTCAAAATTTACTCTGAAAATAATTTGAAACAATGGTAGCTTTGAACAATAATGTGAAACTAAAAAATTTTATAAGATTCCGAAATTCTGTCTTCTTCACAAATATTTTTTGAGTACCTATCAGAAAAAATCAAAATTTTTTGAGTTCATTTCTCATGGAAGAAGCTCAAACTCAGGATCAAAATAATGTAGAAATGCATGAAATTGAATCTCCTCCACCACAGCCTCAAGTTCCTGCCATGATAACTGATGAGGAGAAGAAAATGAGCAAGGGAATTTTAGGAATGCTAATGTTCCAATCAAAAGGATCTCTATTGGCAATGATTCCATGCGTTCTTATTGGGGCGGCTCCATTGGTCGCCTTTCTTTTATTTGGAAGAATTCTAAATCTAATTTCCAAATATTACATGGAAATCCAACAAAATCAAACACCAAAGGATGTTATGCATGATATTGGAATGAACTGCATATACATTTGCATTGTATCTGTTCTATCTGGAATTTTGAAATATCTACAGACTTTTACTTATATCAGAATTGGGGCAAACATGTCAAAGAATATCAAATCAAGTCTATTCAAATCGATTGCCTGCTCAGATATTACACGGTCATTTCGGAGAATGGACAAAGTTTATCAGGTAGCCAACGTCAGAGAATTCTTATTGCCAGAGCAATTCTTAAATCTCCGTCAATCTCGCTTTGCGACGAAGCAACATCAGCTCTTGATGTAAAATCAGAGAATAAGGTCCAAGCAGCCCTAACAAATATCATGAGAGAGAGAACATCGATAGTTGTTGCACACAGACTTTCCACAATTAAAAATGCAAATTCGATTTTTGTGTTTGATAATGGATCCATTGTTGAAAGCGGTGATCACAATTCTCTTATTGAGAAAAAAGGCACATATTATAATCTTTTTTCAAGACAATTGACAAAAGATTGAATGGTCATGATATCTTTGAATCATAAAATTTATTTTTTTCAAAATTTTCGATTGTTTAAATTTCCAATAATTGCATTCCACAATCAATTTCACATTGTATTTTTGGATTTAGGTAACATTTTTAAAGTTCAAAAAAAAAATCAGATTGTGGAAACATCATTCATTAATCTTATTATATGTTAGTTTATAAGTACGTTTTTAAAGGAATTAAATCATCGGAATCGAAATCAATATTTTTATGAACAGTTTTTCATTGAACTATTCAAAAAAATTCCATCATTTGATAAACCTTTTGAAAATAATTCTGAGATGCTTAGCTTCAGGTTCAATAAATTTACTAGAAATCCTAAGATGTAACAATATTTTTTGTGCCCTGAGAGAAATATTACCGATTTTTCATTCATAACATCTAAATATATTGAATTTAAAGGAAACATTGATCAAAGTATTTACACTCGAGGTATCTCTAGAGTTTAAAACCTCAACTCAAGATTTTCAATTTAATGTACTGGTTTATGTGAATACAAACACAGAACTATATAAATAAACAACATAATTTCTTCGTGGAAAAAAAATTGTTTTAATTGATCGTACATTATATGAATACTATTGACAATGATTTGATAATGCATTGGAATTATTTAAATTATTCGATTGAAAGAAATAAAAAAATGATCACAATTTTTTTTTCAACGTCAGATTGCGGCCTGTGACAGTCATTAAAAACTATGGAAAATTTAATTTTTCAGTTGATACATACTATTTTAGACAAAAGTTTAACATATTTCAAAGATTTTTTAAAAATTATTATAGATTTTCATATGAAAGAGACCAAATCTCTATTCATCTCTCTAAATTTATGTTGCGCGATAAATTATTTCATTCTCACTCAAATGATAAAATCTGATTTTCTTCATATTATTTTTTTATCACATGAATATAATACATTGATGATATTTAAGACTTCTATACATCTTTGAATTGATATACAAAGATTTTGGAACAGATAATTATGGGGTCCTCAGAATGGATCGAAGATATATTGCTGATCTTTCAATATATCCTTTTCTAGCTTATTTACTTATATACAACTATGTAATCTTTCTTTTTATTTTCCGATAGGCCACTATCATCACTGAAAAATTGAATTGATTCTCTCAATATAAAATATTTTTGAATGAACGAAATGACACACTCTTAATTCTATGCAATGATATATACAAATCTATTGCATATCATACTTTATGATTTTCCTGGTTTTATGCATAGTGTATCTTTTGAATAGTCAGATAATTCAATTTATTATTCTCAAATTTTTCAATATCATTATGGGTTTATCTTTTCAGTTCATTATTCATAAAAATGGCCCTTGAAAAAAAGCTCAAGAATCCTTTCAGCGCAGAAGAAGATTCTCTTCTCTCAAGCATTGTCAACTATTATATCCAGAACGGAATGAGTGTTGATTGGAACATTGTCAGTGGAAGAATGCCGAACAGAAATGCGAGGCAGTGCAGAGACAGATGGCAAGGCTATCTTGATTCAAGCATTAACAGAGATGAGTTTACTAATGAGGAGAACTACTTTATCCTCAAAAAAGTAGAAGAGGTTGGAAAGAAATGGAAGGTTATTGCTTCACAAATGAAGCATAGAACTGATGTAGCTGTTAAAGCACAATATAGGAAACTTGTTCGTAGAAACATTTCCACTGATAATGTTTTTCATGTATATACAGATTCATATCAGATGAAAGTAAATCCTGCAGTCCAGACAAATGATGTGATTCAACAAGGTACATATTCCGAATTAGAAATTCAAAATTCGGGAAAAAATGGATTAAATTTTCCTAATCAAAGCAATGACGACAATTCAAACAACTATGATGATTATATCTCATCAATATTTGCTGTTGAAGATGAATTATTTGATTCTTTTTTTAATGAAATTAGCGGCGGCTCAAAAGTCATCGATAATTCATTTTAATAAGATATTTAAACGATTAAATATCTCCTATTAAAATTAAGAAAATTTATGTTTCTTTTTTAAAAATTAAATTTCAACACAATGAACCTTTGTAAATAACGATTTCATTGTTATTTTACTACTCAGATAATTAAAAATTTGATATCCAGAAACAAAGTTTTCAATCGACCAGGCATCTTTTGAAAATTTAGATAACTGACAAATTCTGAGAATTATCAAATATTGAATGTCTGACACAACATGCATGTAATTGGAAAATATTATTCAGGAAATAATCTTCAGTATGGAAAACAAAAATTAGATGATCGGATTTTTTGTTTTTTTCTGTTTATTCAGAATCTTTTCAGAATTTAAAAACAATAACATCTAATTTATCTTATGATCCACAATGGTTAAATTCCAAATAATCTTTCGATATGCTTTATTTGAAAACAAAAATATGTAAAATATTGAAAAGTTGAATTTTCTTCGTATTTTCAGAATATTGCTGCGAAAACGTAAATTTTTTACGACATTTTGGCGAAATCATATTTAATGATACCAGTTACATGTTTGTGAGGCTATTTAACTCTTTTTTTAGGCTGATGAGATGAAATTCATTATTGATTTCACATGTGGCTATGATTTTTTTGTGCGTAATATTATAATTAGTCTTTATTTTACGATTACATATGCTTGTGTATGCATAAATATATTAAAAAACATAATTTATTTGATTAAATTCGAAAACCTTAGAGGGGGCACAAACTTGTCCAGTGAGGTGAAGTGAAAAGTGACAGGTTTACATGTCAGAAATGTAAAGTGTCGGATTTGAAACAAAAAATGGATTAATTTATTATTATATGATAGAGAGATTTGGTAAGTTACTATCAAATTTGTAAGTAAGGGGAAAAAAAGTAAGAAAGAAAAAAAAATTTTTAAAAATAAAAAGCCACTCGCTTCGCTCGCGGTTGACAAAAAGAACAAATTCGAAAAATAATTGTATGAAATTACGAAACTAATCCACTCGCTTCGCTCGCGGCTGACGAAAAGAACAGATTCGAAAAAAGATTGTACGAAACTAAGCCCCTCGCTTCGCTCGCGGTTTAAGTAAACAACATATTTCAGATTATCGATACTAAAAATTTTTTTATTTTATTACATTTTTTTTGCTTTTTTTTTAAAGCTTCTTAACTTAAATCATGGAATGTCTCAAAGACAAAAGTAGCATACAGCATGTAAAGCTAAAGAAAGATAATCATAATTAATACCTTAATTTTTAATATTACGCATTTTTAGGTGCAAAATTTAAAAACATTCTAATACAATAGAGCAGTTTCCAAAAGTAGCATACAGCATGTAAAGCTAAAGAAAGATAATCATAATTAATACCTTAATTTTTAATATTACGCATTTTTAGGTGCAAAATTTAAAAACATTCTAATACAATAGAGCAGTTTCCAAAAGTAGCATACAGCATGTAAAGCTAAAGAAAGATAATCATAATTAATACCTTAATTTTTAATATTACGCATTTTTAGGTGCAAAATTTAAAAACATTCTAATACAATAGAGCAGTTTCCAAAAGTAGCATACAGCATGTAAAGCTAAAGAAAGATAATCATAATTAATGCCTTTAAAGTTTAAAATCTTGATTTTTTTTAAAATCAAATATTTATAACTTTAATACATACAGCTTAAACCCTATACTTGTTTTCTCTTGTGAGAAAGCAATCTTACAAAGCTAACAATCCTAAAAAATAAAGAATTAAAATTTAATAATTTAATCTAACAAAATTTCTCTCTTTATCCTTTTGCACTCTTTATATGCAACTCAAATCCATCATATAATATTCCTATAATACTCTTGCCTCAAACAATGACGAACAAACTGCTATTCTCATTTAATTACAGACCAAATCTATTCAAATTTCTGAATTTTTAATTTTCATTTCAATTTCAAATGGAATTAGAAGAAGAAACTATCTTTACTGTTATGGATCTTTGTAAATTTGGAGTTAAACAAGAAATACAAGCACAGTATGGATATGGTGAACGTGTCAGGAAAGAAAGATCTCAGACTTCATTCCACTGCAAATATCCAAAATGTCCTGCACATTTTAATGTTGCAATCTTGGATCAAAATAAATACAAACTAATCAAAATAGTTGAAGAACATGATCATTCCGCCCCAAATGACAAAAGTCAATATTCGTCTGTCTTTTATCGCAAATATTTAGAACATTACTTCCAAACAGATGACAATCAAAGAGCGATAGCACAGCTAAATGCATTCAAAGATCTTGAAATTCCTCTTACAGGTCCGTCCATTCCAGAGATGTACGCTCAAAAACCACGTGCAATCAAACGATTTGCAGAGAGAATACATGCTCTTCAAACTAGATATTCTCCTGACGATGTTGTGTCATTGCAAATCTTTGTTCAGACAGTACAAGAAGAATCTCCAGATGATCTCATTGCATTTGAAGTCTCAGACAATAATATGTGTTTCTATTACGCGCCTTTTGAAGGCAAAGCTTATGCGCATAGTATCAAGACATTTCATATAGACAGCACCTATAAATTGTTGCGATCAAATATTCCATTGTATGCATTTACTGGCAAAATCAAAGAGTTTCACATTTTCCCTTTTTATATTTCTTTTGTCAACCAGACACTTATCAAAACATTCAAGTTTGCGTGTGCGCCTATCTCAGATGGGTAACAATTGAGCCAGAATACATTAGCATGGACTGTGCTCCACAGATAGCTCAAGCAATAGAAGAAAGCATTCCACAAGCTCAAATACTTTGGTGCGGAGTACATGTTCTTCGTGCAATTCTTCGCAAATCAAATAAGTTTTCTTCTCAAGAAAAATTTGAACAATTCTATAATTTGATGAAGGATTTAGTCTTCAAATTAGATGCAGAACATGAGGAAGAAGCAAATGCTGCCTATGATCAAGTTCTGGAGTTGCTCGACACAGATCCAACAGCATCTCAATACTTTAACAGACAATGGCGTTACAACATATCAAGATGGATTGCTCGCGACAGGCGTGAAGGCGACGCAACTAACAATATTGCCGAAGCTCATTTTAGAACACTCAAACATGACTATTTTCCTGATCGAAAAAATCTCAGAATTGATGATGTTATTATAGAAATTTATACAAAAGTGATACCATCTTTCGTTATCAAACTCAAAATTGATCAAAATCCAGCAGATGACCGTGTTATTAGGATCATGGAAAAAGCAACTAACGCATAAATTGATGTAAAAAGACAAAGAAAAATCGAGAGTATTTCAATGCTCAATAGATTGCTCAATGCTGTTAGTGATGACTCAATAGATCCCACTAAAATATATCCTACCTTGAAAGTATTATTACAAAGAACTCATTTTATTTAATTTTGATTTTAATTTTAGATTAAATTATTAAATTTTAATTCTTTATTTTTTAGGATTGTTAGCTTTGTAAGATTGCTTTCTCACAAGAGAAAACAAGTATAAGGTTTAAGCTGTATGTATTAAAGTTATAAATATTTGATTTTAAAAAAAATCAAGATTTTAAACTTTAAAGGCATTAATTATGATTATCTTTCTTTAGCTTTACATGCTGTATGCTACTTTTGGAAACTGCTCTATTGTATTAGAATGTTTTTAAATTTTGCACCTAAAAATGCGTAATATTAAAAATTAAGGTATTAATTATGATTATCTTTCTTTAGCTTTACATGCTGTATGCTACTTTTGGAAACTGCTCTATTGTATTAGAATGTTTTTAAATTTTGCACCTAAAAATGCGTAATATTAAAAATTAAGGTATTAATTATGATTATCTTTCTTTAGCTTTACATGCTGTATGCTACTTTTGGAAACTGCTCTATTGTATTAGAATGTTTTTAAATTTTGCACCTAAAAATGCGTAATATTAAAAATTAAGGTATTAATTATGATTATCTTTCTTTAGCTTTACATGCTGTATGCTACTTTTGTCTTTGAGACATTCCATGATTTAAGTTAAGAAGCTTTAAAAAAAATGCAAAAAAAAAACAATTGAATACTTTACTGGCTGGGCAAATTTGTCGCCGCCCCTGTAGTTGTAAAATTTATGAATTCAAATCAAGAATGTTAGAATACTCTCTCTTATAATGTGTTTTACTATCCACAGCATTGATCAGATGTTGCACAATAAAATTGTTCCATTCTCAGTTTTACTTAATAAAATAAAAAACTTTCTTCAAGGGGCATGCAGCTTTGATATTATCATTCACATGCCTCAATTCATCCTAATCTATTTGATACATTCATAAAATCTAAATTCAAATTTTTGGCAATAAATATTTTTATCTCAATTTCAAAATCATGTTAACCAGAATCCAAGAATTGATTTTCATCACTTGGATTTTATTAAAGTATGTTAGAAGATGTATTTAAAAAAAAAATAAAATTAAAAATTAAAAAAACTTTTTACACTAAACCGATTACAATTCAAGATTTGGTGGGAAATATTGTACGGATGTGCAAAATCCAACCACTTGTGGAGGAATTTCTGCAAGAACTGCTTCTGCTAAATCTCTTGTGATATTATCACCAGTGAAGTCTCTAAATGGAACAAACTGGACAATATCTCTCTTGCAAGCGATTCCGGATGAATTTGTCAAACGATTATTTCCATCTCCGTCCAATTCTTCCATTGCGCTGAAGTCAGCACCTCATACACCGACAATAATGATGGAAAGAGGTAGTTCACTACCTTTAACTATGAGATCAGCTGTAGCTTTGAAGTCAGAAATGATTCCATCGGTCATAATGAGTAGAATGGTGTAGCTCTTGCTTTCTTTCCAGTTTCTTTCGGATATTTCGATTGATTTCTTGATAATTTTTGCGAAATTCGTTGGTCCGCTCAAATCATACTTTAAAATACTATGTTTGTAGACATCTAAGATCTCTTCGAGACTGTAGACCTCTGGTTTCTCCTTGTTACCGTTAAGAGGGAAGCAATCGCTTGTAAATCCTTTGTAAACACCACCAAAACCGAAAACCGTAAATTTCTGATCGGAATCGTATGGGCAAAGTATTTGTCCGACCCTTTGAATTGACTGCTGGTATTGGTTAGGCGTTGATCCGATGTAATGGGTTGATCCGTATTCCTTTGGATTGCCATTTGAACCTGTAAAGTCAACAGCTGTAATTAATTTGATCTTCAAGCCGCCTTCGAGATAATTAAGGAAGTTTGGCTGCTTACGGACCCTCATCTCCATGATTGTGACAGATCCCAAGGTGTCTTTCTTCTTCTTAGACTTGTTTTCGGAATTTTTATTTGCAGAATTAGGAACTGGTTTCGTTGGCTGTAACTCGTATGTTTTCTTTTCCAAAAGATCCTTAACGGAAGCCTGGAAAGCGCCAATATCCTTTGCTGGATCGAAATTATGGTAATCACTGACTTTAATAGTCATCGGAGTGTCCAAATTACCATCGCAGAACGCATTCAATGGTACTATGAATCTATTGAATGTGCAACTTACGCATTTCGGAACTACTTCTGATCTGTAAACAGGAATTTCAACTCCTGACTCGTTTGCTTTTGTAATTGTAAAGAATGGTCTGTTTCTACTGAATGTGCGCATTCTCTTAAGGTCCTTGACTGATATTAACATTTCGACTACTTCCTTTGACTCAATATGTTGCTCTGCAACAATAATGAGCTTTGAGTCTTCGTTATACTTTGATTCTATCTTGAATTCTTGCTTAGCCTGTAAGTTTGAGATAATTGTAAAAACATCTGTGTCAACTTTACCGATATATTCTTGGTGAGATAAGGAATTTGAATTGGAATCAGAATCGTATATTTCAAACCTTAAAGGCTGTTGAGTTTCGAAGCGATAAAGGGCTTGGAAGAAATGAACAAAGGTTGGATTTTCAGTATTCTGTATTATTTCTGTGCGATCTACTTCAACATAGCCGCCCTTGATTTTGTCTGGTATAAGCATGACAACCATTGGATCAGAATCGCTATAATAATCTAATTTTGGAAGATTTGTACATCCAACGTTCATTTTGATGATGGAATCGCTCATTAATAGGCTTTCTGGTGATTGTGACGCTGCTGGGATGTTTGAATCTTTTGGTCCCTTTCCGTAAGCAATATTTGACATTTCTGATATTTTTAGAAAAGTGTCACCAATCAACATAAAAATCTATTGTTTTTGTCGTTTGGAATCACCATTAATGATATTAAATGATAATTTGGGTTTAAAGATCTTCTCTCAAATTCAATGTAATGCCGTTGCGATTATTTTAATTTTTAAGAATTATGCTAATAAGCATATGTGCAATCAGAAAATCCAGTTTGAGGCTAGAACGATTAATTTTTTCAGAGATGGTTTTCCGTTAATGAAATTTTAAAACAACTGTTGTGCATGAAAATTCGGTTCACTTCACTTCTGACAAAAGTGACAAGTTTACATGGCAAAATATATAGGGTATTTTTTTTAAAAGTAGTTATCTTTATATATAAAAATAAAACTTTTGATATATTTGAGTAAATGATTTATTAATTTATTTATTTTTTTTAAATCAAATCATATAAATATATATATATATATAATAGTGAAATAGAACAAGAGATAATTATTGATGATTAAATTGTAGACGAGGATAAAAGTTTAGATAAATTAATAAAATTAGTGTGGAATCAGACAAATTTCGGGTTGTTTGGGAAGGAATTGTTGGCTATGATGTACTGATTCATGATCAGTACATCATAGCCAACAATTCCTTATACAAAGTTCAAAAACTTGGGTGCAATCAGTTCTGATTGCACCCAAGTTTTTGAACTTTCTCGAGGGAATGAAAGGGTAAGAGGTATACATTATGAATATATACCTCTTACCCTTCCATTCCCTCTCTGACAGCGGGAAACTTTGTCTGAATGTTAAACTATTCAGACAAAGTTTCCCGCTGTTTGGGAAGGAATTGTTGGGTATGATGTACTGATTCATGATCAGTACATCATAGCCAACAATTCCTTATACAAAGTTCAAAAACTGATTTTCATTTGGCAGATCCACTTCTTGTCTTTCCATTTTTTTTGAATCAATTTATACAAATAAACTTATAAAACACAAAATTATTATTTTATAATATAATTCTTAGATAATACATCCGATATGTAAAGTGTCAAAAATGAATTGAACCGAATTTTCATGCATTACAAAATTTTAAAACAACGAACCTCATTTGAGCTAAGATCAATAAGTTACTACATTTAACTATTCTATTTTTAGCTAGTACATCATATATTTCGATCATAATTGTATTTTTTGATTTTTTGAATTTTACTAATTTTTAATTTTCTTACTTTGTTAAGAGGCATCAAATTAGGAATTTTCATGCTGATTTCTACTTTTATTTGCCTTCTTAAGGCTTCCAGAATGAACGAATATACATCATATATAAGCTTGTTTCAACCTTAATTTATCAATTGAATGATGAATATTGTTCATAAACTCTTTAAGTTAACGATAAGACCTTTGAATTTTAAGTTATTTCGATCAGTGATCACACTTAACATGATTCATCTTAAATCGATTTGGCTTAAAGTGAATTTTAATATATGTATTGCTTAAAATTTGTTGGTAAGAAGAATCATGAATGTATTCTTAATAAAATTTACAAAACTTTTATGAGATTTCATAAACACATTGAAAGTAATGAATTCAATTTCATCACTTGTAAAGCACTAGCTTATAAAACCAAATGCATCTATAATTTCGTTAAAAAGCAATCAAATTATTTGAAGACCAAAATTATGATAGATTCTTCTCATATATTTGGTTCTGTGATAATATCAAATGATTTTATTGTATCTTATGTAATTCATGGCAATTTTGATGGCGAAACAATAAAATAATTAGTTTCAAATTTGTGAGATGAGAAAGATTTACAGTAGTTAAAGCGACATTTTACCGTACATTACATACTTGTTGAAGAATTCAAATTCGCAAAGTACATAATCCCAAGCCACTTTTAAAAATAAGATCATTTTTTGATTTAACTCAAGTAATTAAATTTCTTAAACAGGGAAGCTACCACAATATGTGTAGTTGGTACTCTGAATGACCATTAATTCTTAATTTATGCATAAAATAATAAATTCTTGTATTAACTAAAGCAACTTTACCATCATTAATTCTATCAGCACCACAAATTGTAAATTTAATAAAACAAGAATATGGGAAACTATATGAATGCGAAAATTCAAAATGATTATCTGATAAGTGAAAAAGAATATAATTTGTTGATATTCCCTTAACAATAACATTAGATCTGGTATTCATTTTGTTATAGTTGAAATTATGGGGCTGGAAAATAAAAAGTTGGTTTTCACATCATCATACTCTCAAAAATTATTCAGCTCAAGAGTCTCAGAAAACTTCATCAGAATAACAACCAATTCCTTGAATAATGCTGATTTAAATTCAAAACATATGCCATGGAATTGTTAAATGAAAGAAAATTCAACCTTTTAAAAAAGAACAACTCTATTGATAAAAATTCATGATCTATTGTTACTACTTTTCATGAACTTGAAATATAGCATTTGTTATTACTTTCCATGAAGTGAAATATATATCTTATTGATATAACTTCGTAGTAGCCTTTGTTATAATTTTGATACAAATAATTATGAAATTCCTAGATTTCCAGTTGACGAAATAACATCCTTCTAAAATCGTCTTGTTTGTTTCTAAATCATTATAAATGTGCATTATTTATCATCATTATTCTCTTTATAATGGTATTCATAGTTCTCCGGCATGATAAAAAAGTTTGATCATAATAATCCTGTGAAGCATTACAATAATATTGAATAAATCGGAATCATATATTCAATGCATTGATAGTGATCATAATAGTTTCAGACTCTCCTGTTTCTTCTTGAGAGATCTTGCAATATCAAATACAATATAATAATAATGCTATTAGTACCACATCTTTATATTCAGTGTTATATTCTACAAATATTTAAATATTAACTTTGTCTAATTTTAGTCTTTTCATTTCAATATTGTGAACTTAGGTTGTTGTGTTCCTCAGGTTTTTCCTTCTCTTAATGCTTAAATAAAAATAAAAAAAGTTATAAAGTCAAATAAATTACTTTCAAAGCTGTCCAATCGAGATTTAGCTCACAACCTAAGCATACTTTTCATAACTAGCCTTACTTGAATTTTAAAACTCGTATTATATGAATTGTAGGATTATTGTATGTCCAAACTCAAAAAAATTCTGAATGATTGGTTTTACTGAAAAATGATTTTCAATATCTTTTCAAAATTTTGAAAACTCTTTTTCACTCCAATCTATTAATACGAATGCTTTTTTTGAAAATGCATTATTATTAAACTTAAAATTCTTACATCTTCTGAAAATCTTGCCTTTTTGAATTATTCGTTATTGTAATAAACCACATCTATATATGTATTTTTGCATAATTTAACATTGCAAAAAATTCAATTGCTTTTTTTTTCACAAATTAAATCTAGAATTTTCCCGCAAACATATTCCTGCAAATATATTTTTCAATAGTGAAAATTCTTTTGAATTTATTTACTTCAATTTTGTTTTCAATATTTACATTTTAATTTCATGAATACTTCAGATAGGAATTACATGAAGTTTAGAAATTTACAGCTCAAGGAAGTCATTGGCAATGGACAAAGTGGTGTAGTTTATCTCGTTAATGATCCCAAGTACAGACGCGATTTCGCCCTTAAAAGTGTTCCACTAACTATGTTTCATCCTAGTGGAGCAGAGTGTATGATGAATATAGATGATCCTAATGTTATTCGGCTCTATAAATTTGAGCCATTTGAATCTGCCGCTTATTTATTGGAAGAATATTGCCCAAACAGCTTAGATTCAGCTTTAAAGAAGCGTGGAAGTTTCGAGAATGATTTGCTGTTGCACTATGCTGATGGAATCCTCAAAGGCATACGAGCATTACATCAACTCCGAATTGCACACTTAGACATCAAACCTGCTAATTTCTTAATTGACACATTTAGTAGAGTAAGAGTTTGTGATTTTGGAATTTCAAACAAGTTCGAGTCCAATGAATTGTGTACTAAATTTGGAGGGTCTGTCCCCTTCATGTCCCCTGAAATTCTTCAATTACAACCTTTTGATCCATTTAAAGCTGATATTTGGGCAATCGGGGTAACATTCTTTATCATCGCTACTGGAGTATTGCCATGGGAAGGTTAAACTCAACATGTTATTTGTCATAACCTTTTGACGAAAGATCCGAATTACTCTTTAATTGAGAATCAAGAATTCGCAAAGGTTATCAGGATGTGCTTATCACGTGATCCAGAATTAAGACCTTCTGTTGAAGAGTTACTTGAACTCCCAATATTTACTCAATTAAATTCTTCTGCAGTAAGGAAGATAACACAGCATCCATCATTGAATCTGGCAGGAAGAAAATTATTCTTGCATTCAACGATTCTTGTTCGTCCTACATTGAAGAGAGCAATGTTATCAGAAAGTTTATGATTTGTATATTATTAACCATGTATGTGTTTTAGTAAACATGTATTATTTAAATGCATAATATTAATATTATCTTTTGCTACAATGTTTTAAAAAATGAATTAATCATACTTAAAACTGACTTTTAGAATGCACACCGACGAACCATTCATTTACCCAATAAATCAACTACAAAAAAATAATAACAGAAATTAATTTTAGGATTGAAATTTACAAAATATTCTAGCAAATTATGTAGTATTTTATTTTGGGCAGTTGCTTTGATAGTATACTAATAATGTCTGATATTTCTGACATTGACATTTGAATTGTATTTTTATTTGTGAAGGAATTAAAAAATCGTTCAGTACATATCATGTTATTTGTATTTAGTTTTAAAATGTGCTGACTAATATTTTTAGATGACTATCGATTAAGGAATAATTATTTTAAATTGAAAATTGAATTTGAAAATAGCATCCATGGAAGAGATTCTAGTATAAGTGAGTGTGATGCAATGGAAAGGTTGATGCGAAATTGTGCAAAATATTTCCAGAAATCAAATTCATATACTATTGATGATATTTAACATTTCCCTTTTCGTCAATCAGATGTTGATAGGGCATCGTTTTTGTTCAAACAAAAATAGAGGTATATTTCTCAGAAAATTAGGACGATTAAGTATCGTTTTGAGATAATTTTTTGATTACTCAGAAAATTTGAATATACCGGGGAATTGATGAATATTTTATTTTTGAACCGAGAACTAATTACAAATCTCAAATAATGCGAGAATCGAACTTTGGATAAAAATGGATTTTTCGGTTGATGATTGATTTTAAGATTTTATCTTTGTTTTGAGGAACAAAATATAGATATATAGGATCATAACTGATAAAAGAAAAAAAATTATGAAAATCGGTGAAAACAATTATTTTTTTTTTCGAATCAAAGATGGCAAGAAGTTGATGGCAACAAAAAGCAAAAAGAAGAGAATGTGATATATCATGATAATTATCAATGCATGATCATGATTTCCTGATTGAATATTCACTTATTGAGGAAAAGATATATAAAAAAGAAAAAAATGCAATAAATCTCATTTAAAGGTATATTAATGATGTAATGGCATTACTAAATAATAATTGACATTCCATAATATTTTAATAAAATCAAAAATTTAAAAATAATTGGAAACTAATTACTCGCGTTAAATAAAAGCTGTTTCTAGTTCAAATACGAAATTGATGCAATTTATGAATATCTACAGCCTAATTTTTGATTAAACAACTTAGGAATTTTCAAAAAATTTAATAATTACAATTATTTTATATGTAGATCATGCTTTGTTATTGGAGAGTTTTTTGATCGTCATGAAACGAGCTTATGTTGTTTAGATTAAATTTTGATTCAATATTATTTTATTTTTCTGAGATTCTCTTTCAAATTTTTGAGGACTAAATAAATTTTCAATACTAAATTGAACCTCGATATCAAAATCATGAAAATTATTTATTAAGCAAATAACAAAAGCACTTTTGGTACTGTGAATCTCGTAACAATTGTAAAAAAAGTTAATTCTTTTATTCAATTTTTGGCCAATAGAATTTTTTGAATGCTCTAGTTTCATAAATATTCAAGTATTTTGCTAGAGTGATGGCCTTTACAGCGAACATTCTTCGAGTACCATTTTCCAAGCAGGAAGATAAGAAACTTGCAGACCTTGTTAGCTTATTAGGTGAAAATAATTGGAATGAGATTGCAGAAAGTTTACCTGGTCGAAATCCCAGACAATGCAGAGACAGATGGATGAAGCATCTTTCTCCTAATATCAATTTATCTCCATTCACAGAGGAGGAAGATGCAAAATTGCTCAAATTAAGGGAAAGATTTGGACCAAAATGGACTGTCCTTGTAAAATATTTTGATCACAGAACAGATAACAGTCTTAAATCACGTTATAAAAAGCTTTTACGCCAAAAGAAGAAGCAAGAAGAGGCAAAATCAGAAGCAGATTTAGAGCAAAAGAAAGAAATTAGTGCAATAAAGGAAAATTCAGAAAAAGTAGATGACATGATAATGGAAGTTTTCGGCGATTGTGAGAAAATACTGGATGGCGGTGAATTTTTTAACTTTATATAAAATTAGGCGATTAGAATTTTTTTGTCATTTTATCGGTGTGTCAAATTTGTTTTCGACTTCATTTGATTTATAGCATAAAAATACTATTATGAAAAGTCTTGCTATTTTTAATTATAACATTTATATATATATTTTCTATATTACATTAAAATTAATTTTATATAGAACGGATCTAATCAAGCTTTCCGACAAATTCATATTGCAACAAGAGTTCAATGACTGATGTATTTTAAATGAAGCGTTGTGGATTATGATAGATAAAGATCATTCGCTTTTCGGAAGGGATTTTTAACAACTAGAAAAATTATTAAGTAGGTATTAAATGTAATGCTTTTAAAGAGGGAATAAAATAAATATGGTTGAAATACGTTGAACTTTAATTTTTTGATAAGATTACAATTGCTCAATATTGAATGAAGAATCTGAAAACCTGTTGAAAGTTAAAAATATGAAAAGCTAATTAACAACAAAAATATCCCTTAAAATTGTGAGATCTTTTCGACTTAATCATATATGAAAAGTATGATGAATAATAAATAATTGTGCATTGATGTTAACAAATTTTCGAAGATTAAAAATAATTGAGAGAGATTCTCAATTTCGAGTAATAAATTTCGATAGTTATTTGCACTTATTTACTGAACATTCGGATTAAGGATGTCAGTTTGGAAGAAAAGTGAGAAAATTCCTAATAGTTTAGTCGGTTTTTGCATTTTTAAAATGTTAGTCACCTTTCTCCTTCCAAAGTGAAAAAAAATTGTTTAAAATATAAAAAGAATTTTTATTCGCATAGGCGACAAACAAGGATTTATAAATAAATAATGGGGCTTTGAGTATTGATCTGAATTGAATCAGATAATTAGCCGTAAAAAATCTTCTAATAACGATTTCTCATGCATGAAAGATGGCTATGAGTGGCGTTAATGAGGGCGTTTGATAATTGGAGTTGGACATAAAATTTGAAGATCTTAATTTTTGAGAATTTTGGTGCGATCTTACTGGTACAAGCAAGAGTATGGAAGGAGATTGAACTGAGAAAAAAACTAGAGCATGCAAAAGAATCATGCTACAGCTTAGTTGAATGTCATTTATGCAAATAAAAATATCTTTTTCAAATTTCAAACAAATTTTTGCCACTTTTTGAAAGAAGATAAGGTAACAAACATTTTAAAATGCAAAACCTAGACTTAAACTATGCCGAAATGTGAGCTCACCGTTACGGTTTTTTCTTTTTTGGGGGCGAGCTTGCGAGCCCACCAAAGAAAAAACCGTAACGGTGACTAATATAGATCCAAGGTGATGTGATTTTTGCATCCCTGGGATGGACGATACACCCAAAGTGTCACCTTTTTGGGATAACATGAATTTTAAATATCATGAGAGTTCTGCAAACCATATGCACAATATCTATTCAGCCTGACTTCTTGTATATATGAGTTAGACTTCTTAAATATTGTGCTTGGGGCGATATAAGCATTTCCGAGATTACCATCGTGCTCTATAGTATGCTACTTCTCCCTGGTTCTAGCTCAGTTCCAAGGATATTGGCGTTCAAGGATTTGGCAAGGTCCTTCCGAAGTCTCTCATTCGATGAGAGATTTCGGAAGAATCTTGCCTTAAAGTACTCCAACTCTTGTTCTTTTGTTCCTAAATAGTGAGAAAAGTTATTTGACTACTTAAGGTAGAGATTATCCGAGGTCCCTCATTTGATGAGAGGCCTCGGATAATCTCTGCCTTAAAATTGTACACTTGTAGTCCATGAGAGTGTAAGTATACATTGATAGAACAGCTTTCTTCTGAAGTCTTAGATTTGATGAGAACCTCAGAAGAAAACTGTCCTATTTTATAGTAAAAGGAGTTTCAGGAGCTCCAAAGCTCCCTTTAGTAAGGATTAGAAGCTTTGAAGCTCCTGGTTCGTAGACGTGTTTCGCATCTTTCATCAGCAAAGGACATTTACCATCTGGGACTCTGTTGATGGAGACTCAGGAGCTCCAAAGCTCCCTTTAGTAAGGATTAGAAGCTTTGAAGCTCCTGGTTCGTAGACGTGTTTCGCATCTTTCATCAGAAGAGGCCCAAATGGTAAATAGCCTCTGCTGATGAGCTTCAGGAGCTCCAAGGCTCCCTCTCGTAACGATTAGGAGCTTTGTAGCTCCTGAAGGTAAGGTAGGATTGCTCTGATCTCTAATCAGTAGATGCCATGCCTCATTATGAACTCTACTGACAAGAGATCAAGAGCTCCAAGGACTCCCTTTTTAGTTAGTGGCGTTCTCACCGTTTAGTAGGATTGCTGATCCTACTAATGAAGTGATCACTTAGTATACGTTTTGAATAAATTGAATTTTTTTTAGAATTTAGTATTTTTTATAGACATCACATGTATATTATAAATACATAAATATATTCTTTAATTCAAAAAATTCAATTCGGTTTTGGGATGGGTATCCCAGCCCCAAGTATTCAATTTTATTCAATTTTTAAAGAATTTTGGGTTGGGATGCCCAGACCAAAAAAGCTTTATATTTTGATGTGTAGATACGTATGTGTGCATCATTGTTGTGTTATATATTATGTTTTTAATGAAAAAAAATCTGATTCAAAAAAATTATCACTAATTAGTTGATAATATAAAGAAAAAATAAATAAATTGTATGTTTTGAGAGTATTTATCCACATTCACTCATATGAATTTCATTAAATAGTGTCTTTTTACTCCAAATTTATTTTGAATTATTGAAATCAAAGAAGAAAAATCAAAAATTTCTCGAAATTTTTATTTTTCAAAAAAAATTTGGATTTTATATTGAAAACAGACACTGGGAGGACGATAGGGCTGGGATTGGAGATACCCCCCTCACTTGGGAAAAATACGGATCTATAGTGACTAACATTTAGGAAAAATGCTAAAAATGAATTTTCCAAATGTATTTTTTTATCTCATTTTTTTGATTTTCAAAAAAATTTGGAGAGAAGAACTCTTCGTTTTTGAATTTTATCACGATGGTTTTAAAGTATATTAGACACATGTATTGGTATTACTATTTTTGTATATTTTGAGAGAAAATCCCTAAAAAGTGAGAAAATCTAAGACGGTTTGAGAAAATATATAAACTATTGAAAATTTGAATTAAACTTCTAATTTGGAAAAAAGAAATTTGGAAAGAAGAAAATTCAAAAATCGAGATTTAGACTCAGCATCAAATGGAAAACAAAAGGTTTCTTCATATGAAGGAAAAAAATTTTCTTGTGAAGAAATAGAGTTTTTAAAATTTTATTGTATGTAATGAAATAAACAAATATTAAAATTATTTTTTGAAAAGGTACATTCACTATTTTTGACAAAATTTTAAATTTTCATGGGGTTGTAAATCTTATAATAACTAGATGAATAAGGAATGAATCCCAGTATAATGTGCATCATTATATTAAACACTATATGTAAGGCTGGTGATTCTATTAACACTTATGAAGATCTATAGTATTTGAGCAGATAAATTTGATAATTTCCAAAACTCTTATATTTCAAAATGAAAGTGTGCGAATGCATTTAAATGAGAGCAAAAAGAGATTGATGCTGTTAAAACTAGGTGTTAATTTGCAATTATTTCGCATCACAAGAACTACCCAGTAAATTCGGCTATCTTTCTTTGCAATTATTCTCCATTATACATATAATATAATGGTTAGGGTTTGAAGAAAAGTTACTAGAGAATTATTGACTTTTGAAATAATGCAGAATTTTACTTGAAGAAATCATTAATTTATGAGCTCCAAATTGCTAAGCATGACGAAGGATCATTAAATTTGCTACAATTAAATACACTTATTGCAGAATTAAGATTTTTGAAATTAAAAGTTTGAAATATTGCCTTTTTGAATAAAAATTTAAATTTTATTATATAATCATGATAATATCTTATAGAAATTAAAAGAAAATATTTTAAACCATTCAAATATTTTGAATGTCTTATCAATTTAAAATATTAAAAGATAGCTTGATTTTATCATCATTAGTTGTTATCAAAGTTTTCTTCTTTTGATGAACAACAGTAAATGATTTGTTAATTACTTGTCTTCCTTTTTCGCAGCAAAATCGAAAGTTATGATGATAATCTTGCTGTCAATTTTGAAACTCTCTGATTTACAAGTAAGCATTCCTTTGGAAAAGCAGTCCTATTCTGTTTTCAAGATATTTTAAAGCCTCAATTTCATACAATGCGCAGATCTATTCGAAATTGCAAGAACTCTCAAGAAAAATGCAGCAGCAAAGAAGATTCCATAGTTTCTAGCATCAAAAATTTACAACCTTAATACAACAGTTAAAGAGAAGCTCGAAAAGAAAATATTTAACCATAAAGCTGGAGACCATTCGATATCTACTATTGGGTCTAATAAAAAGTTAATTATAACATATTTAACATGCTATTTGTTGACTTTGTTCCATTATATTACCATATATACCTTTTTGAAATCTAAAATATTTTTACAATTTTAACCATGTGTTGTTGAAACCATATATCAATCTTAGCTAAAGTATAGTTTATGAGTCTGTCACCATCTAACGTATGAATTTTCAAAAATGTCAAATATGTTCATTTTTTCTGTAGATTCAGCCATAATTTCACGTTGTTATACTATAGATCCAAGGTGATGTGATTTTTGCATCCCTGGGATGGACGATACACCCAAAGTGTCACCTTTTTGGGATAACATGAATTTTAAATATCATGAGAGTTCTGCAAACCATATGCACAATATCTATTCAGCCTGACTTCTTGTATATATGAGTTAGACTTCTTAAATATTGTGCTTGGGGCGATATAAGCATTTCCGAGATTACCATCGTGCTCTATAGTATGCTACTTCTCCCTGGTTCTAGCTCAGTTCCAAGGATATTGGCGTTCAAGGATTTGGCAAGGTCCTTCCGAAGTCTCTCATTCGATGAGAGATTTCGGAAGAATCTTGCCTTAAAGTACTCCAACTCTTGTTCTTTTGTTCCTAAATAGTGAGAAAAGTTATTTGACTACTTAAGGTAGAGATTATCCGAGGTCCCTCATTTGATGAGAGGCCTCGGATAATCTCTGCCTTAAAATTGTACACTTGTAGTCCATGAGAGTGTAAGTATACATTGATAGAACAGCTTTCTTCTGAAGTCTTAGATTTGATGAGAACCTCAGAAGAAAACTGTCCTATTTTATAGTAAAAGGAGTTTCAGGAGCTCCAAAGCTCCCTTTAGTAAGGATTAGAAGCTTTGAAGCTCCTGGTTCGTAGACGTGTTTCGCATCTTTCATCAGCAAAGGACATTTACCATCTGGGACTCTGTTGATGGAGACTCAGGAGCTCCAAAGCTCCCTTTAGTAAGGATTAGAAGCTTTGAAGCTCCTGGTTCGTAGACGTGTTTCGCATCTTTCATCAGAAGAGGCCCAAATGGTAAATAGCCTCTGCTGATGAGCTTCAGGAGCTCCAAGGCTCCCTCTCGTAACGATTAGGAGCTTTGTAGCTCCTGAAGGTAAGGTAGGATTGCTCTGATCTCTAATCAGTAGATGCCATGCCTCATTATGAACTCTACTGACAAGAGATCAAGAGCTCCAAGGACTCCCTTTTTAGTTAGTGGCGTTCTCACCGTTTAGTAGGATTGCTGATCCTACTAATGAAGTGATCACTTAGTATACGTTTTGAATAAATTGAATTTTTTTTAGAATTTAGTATTTTTTATAGACATCACATGTATATTATAAATACATAAATATATTCTTTAATTCAAAAAATTCAATTCGGTTTTTGGGATGGGTATCCCAGCCCCAAGTATTCAATTTTATTCAATTTTTAAAGAATTTTGGGTTGGGATGCCCAGACCAAAACAAGCTTTATATTTTGATGTGTAGATACGTATGTGTGCATCATTGTTGTGTTATATATTATGTTTTTAATGAAAAAAAATCTGATTCAAAAAAAATTATCACTAATTAGTTGATAATATAAAGAAAAAATAAATAAATTGTATGTTTTGAGAGTATTTATCCACATTCACTCATATGAATTTCATTAAATAGTGTCTTTTTACTCCCAAATTTATTTTGAATTATTGAAATCAAAGAAAAAAAATCAGAAAAATTTCTCGAAATTTTTATTTTCAAAAAAAATTTGGATTTTATATTGAAAACAGACACTGGGAGGACGATAGGGCTGGGATTGGAGATACCCCCCTCACTTGGGAAAAATACGGATCTATAGTTATACTATTCAACTATTATTTAATATTTTTATCGATTTAAATATATGATGAGATGCTTAGTTCTCCCGGAAATCGATTTTTAATCGCAATTTTAACTTTCCAAAAAAATTCAAAAATAAAAATCCCTCTCAATTTTCTAGGTTTTATAACTCGCCAAATCTCTAGCCAAATTTTTTTGGCCCGTATAAATATTGTTAGGCACTATATAGGGATGCTATTTATCCTATTTTCATCCCATTTTACTGTTATCGCCTAGTGAATGTACCTTTTTTTTTGATAACAAGAAAATTCCCAATAGAAAATATTTGAGAGAAAGAAAAAAAGAAAATTGAAAAATATTACTCTCCTTTATATTTCATGAGATTTTAAATTTATTCTCATAAAATTGACAATTTTATACGTTTAGATGAAAATAAGTGATTTTGGTTGAAATAGAAATTATTATTTGCTTACAGCTATCAAATAGATTTTTGCTATTTTGATTAAAATTTGTTAATCAAATTAATAATTTTTTTCTAAATATCTTAAATATCTGGATCACTCACATATACAATGAATTGAACGATAAAAATAATACAAACTCAACTAAGTTTCCTGTCTTTCAACTAAAAAAAATTATGCAAATTAAATTAAATTGTTTATTCAAATATTAAACAAAGATGAAGTAATTACAGTTATCATAAACTTTATGAATAACTCTGTAATTGGTTCAGATTTTCGTAAAAATATTTTTATTAATATCGATAAGAATACGTTTACCTACTATCACAACATATCGATAAACAAGAGTAGAGTGATTTTTATCATCGAAACTTTTTAAAAGCTGTAAGCTGGAAGGAAAAATCTTGTTTTTTCTGAGTTAGTTGTAGAACTATTGATGCACGAGTTATCATTGTGATGTAGAAGGATGTCAATGTACTGACTGAAGGATATGATGTGAATTGAATTTCATTGAATTTCAATTTGATCAAAATTTGTTGAAATGATATGAATGTGTCAACATCTGTATCACTCTCTTTCACTCCTTCCATCTTCTTTCGAGAACGAAGCTAGCTTAGCTTTCGCTGAGCAAATTGACACTTTTGATGCCCTAAACGTACATGCTCTCAAATTTATCGAAAAAAATTATACCACCTAAACTAGTATATTCTTATTTTAAATATGATATTATCCTTAGAATCCACACTAGAATATATTTAAATCAACTTTTAAAAAAGTTCGAATCCTGCGCGTCTCACTTTTTAAATTTTCCAAAAGGAAAATTATATTCTCCTAAAATGAAAATAATTTTCCGAATTGACATCCTTATTCGGATTCAAAATTGGTGAAACACTGAAAATTGAGTGAGATTCTTAAAAAGTATAAATTAAATGAAGACTTGGATGTTATAATTTGCTTTTGATGCAAAGACAAAATATATTACAGCAATATTTTTAGCTTGAAGTATTGAATTCAAAATTAACTGATTCGATGGCAAATTATGACACCATGATTGCTTAAAATATTTCATAAATTTGAATGGAGTTCTAAATTGTTGCCTCATCGAAAAATCCATAAATATTTGAAACAAAAATAATCGTATTTTCAGAAGTATATTAGTCAAATTTAATGGAAGCTCAGCAAAATCAAAAAGTTGTTATTCTCAGGAATCCTTCTAAAAAGTTTGTTTCAGCGAACTATGCGGCTTTCAGGAACAAAATTGATCAAAGGCGCAAAAATGTATCCAAATATTATCCAATCATCGAGAAAATATTATTTTCGTCCCCTTACATTAAGAAGTTTGGTGATTTGGTTAAAATGGCCTGCTATATAGCTCAGAAGGAAAAGCTACATGTTGATCGAGATTCCAAACGAGGGAAAGAAGCAATCATTTGTTGGTATTGCGAAAATTGGAATAAGGTTTGTCCCTTGCTTTCGGAAAGCCTCAAAGAAGTTATTTTGCCAAAATATCAGTTATTTGAAATTCCTTCGGAATCCATTGTACCAAATGAGTTTTCCTTCATTATGGATCCACTTTTAGATTTTTCAGCCGAGTCCATGCCAGATTTAGTAGACAATTCTTTTCTTACTTTGGGTATTGACCAATGAATTCTATGAACCGCTTAATAGAGACCCTTCAATTTTCATGAAGATATATATGTTTAACATGTCAGATTAATATGAATTAATAAAAGTGTTTATATCGATGTAATAAACAGAAATTCATCAAAAGTGACGGCTCTCAATTTTTTGACATTTGTAAATTCGAAATTGAATGAGAAAAATGAAATAATACTAAGCATAATACAATATTCTAGATTTAATTATAATTAGGAAAAAGTTAGTTTTGAGAGTACTTTTCATAGGCATATAGAATGAAATCTTCTGAAAAATAATATCACATAAACTCATATTATTTTCTAATATATAACTATTTTATATAAAAATCAAATTCAATGATCTTAAAAGCGAAGGATAAACCTCAAAAATTACGAATATAATGAGTGGGAATATAATGCTTATCTATCATAAAACCATATGAAATATCAATTTTTGCTTTACGCCTAATTTTTGACGACAATTAGCAAAAAATGTTAAATGTTAACACTCAGTCCATTTGAATATGAAAAATAAAATTGACTTTGATTAAATGTTTTTATTTATCATGCAATTCTTCTTGCGACCAAAGATTTGAATAAAAGTTCAAAAAATAAGATAGCTTAAAAAATAATATACGGTAGTGTTTACTAATAGATGAATAGTAGGGCTGTACAAGATTTAAAAAAACATTGCCGGGTTACCGTAGAGGCCTAAAAAAATCGCGCCTCGGCGGCAAGCCGCCTCGGCATTAAGAATGCGCATCTAAATTTTTATATGTCCTTCTTTCTTTTATTTTTCCCTTCCCTTTCTTTTCTTTTTCTTTTTTTTCCCTCCTCTTGCTCTCATTTACCTTTTTTTTCCTTTTCTCATCATTTTTCAAAATTTTAAATTTTTATCAAAAATCTTGCCTATAAAAGCAGACTATGGAACCTTTTAATGCCTCTTAATCAATATTATACAGCATAAAGCATATTAAATGAAAGTAATTACGTATAAATTTATTTTATTATCTTATTTATTAATTCTTTAGCATGTATTGTTTAATATTAACTTTTCTGTACATTAAATATGATATCTCCAAAGTATGAATGCCTTGTAACGAAACGAAACTTAATTTTATGTTGAATATTTGTCACAAACATTAGATTATTAAAATATATGTTGGATATCCCTTAGTATGAGACTTCATGACTCTTGTAGTCTAACGTGAGCTTTGGATTGCAAGCTCTGTGGTTAACGAACATAAATTAATTGTAAAGTTTTCAAAATTTTTCATCGTTTCTATCAGCATCTATTTTTCCTTTAAAATAATATATTTGTATGAATACAATATTTAGTAATTTTTTTATTTCCCATAATTTCATTCAAAATTTCAGAAAAAATTAATTTCTATTCAATATTATTTCAGCTTCAAAACACTTCATTCTTATAGATGTTGATTCACTAAAGTGTGATACTCAATGTCTTATTTCAATGAAAACTGTTCTGCAAATTTATTTCACTTTTGACCTCACTTTTTCCGTAATTCAATTTTTTACTTTTAATATTTTAGATCTTCATAATATCATTTGAAAAATTAACCATATAAAAAAATCAAGTTAACAATTCACTTTTTCCGTAATTCAAAAATCAAAAATATAAATAATATATCTTTTTATCAAATATTATTATTATATTCTATGAAAAATGAGGTCCGGAAATTTTGCGGATTCCCGTAACTCAATTTTACGGAAAAAGTGCAGTAAACTATTCAAAATACGGAAAAATTGGTGTAAACTAATGATTTTACGGTAAAATCACGGAAAGTCCCGGAAGAATATATGTGCCTATATGAAATTATACAAAAATGAATCAAACGCATTTTAAAAGATTGTTCTTGTATTATAAATGCTATTCGCAGATTTATTAGTTGAAGAAAATTACCAAATTTTTGCCGATTTACAAAAAAATGATTTACAAAGCATATTTTTATAAGGCTTTAAAAATCTTTAAAATGTGACCGGTGACGGAAATCCATGGTAACCAACCGCGGTTCCCGTTTGGAATGCCATAATGAATAGTATATAAATTCTATTAAAATGGATTTGATCCAAAAAAATATATAAAATTTGATCATAAATAAAATCGTTTTAAATTACTTCTTCATTTAAATTATAACAATTATTTTTGGTTTTATATTTTTTTGGATCAAATCCATTTTAATAGAATTTATATACTATTCATCTATTAGTAACACTACCGTATATTATTTTTTAAGCTATCTTATTTTTGAACTTTTATTCAAATCTTTGGTCGCAAGAAGAATTGCATGATAAATAAAAACATTTAATCAAAGTCAATTTTATTTTTCATATTCAAATGGACTGAGTGTTAACATTTAACATTTTTTGCTAATTGTCGTCAAAAATTAGGCGTAAAGCAAAAATTGATATTTCATATGGTTTTATGATAGATAAGCATTATATTCCCACTCATTATATTCGTAATTTTTGAGGTTTATCCTTCGCTTTTAAGATCATTGAATTTGATTTTTATATAAAATAGTTATATATTAGAAAATAATATGAGTTTATGTGATATTATTTTTCAGAAGATTTTGTGTTCTTCTTCAAAATTTTATTTTTTTTATTAAAAAGAATCTTTACAAAATATACATTTACTTTAATTAATATTTAAAAACGTGCTCTATCAAAAGTTCCAAAAATTCAATATTTTAGCTTTTCTGAGGTGTCACTTTTGATGAATTTCTGTTTACGACAATATATAGTAATATGACATCAATTAACACGTACACTATTAAGCCGTAGCAAAATAAAAATGTAAAATGAAAGGTGACCAAACTATTTTTTGAAAGTCCGCCATAACTTTAATGGTACTATTTCAGCGTGTACAATGAATACAAAAATTCTAAGAGTGCCACATAAAATAGTACTTTAGACTTGAGTTAATGCTACCAAGCAAATGTTAAAAAGATGACTTTAGTGTTTTGATAATCAAAGATTAAAATCATTATTGTCTAAATCAATAATCATAACGACAGAAGTTAATGTGTTTTCATAAGTGCTTTAAATCCACTTTTAAAAGTATACCTCAAAAATCAAATATCAAAAAAAATTGGCCGATAGGTTTGGCTTTAATTTTGTCTGCTTTTATGATTTGATATGGATGTTATAATTTTAAAAGTTGAGCCAAATTCACCAATAGATTTTTGAGATTTGCAAATACTCAATAATTTTCAGCGTGTTATCTTTTATTAAAAGAACTATTTGGTTTCAGTATCATATAAATTGATATTTACTTTCTATTTGAACCTTCATTTAGCTAATGATTTAATAATACAGATTTCATCTAGTCCTTATAAGAGAATTTTGAATTTGTTATAATAAAAAAACAAACAGATATAGCTTACACTTCTATAATAAAGATATCTTTTATAGAAATCAGTATGAAATGTGTTTTGGCTTATTGGAAGCATATCAGACATAATCGCCATAATCAAAAAATCTATATACCCAATAAGTAATAAATTTGTCGATATAGATTTTCCATAAAATTAGTTTTTAGTCTGATCTTAAAATAAATATAGATCCAAGGTGATGTGATTTTTGCATCCCTGGGATGGACGATACACCCAAAGTGTCACCTTTTTGGGATAACATGAATTTTAAATATCATGAGAGTTCTGCAAACCATATGCACAATATCTATTCAGCCTGACTTCTTGTATATATGAGTTAGACTTCTTAAATATTGTGCTTGGGGCGATATAAGCATTTCCGAGATTACCATCGTGCTCTATAGTATGCTACTTCTCCCTGGTTCTAGCTCAGTTCCAAGGATATTGGCGTTCAAGGATTTGGCAAGGTCCTTCCGAAGTCTCTCATTCGATGAGAGATTTCGGAAGAATCTTGCCTTAAAGTACTCCAACTCTTGTTCTTTTGTTCCTAAATAGTGAGAAAAGTTATTTGACTACTTAAGGTAGAGATTATCCGAGGTCCCTCATTTGATGAGAGGCCTCGGATAATCTCTGCCTTAAAATTGTACACTTGTAGTCCATGAGAGTGTAAGTATACATTGATAGAACAGCTTTCTTCTGAAGTCTTAGATTTGATGAGAACCTCAGAAGAAAACTGTCCTATTTTATAGTAAAAGGAGTTTCAGGAGCTCCAAAGCTCCCTTTAGTAAGGATTAGAAGCTTTGAAGCTCCTGGTTCGTAGACGTGTTTCGCATCTTTCATCAGCAAAGGACATTTACCATCTGGGACTCTGTTGATGGAGACTCAGGAGCTCCAAAGCTCCCTTTAGTAAGGATTAGAAGCTTTGAAGCTCCTGGTTCGTAGACGTGTTTCGCATCTTTCATCAGAAGAGGCCCAAATGGTAAATAGCCTCTGCTGATGAGCTTCAGGAGCTCCAAGGCTCCCTCTCGTAACGATTAGGAGCTTTGTAGCTCCTGAAGGTAAGGTAGGATTGCTCTGATCTCTAATCAGTAGATGCCATGCCTCATTATGAACTCTACTGACAAGAGATCAAGAGCTCCAAGGACTCCCTTTTTAGTTAGTGGCGTTCTCACCGTTTAGTAGGATTGCTGATCCTACTAATGAAGTGATCACTTAGTATACGTTTTGAATAAATTGAATTTTTTTTAGAATTTAGTATTTTTTATAGACATCACATGTATATTATAAATACATAAATATATTCTTTAATTCAAAAAATTCAATTCGGTTTTGGGATGGGTATCCCAGCCCCAAGTATTCAATTTTATTCAATTTTTAAAGAATTTTGGGTTGGGATGCCCAGACCAAAACAAGCTTTATATTTTGATGTGTAGATACGTATGTGTGCATCATTGTTGTGTTATATATTATGTTTTTAATGAAAAAAAAATCTGATTCAAAAAAAATTATCACTAATTAGTTGATAATATAAAGAAAAAATAAATAAATTGTATGTTTTGAGAGTATTTATCCACATTCACTCATATGAATTTCATTAAATAGTGTCTTTTTACTCCCAAATTTATTTTGAATTATTGAAATCAAAGAAAAAAAATCAGAAAAATTTCTCGAAATTTTTATTTTCAAAAAAAATTTGGATTTTATATTGAAAACAGACACTGGGAGGACGATAGGGCTGGGATTGGAGATACCCCCCTCACTTGGGAAAAATACGGATCTATAAAATAAATTTAATTTTTTATAAAAAAAATCACATTTAAAAGCACCTTTTTAGTAGCTCGAAATCCTGTTGGTGGATTTGGGGCGTACTTCAAAATTAGCTTTTCTTCTACATATGCAAGCTATATTTTAAATATGGGGCAAATCGGATCGGCGAAAGGAGTTTATTTACCTTTGTAAAATGTTAATAAAGTTTGCAACATGAAATTAAAATAGGTGTTCTTTATCTTTGTTTAATTTCCGCCTTTAACATACTATAAATTATTAGTTTTACGAGAAATTGATTTAGAATTATAATAAAAATATGGAGTTGTTAATAAATTTAAATGGCGAACGTTAGCTTGGAGTGAATGCAAATTAAAAATAATGTATCTTTCTTTTTGTGCTTTAGTTACATTTTGAATGGAAGATTGATAATTCAAATATTAAAAATTAAATAATTGCTCTATAACTATTCCATATAAAATAGTAACGTTGACGATTCGATAACGTTATGAAATTCAAATGATTTAGATATCGAATTTGAATTCAAATTTATTTATATTCAATTCTAATATTATATTATATCATTCAGGAAATTAATTTTTTTACTAATATTACCAGTTTTTTGATATAAAAAACTTCGATAATATTTTCAATTTTTCCAAATTAAATAGACATCAAGCAAAGAGTAAAAGTTGTAATTTTTAATCAAAAGTATTTTATTTCAATCCGATCAGCGCAAATTTAACGGTTTCATAATTTTTGAAATTTGTTTTATCTCTCTGTAAACTACCCAACCATAATAATGTTTTTCTGAGTATTCTTTGTTTTGAAAAGTTTATTCTCATTATTTGAAAAAAAAAGTATATAAAATTAAAATCGACATTTTTTACACATGTGCATGTGCAATCAACTAAATATCAAAACCATCAATAAAATGCATGGTCTAAGAGATGTGTGTGTGGATCCAGAGAGCTGTATATCATGCTTACGCATTATAGAAGGTAACAATTGTGTTTTTATATATAAAAACACATTATTGGTTGAATCGATGACATTTTCCTTTTACTCGATGAATGATGGTGATGTAATATGTGCGATACCTCCTTATCAGGACTTAGTAACTACTTATCAATTGTTCCAAGATAAAAATATTGTAGAATTAGAAAAAGAACGCTTGAAAATATTAGATCAGAAGCTAAAGCGTGTTGATGGAGATATTAAAGCTCATAAAAAATTCATTAATCTGAAAATGAATATGTTCAAATATTTCGATTTTGATATTAACCATTCAGAATGCTACACTAGAGTTCCCTTATTCCCACCTCAACAGCCTTCTTCGAAACCTTTACCTTCATTTTGGTGATCTTTTCAAGATCTGTTATGTTTATGTATAATAAAGATATGCTATGAATAATTATCTCCTTTTTAATTAATTGCTTACATATATCGGTAGAAATTATGAAATTTTGAATGGAATATAAAAATGGTTTGTCCAATGTTAATAAAAATGATATGAATATCGTGATGATTAATCTCTTAAATAGAAATGACCTTTCGATTTAAAGAATAAAGTCATGCCATAAGATAAATTGAAATAATCATGAATAGATATGGATAAACTTAAGGAATTTCAATTTCATAGTGAAGCAATATCGTTAATTGTAGAGATAGCATATTAAAGTGCTGAAAATTATATACTGCATGATTGTTTTTATTTGATTTTCAATAATTCCTGTATAATATAATGTAACTTTTTGTGTACTCTTCGATTGTACTATTCAAATATCTATTTTAAAATAAATGGAAAATAAAAATTTAATTGTATCACGTTCGTACTAAATAGACGAGATAAATTACTTAAATTAGCTTTACAATTAGGATGTATTTGTATTTCTGAAAGTTCGTGAGATGGTAGCATCAATGGCTGTGATAAAATAATTAAATCATTGATTTAGAACTTTTGTTTTGGATCAAATATGCTGTAAATATATTACTTAGCTTCTGTGAATTAAATTTATATCGCGGAATAAGTAGTAATTTCATTATAGATTCTTGGAGTGCGGAACATATGATAAGAATAAAAACTGCCACTTTTTCAATGAAAAAATAATCATATTATTACTTTGTTTTTTCTTATTTTGAGCGATTTTTACACCAAAAATCCGAATCAAAAATTTGAGATATGTCATTCAAAAAAATTATGTAAAGTATTCAAATTTATAAATATAAAACAATTTAGCATGGGCTTTAGTATTGAATTGGGATACTTACTGTAATATTCTATGTCATCCATACTTGAATCCCATCCATCAATATTCATAAGATTAGCGGAATCATCAGTTGGAAATATTATATCATCTTCTAATGGAGAACTCATGAATTCATCTATAAAATTGGTTTTAGCCTTATTAGTCTCGCTCTGAAAATCCTTGTTAACTTTGATTTCTTTGGAAGAAAGTAGTGGAGCTTTTCCTTTTGATACAAGAAGAGCATATCTATTCTTAACGTTTACATCCGAACGGGTAGGAAACATTTTGGCTATTTTTGACCAATGTGGTCCCATTTGGCTGGCAAATTGAATTAAAGAATAATCTTCTTCTTGAGTCCATGGGCCATTAGTTAAATTTGGAGCAAGATAATTGATGTACCTTTCTCTGCATTGCCTTGTGTTTTTCGTTTGCATGATTTGCGCAATTTTCTTCCACGCTTTATTCCCATAAACAGTTACAAGTTCGCATAAGCGTTTATCCTCTTCAGATGTGAATTTTTGACGAGGAGTTTTAACAATATCTGTTTTCAATCCTTTCTTGATAGCTTCCATGAGAAATTTAACTTCGATAAAAAAATTGAGAAGGAAATGAAAGAAAATTCGATGTTATCCGGCCATTGTAAATATTGAATTTTCTTTGAAGTAAAAAAATGAAAGTTGTATAGGAATTGAATTTATTAAATATTTTAGACTTTATGTTTTTTATTTTGTCATTCAAAAATCTTAATGAAAATATTTCATTATAATATTAATGTTATAGCAATTTTAATCATATTTATATTAATATTGAATTTTTTTTGCAAATCAAAACTTAACAAAAATTAATAGATATAAAATAATCATGGATACAAGTCTAGTAAACAGTGTTTTAATTGTGTAGATAATTTATTTCCAAAATCCACGATAAAATTTTTGAATCGTCAATTTAAAAAAAAACATACAGGCAATGGTCTCAAACACTGTTGAATATATTTGAGCTGGAAAAATGAAAATACTTAAATTTGAGAGAAATGTGGCTAAAAATAGAAATATTTAGGCAATAGAAATATAAAAATGATGAAATGATTGAATGGATGAATCAATTCGTTTTTTGAAAGAATTTAGGAAAGTTATTCGGCGGAAAAAAAAATCTGGAAAACTTCATTAATATGAATCTTGATGTTTAAATGTAACATTTTAATTTTTGACAATATTGCTTTTTATAATTCAAAAATCAAAATAAAAACAATATACAAAAATAATATACCTAGAATAATACCAAGATTAAGATAAATAGAGAGTTATTAGTAATGGTGGTAAATTTGTAAGGAAGAGAAATTGAATTTTGATCAATTTTGAAAATTTATATATTTGAATTGAACTATCGTAGGCAATTTGCAACGGCAAATGCATGCATTATATCGATGTTGCAATACTTCATATATGAATTTAAAAAAATCCAGGAAAACTTGGAGCACGTTAATTTTTGAAAAATTGAATATCGTAAACCCATCTACCAAAGATTTTTCCATATTTCATTTTTGATAAACTATACATGGCACGGCGGGCGCAAAAAGTGACAAAATAGAATACCTATGGTGGCAAGACAAAGGAAACATTTTTGTAAGGCAAACATTATATCAAATACCTTTACTTTGTAATAAGAAATATAATTATCACGAAATTACAAATAAATATTGTTTAATATAATTAATAGCAAAATTCTTTTTTATTATTTCCCTTAAGACCTTACTTATTAAGTATACGTATAACAAGCTTGTACTGCTTGTATTAGTTAATAGAACAAAAGAAAATGAGCTCAAATGAAAAAAATTTTCATGCTATTTTGGAAATATGCATATTCGAAGTATGAGAGTTGTAAACACTGAGAATTTTAAGCTTTGGTTGATGATAGTCTTTAATTTTTCTTGAAGTAGTAAATTATTTGATATGAAAATTTAATGGCCAGCATAATCAATCGTGCGTTTCGTTTCTTGATTGAGAAACGATGATTGTGTACTAATGAATTATTGCGTCTGACAGGTTATGATTATGGATACCTGAAATTAAGCTTTTATGGGAAACATCACCGAGCGCCATTTGGCGCCCCTAATGCTGTTTCTATCGGTATGATTAAGGAGCTTTCTTATGCACTTTCATCACTTGAACTTGAACGCTACGAGATATATGCCCCCCCCCAATGGGAGGTGGGAGCAAAAATTGAAATGTTTACATTGATTTTTAAATACTTTACAAGCGCCCCTCCCAGTGGGCGCGGGCGCAAGTGATCGGGTCAAAAAAAATCATAAAAATATTCAAAATTGCGATTTTAATAGATGTTTAAGAAGCAAATTTATTAATAACGATATTTCATAGTACAAAATGTGTTCAATCTCTTCGTAAATCATTCAAAAAAATCAAAAGAATTTCCAAAATTCAATTTTTTTAGTAAAATTTATATCTTTTTCTGTCGTCTCCTCCCCACCAGTGGGAGCCACCGGAGTAGGGTTGTACAAACTGGCACAATTTTGCGGGCCGCCTGCCAGGAGCTGGCACGCGGCCAAAATCAAAAAAGTGGCCAAAAATCGGGCCTCGTGGCGTGGAAAGGATGTCGCCCTTCGGGCTCCACCCTTTCCACGCCACTCGGCCTATGACCACAATTATATAATATGCTCATTATTATTTTTTCTTCTTTTCTCTTCTTTTTTTTTCTTTTTCTCTTTTCTTTCTTCTTTTTCTCTTTTCTTTCTTCTTTTTCCCTTTTCACTTCCTTTTTTTCCTAGTTTTGGAAAGGAAAAAGTAAAAAATTTAATAATTAATTTTATTACTATGAAAATATACTTTTTAGCTTATATTGTAAGCTGTGAGAGTTTTAAGTGATGGAAGATATAAATCAAATTTGAAATTCAACAAATCTTGTTATGATTAAGTTGAATATTGTACTCTAATTAAGAGTTTTCAGTTATGAACTCAGGTATTATATAATAAAAGTATAACTCAAGATAATAAAGAGGTTTTTAAAATGTAGATCTGAAAATCAAACTACCATGTTTGATATGATTAAGTTGAATAATGTTATTTTATTAAATGGTTCAAATCTGTGAAATCGGCAATTACAAATTAAAGGCGTAGTTCAAAAAATTAAAGAGATTTTAAAAATTTAATATCAGAATTAAACTAAAAAAAGGATTTAGTTATTTCAGTAATTATCAGAAAAGGTTAAAAAGATAGGGTAAGTAATGAGACTTGAGTGAGATGTGAGAAATCATATGTAAATAATTAGATATCTGATGAGTAAGGTAGTAATGAGAGTTAAGATCTGATGAGTAAGGTAGTAATGAGAGTTAAGATCTGGTTAGTAAGGTAGTAATGAGAGTTAAGATCTGGTTAGTAAGGTAGTAATGAGAGTTAAGATCTGGTTAGTAAGGTAGTAATGAGAGTTAAGATCTGGTTAGTAAGGTAGTAATGAGAGTTAAGATCTGATGAGTAAGGTAGTAATGAGAGTTAAGATCTGGTTAGTAAGGTAGTAATGAGAGTTAAGATCTGGTTAGTAAGGTAGTAATGAGAGTTAAGATCTGGTTAGTAAGGTAGTAATGAGAGTTAAGATCTGGTTAGTAAGGTAGTAATGAGAGTTAAGATCTGGTTAGTAAGGTAGTAATGAGAGTTAAGATCTGGTTAGTAAGGTAGTAATGAGAGTTAAGATCTGGTTAGTAAGGTAGTAATGAGAGTTAAGATCTGATGAGTAAGGTAGTAATGAGAGTTAAGATCTGGTTAGTAAGGTAGTAATGAGAGTTAAGATCTGGTTAGTAAGGTAGTAATGAGAGTTAAGATCTGGTTAGTAAGGTAGTAATGAGAGTTAAGATCTGGTTAGTAAGGTAGTAATGAGAGTTAAGATCTGGTTAGTAAGGTAGTAATGAGAGTTAAGATCTGGTTAGTAAGGTAGTAATGAGAGTTAAGATCTGGTTAGTAAGGTAGTAATGAGAGTTAAGATCTGGTTAGTAAGGTAGTAATGAGAGTTAAGATCTGATGAGTAAGGTAGTAATGAGAGTTAAGATCTGGTTAGTAAGGTAGTAATGAGAGTTAAGGATACCCTTACGTGTCAGATTTTTTGCGCATACGAAGAAGTCATGCTAGACATGAGCTATAAACCTGAAATTTTAGCAACATATTTAAAACTTTTTAAACTACAATACACTTTAATATTCAAGAACAAAAATATTCTTTTTAGAAATTACATAATTATTTTATGTGAAATCTATATAAAAACATATTTTGCGAGCGTAACTTTTTTCTTTATAAGCACCTTATATGACTGATAAACTGTGAAGGCACATAATTGTTAATTCATAGAGTTGATATGTTTCCAAAATTGAGAGGAAATTTGAAAATTGAATACCCTTTCAATTCAATTTTCAAAAGATATCAGCTCCTTCAATAATTGAAGGACGATTTTGATCATTTGCTCTTAAAACAAGTATGCCATGGAGAAAAAAGTTACGCTCGCAAATCTGAAATATAACTATCATATAAAAAAATTAAATTTCTAATTTTTTACTCTATAGATATTATTGGCCACTTGTGTAATGCATAAAAGTTTATGTCATATGCATACATTTGGAAGTATGGGAGACGAGGGAAATTACTTCTATGAGGCACTGGGATTTTTAAAAATTTCTCTATCGGACTCACCATTCAATTTCTCGAAAATTAAAAAAAAATCAATAATAGCTAAAATGTATTATGCATAACAAATTTTAATGTTACACGGTATTTTTTGAACTTCATGACATGAATTTTCTTTATATTATTTTTTTTTTGGATTTTCTATGATTTATGCGATAGGCTGGAACAACATTGTAAGTGCAATGATATCATTTATAGAGAAATCTAAAACTTCAGCATTCAGAACTCGCAACCACAAAAATATTCATTTGCTAAGTAAGTAAAGTTGATTAAGTTCGACACTTAGCTTTTATACGTAAAACCAAGTGTGTATTGTTATTTCTTGTTAAATTATTGAGAAAAAAATAAATTGTAAGAGAAACGATACTGATTATTGAAATAATATTGAGGGTAGCTGCAGATTTCTTCATTAACATGCCGGAAATTTGTTAATCTTGGTTTTCTATCATAAAATCTGTCGAAGAATCTAAAAACGGAGATATGAAATAGAGATCATGTAAATCTAGAGTATCCTGTCAGAAAAATAGACTAAGCATGTAACCCTTTTTTGGTCATAAACACTTTTTACCACTTAGTCATACAGATGATCATTAAATTTAAACGAGCACTTTTTGTCAGAATTTATTCTTTTACAAAGACAGAAGATTTTAGTATTATTTAATATTAGTGCTGTAGCAAAATTCAAAAAACGGTGAAAATTCAGTGAATTTGTGAATTCACATTTTTTTTCGACATTTTTCTTGATATATCCATGCACATTAAGAACACAGCTTTGATACGCTTAAAAAAGCATATTTCATATGAAATTGTTAAAGAAATAAACAATTTATATAAAAATTGCACTTATGGGCAGTTTAGATATATAATTTATATATAACATATATACAAAT